AATAATAGTCGAGGCGATGATTATATGACGGATAGGACATATCACTGAAGTCACTAAGGCACGTTGGTGTTCAATTGAACACCAACGTGCATTAGCGCGGGTGCAATCACACACTTAGACACTTGGTACGCATTCCTTCGATAGCAGCCGTGGAAGCTTGTCTGAGTTATTGATAAGGCAACGGACTGTAAGTGGATTTTCTCGAACATTGGATAAGACTATACACGTTTGTGAGAAAATAAGGTCATTTAGTTTCACGATCAGCGAGGGAGTATCTGTCATTCCATATTGCAAAAAGATCAGTTTCATGTACCATCAGGGCATCTCGAAAGAAGTCCTCGTATTAGTAATTAACGCACTACGAAAGAGGATACCATGACAGTTAATCGTTTCATGTACCATTAAGCAATTTATATGGACTCAGCTCTGAGTGAGTAACCCCGCTCTCAGGTAATGGATGAGACAAGAGGCTATTCACAAAATTCTAAAATATTCGATCAATTATTATTGGGAATCCAGACCTCTTCTCGGTCCATTTCATCTCTGCCGCACCTATTTTGCCTGCCGCTACCTTTGCTTCTCGCACCTTTGCTATCTTGGTTGGTGTTGTGTGAGCTAAGGGAGTTGCATGCTTCACATTGTGAAGCAATCACACCTAACTCTTTGAACGTTTTTGCGACAAACGCATCCTCGGTGGAGAATGTCTCATTCATAGGACTCTTCACGGTCAAGCATAAGAGGGTATTATTATCAAATGCATTGCTATGAGAACAAATTCGTGGTATCTTCGAGAATTCGGTTGGTCTGCCGCTCGAAGCGGCATACAATGAGAAGAATATGTATGCTCGTGGTCTTGAAGGATTATCGTGAAGCCGGCCTTGTTGATGCAGGTCCGAAATGCATACTGTGTAGATCAGATGATCGTTTCGGCCGATGTGCCAAAGACTTATACGACCGGCATCTTGTGTAATTCTATGAATTTGAAAGTTTTGGTACGTTTCATGAGAGCAAAAGCCGTACAAATGCATATTTCTCTTCCTGGACAGAGGAATGCGCATTAGCGTACTGACTGCAAAGGGCACAAATAACAGTTTGCCAGTCTTGATTGTATTCGTCAGGGTGTACATTGCACCCTCATGTTAATCGTGTTGAGCTGGAAGCTCAGAAATCACTCTTGCATCCAGTTCCTGTCTAGCGAACCTTCTGTCCTCTACTTCATGCTTAGCATTGCCTTGTCCGTCAAGTTCATGTTTGGCATTGCCTAGCGCATTTAGTTCCTGCGATGTCACGAGAGGCTTTGATGGCGGGAATGGTTTGAGCTCCTCTTCGCTCTGAAGCGAATATCCCATCTTCCTCTTCTTCGTCCTGAAAAATGCAAGCCAGACCAACAACCCGACGATTGCCAGACCACCAATCACTGCTCCAACAGATATTCCTGCTATAGCACCTTTGCCAAGTCCACTGGGCGATCCCGAAGTTGTGGTTGTATTCGTTGTCATTGCGTCAAGACCACAATTTCCGTACTCAGATTGACATCCTGTGCTGCAATAGCTGATATTTCCACCGCAAAACCCATGACTAGAGCAGCAGTTACCCCATTGACTGCCCAAACACGTCGCCAAAACGTCAGAATTGTTCCCGCAGTTCCCATCTATAGACGTAGTGCCTGTTGTTGTCGACGTAGAAGCAGAAGCCGTCGTCGACGTTTTCGTCGTACTCGTACTCGTCGTCGCGGCCGCCGTAGCCGTTATAACCGAAGAAGAGGAGGTCGAATCACAACTCCCAAATCTACTCTGACACCCATCTCCGCAATAACTCGAGTTTCCACCGCAGTATCCAAGCGACGAACAGCAGTCTCCGAACGTGCTTCCGAGGCAGGTGTAATTGCTCCCCGTAGAGCCGCACGATCCGGATGTGCTGATCGTTTGACTATTATCACTGGTACAGTTTCCAAACGCCGATTGACATCCGGCACCGCAATAGGCTGATGTACTACCACAAAATCCTTTTGTGGAGCAGCAGTCGCCGTACGTGGATCCAAGGCATGTTGAATTTGTGTCTGAGTTAGAGCCGCAATTCCCATCTGTGCTTATAGAGGCCATTATTATGGTTTCGCGATATAGATGTTGAATTTAAGAATTCAGCGCAGTGGAAGAGAACTGGTAATGAACAAGAGATTTTGGGGAAAGGAATAGAAATCTTCTCATAATTCAGATACGGAAGAGGCAAACTGAAAAAAGGCGTAAGTAAATTGACAATCTCCTGCCAAGATCAACGGCGCTTGCTAAACATCGCTAGTAGATTAGGAACTAGCTAGATAGTTTAGAGTACATCTGGGGCTGAATAATTTCAGTAGCGCGCCGTTTTCACGTGCGTAGTTAGTTTCAGCTTTGATTTACCCCTCGGTATTTAGCAGTGGTTGTTAATGAATTGCCATAACTCGTGTTCGGGTATATATAGACTGCAAATCAATTTTTCTTCACTTGGTTCCAAAGTTGAGAGCACAGACAGTCTGGTATCGCAAGATGACCACTGCTTGTCCAACGGATTAAAGATAGATTAAATCCTGGCTTATCATTGCATGCGGGTCTTAAGTTGTGTCTTTATCTGTAACCGCCGACTCTGCTTACGTAGCAATTAACAGCATCGAATAATTTCCAAAGTGTACCCCGTAACTCCGGAGTCCATATAGCATGAAGAACCGTTGAAGAAAGACCCGAGTCATGCACGGAATACTCCTCGCTTCTAGATTTCTAGGCGTTCTTCCCAAATGAACCAATTGGTCCTGAGGACTTCACAATTTCAAGTTCAGTCCTCGTGGCTTCAAAGCTTCGCACTTGTGTGGTCTGGGCCCTATTGATCGTCGTATTCTGTAACAGACTACTTAATTAGGGGTAATCATTTGCTTGTCATCATTGGTCCTTCTCTTCGCGGTTTAGGGCTGTCGTAGCCGCCTGCGCTAGTAACCCTATCGTTTAAGCAGACACTTAAACGAGACAAAGATTTTTAGAAGCACATTTGCCAATTATCAATGAAGGGGCGTGGATAATGATATGGGTCATGCTGATGCTTGTCGAACATATTTAGACATTAAAATTTTGGAATGACTTGCATCTTGCGATAGTCAAGGCGGTCGGCAACTTTGTCTCGGTGAACTCCGAGCCAGTGTGACTGATTTCATCGGAAAGAGCCCATATTTAGCAGTCCATCTTATGATGCGATGCACAAATTCGACTCTCTGACACAGGTACTGAATTATCGTTGTCCGACGGAGGGCCCTTGAGTGCAATTTATACGCCAATCTATGTTCCATACATGGTCTGCTTAATATCCTGGACGACTTCATGGCAATCAATCATCTAGGTGATGTCGGAAAGGATATAGAATGAATATCGTTAAAAGTTTTGTTCACTACATTCGAAAGTGGCTTTGCGCCCTTTTCGAAAGCTTACTACTCACATACGTAAGTCATAGGTTACCAGCCTCGTGACTTACAAAACCCTAACGAGAAGGCCTTTCAGTTTTATATGGGCTGCAAGTTGTATGCCTAGCTTGCACATACGATAGCTGTATAAGTAGAAATAAGATATCAAGTGTTACTTATTGTTGAAATACAAGACATGGATCCGGTTCGATTATCTTCATTTATCAGATCCGCCCACGGTCTTCATAAAGATCCAAATCTTCTTCCAAGTCTCCGGTCATCATCAATGTGCCATCTGTATAGGCATGTCTATCGGCTGGAGACAGTAGCTCAATTGGAGAAGTTGATCGACCATTGGTATCCATGTGGCGATGGAAATCATGGTTGGGTTGTTTTGGCGTCTGATCTGAGGAAACTCTCTTCCCTTCATCCCGATGGCTTTTGCTGTTGGTCGACCTGAAATCAAAGTTGTCAAACGGCGACAGCTGATCTGGGCTCCTTGTGCCCAACCCATGATCATACTGAATGAGCCACTCCTCAAAGAAAAGATCTTGAGTTTGGTCCAATGAATCTTCCTGCCTTACGCCTGGAGTTTCTGGGCTAGTATTTTCTGTGTGGTCTAACGACTTCCTGTTTGTTGACGGTGCTCTAGAATTTGCATTAGGGCTATCAGACGAAACGACAAACCCTTTTGGTCGCCGTTGGAGTATCCCTCGTGGTGGTAATGAACTTTGTTGCAGTATTTTGTCAAGACTTTCCATCTTATCCACACCCAATCGAATATGCTGCATTAAACTATAACTGTTGCCTTTGCTTTCGCACTGCAACTGGATTGCATGATGGAGACAAGCGACTTCATAGTCAGCAGCAGGGTAGATATCTTTCAGTTGTCCAAGTAATCGAAGACACTGACGCAAGCTCCATGTACTTTTGTCCCTTATTACATTGTTCGTTGATGTAATATTGACCAAATGTACGATCGCGGCTGGCCTTGTTGTCGTCAAACCGGCGGCTGGAAGAAATTTTGCCAAATCTAGGCGATTAATCTCGTGTAGTATGTCTGCAGTTTTCGATGCTGCTGTATGAAGTCTTTGTCGAATCGTATCCGTCAATTTGTTTGCTGTTAATGTGAGACTCTGCTGGTTCTTACCCTGAGCAAAAGCTCGTGGTTGGTATAGTGCCGAACAAGTTGCGTAGTACATCATACGTAACATTGATGTATGTATTAGAAGAACTCTCTCACCAATGCTACGTCCTTCACACGAAAGTGGCACCTCGATGTCGATTTCTCGTGGAATGTTTCTAACCCAAGTGTCTAATTTGCGACTACAGCGTTCCAATTCTGCATCTGACAATTGACGAGGGACAAGAGTGATGGTACTTTTGTTACTTGGTCCGTCGGATGGAATACTGGCAGGCGAGTATTGGGCGAAGAGAATAAGACCCAGGCAACGGCATAAGTTGACTTTCTCAATGAACATCAAAGCTAATCGTCTTCGATGAGATGTATCCCTCATATATTGACAGCCAATTGCTGCAATGACTGTCGGGTCCATCGACTCAATATCAAAATCGCCTAACCGTAGTTGCGAAACATCGCTGATTGCCTCATTAACCTGCGTTGGGCGTCTAAGAGCGAGAGCGACCATTCGATCTCGAGCGAAAAGACACCACCAAAGACGTCTTCGTAGTCGTTTCCTGGCAGGGTCTATGTCCAAGTTGGATGCGTCGCGATGCAGTCCGATAGATTGTGCCTGTGTATTGCAGAGACCAACCCAGAACCACATGTCTTTCTGCAAGCTGTCGTCTCGCTCGTTGTTGTAGGTCAACAATAAACTCGCTTGGAGTAGACAGATCGGATCGTCTTCATATTCTAGATGATACAAGAGCTATTTATTACTGTAAGTTTTCATGACTCTATAAAAAAATTTTTGCTTTAAACTAACCCTCGCACGTGTGAAGAACTCATTCCGAGCTTCCCTCCTAGTATGGAAGCCCGCAGCTCTGAGATGATTCATATCAGCAAAAGCTGATCCTGCAAACAGGACTGCTTGAAGCAAAAGAAGACTGATATTAGCATCCGGATCGTTATTGACAATAGCCGGCACGAAGTCCTGTATGTTCAAGACTGGCATGAAGTTGTAGCTCCATTGAAAATAAGCTCTCAACAACTCATTTAGCAGCGAGGGTTCCGGGACCGTAAGCGCATTTTTGGAACGAAGATATTCGACATCGTCAGGTGCTATGTGAGATGGTGTAGGCTTCAGAAACTGACATGAATCATCCATGTCTATATCTTCAATGACCGGGTCGAAATCCGGGTCGATAAGTTCTTGGATGGTGCTGATCATGTTGGCTAAAGGGAGTGACGCAGGAATAGCCCTGTCGCCCATTAATCTGCATGATGAAGATTCGATTGGGCGACTGCCTTGATTCTGGACTGTAATTGGACCTGAAGCCGTATCTATGTGGTTTTCGTCTCTTTCTGGTGTCGGAAACAGTAGGCTTCTGTCGAAAGGCATCCGAGTTAAATTCTCTCTTGCCACCGATTCATACTCTGTTAATTTGCGTTTGAGCGACATACTTGACACAGTTAAGGTTTCCGCGCAAAAAACAGATATGGCAGGATTATAAGAAGTCTAGAAGGAAAGTCGGATATTTACGAGAGATGAGTTCTCGCGTTACTGGTCATGCGGCGGTGGGTTGGTCGGCGGTCCCGCAGGAACCCCAGAACGTAGAGTCTAAATCACGGAATTGTGGGCATGCATGCTCTAGTGGTATAGACGACGAATAAGATTTGTTTTTAAGAAATATGACCAATGATTTCTTTGTTTGCCAGTGTCTTAGCAGAGATCTTATGACTAGCATGGTTAAAATTGTAAAAAATAAGTCTACAAAAATCAGTCTACACCTTTTACCAAGTTGCAATGAAAGGAACTATAGAATTGTAACTGCATTCACGCTTGCCGCGCTTCCAGTTATTGCCAATGGACTCGATGCAAAGAAAAACGAGAAACCGCCCCTTCTCTGGCAGGCTTTCACCAAAGATTCCGAATCATGTATTTGAGTATATTGAAGCTCCGAAATGTAGTCAAAGAGTTTCATGGATGTATTCTCACTTTGAATTTCAAAGATATCGCTAGTCACAAACTCCGATGCCTTGATGTTATAATAGAATGCGTCATTAGACCTAATGGTGAAGTGTCGTAGTCTATCCTGCTGACTGGACCCTTGGGTTCTGAATTCGATGTGATTGTCATGACTGAAGAGTACCGGATGCTTCAATGTATGAACTTGTATTGAACGACCTCCAAAAGCGGAAATAGTCCAAAGGAAATCGTCACATCACAGCGATGAGTCGACAACCCCCTGGAGTCTTTATATTTTGACAAAACAGTTCTTTGATCGCATTTGATATCCGGGGGGCCCCCGGCTGGTTGATAAAATGCCTAGGCAATCCGGGGTAATTTGACCGAGCCACTCCACAACTGCCGTCTCCGCTATCCGAGTTCCCCCGAATTAGCCCTAATCTGGTCAATCCGAAACTGAAGGTAGCCCGGCACTACTATGAGTAGGCAGGAAGTGCACGCTTCTATCTTCAGTTGACCTTTCGGATCTTTATTTTGGAGTTCCACGTCTTCTTCTGCACATTTGATAAAGAATTCCAGGTCGTCCGGAAAGAATATCAGCCCCGGATCACTTGCTAAATCGAATTTCGTGTGGCACTTTACACATAGTGCGATTGTATTGCATTCTTTTCTCAGATCGAAGTCGATCAGTCCTTTCCCGCGCCACCTGTTGATGAACTAAGTTGATTGTTATTACTGGATCATAAAATCATATAAGTAATCACAGTAACATACCTTGAAATCTTCCTTAGCGATGACATGGCATACTTGGGGCTGTAGATTGTCATCCAAACAAGCCTAGCAATGATCGCTAACAAATGATCTGGTCTTGCCATTCACTGACTCCGGAAAAATACCTGAAACAATGCTTGACGCGTGTGACATCGGTTGCTAGTTGATCTCGTCGTCGAATGAAACTGCTTTGCTGCTGGATGCCATTTTCGTCAGACTTGAAAGATTTGTGATACGGAAACAAAGTGGTTTTCCTAAATAAAGAAATCGTATGCATTGACTTGTTTATTCTGAAGAATAGAGAAGGAAGGTGCAATCTTGGAAGGTGTATTACGAGGAAGGAGCGATGTTTTGAAGTTGCTGCCTACTACGGCGGACTGAATCCATTCGATTTTTGATTCTGCCGCAAGTGAGGTTTACAGATTACCACACATAGGTTCTAATTAGTTGATTATACTCAACGCTTTTTTCATTATCCTCACGCTTATTGAATGCTTTATTATATACTTCATTCACGATGACCTCTGTCCCCATCCTGAACCCTGCGACTGCGCTCCTCGTATCTATTATTTAGTGTCTGGTAGGTCTCAAGGAGACTACCAGTGGTTTCTTGACCCAGAAGTTATAAACAGGCTGATCAGCCCAGTTGTCGGTCTCAGGCGTCAATTCAAGATCAAAGTGCCAAAGCAAGCTTGCCAGGATAAAACGCATCTCATGATAAGCAATACTAGTTTTGTCTTAGCTATCACTCCAGTGGATATTTATTGTTGCGACTTACTTTTTGCCCAAACAGTTCCGAGGTCCATATGAGAATGGTTGTACAACGTCCCTCTTATCCGAACCGTACACCGCTTGGCCTTCAGGCAACCATCGCTCAGGGATGAAGCTATCGGGATCTTTGAAATTGTGCGACGAGTGATACGCTGCGAACTGAGGCACTTGAACTCGAGTCTTTGTACGTCAGTACGTAAGTGTGAATATAGGCTCCTTGAAACTTACTCCTTTGGGAACGAAGTCTGTGCCAAATTTTGCACCATCTTTTGGTGCCATTCTGGGGATACCCACGGCAACAGGAGGATAGATTCTTAGCCCTTCTTCAATGCAAGCTTGAAGATATTTCTGCTCCGCTAAACGGGCCATGGTCATATCCTCGAAAGTTGAGAACGCAGCGCGGATCTCATTTACAAGTCTAGCATGCCTTTGATTGTCGAGCAGCAAGTAATAGAATAGCCCGCTCAATAACGTCGCAGTCGTCTCAGTACCTGCACTCATGAATATCTGCCCGTTCGACAGCATTTCGTTGAGCGTGAGGCCCTTCATCCTCTTTTCTCTGTTTTCGTCGTTGCTGTAACGAAGTATGTAGCTCCAGATGTCATTACGCTCGACTTGCCTGCTGAGACGGTCTTTGACTTTGTCAGCAGAGAAGCGCCACACGTTCTGTCGTTCTTTCTTTACTTTGGAAGGAATTAAGAACCATGTCAGTAGTTTCGTAAATGGCTGCCACTCCGCAGCTATGCTCATGAGTTGAAGGGATCGAACATTGCTAAAGATCGATTTGACCCAAGGAGAGTACATCGAACCCCTCAGTTGATTTAACGATTCGCCAAATGTCAAGTCAGCCATCACGTCAAATGTTGTAAAGTTGAACCACGCGACTAGATCTACTTTTCCGTCATAGTTATTTGCATCTTGTTCGAGCTTCTCCACCAGAAGTGAGACGTAATGCTTGACAACATGTTCCTGGTCTTTTAGAGCCCTGTCGCTAAAGGCATGTGAGACAAGTTTGCGTTGCCTGGGATGAGAGACGTCGTCGGCTCGAATGATCCCCGGCTCCCCATAAGGATCCGGTCCAAAAAAATTAGGATCTTTAGGCCATTGAGGCATGTGATGACCGTAGACTTCTTTCCAAGTTTCGGGTTTGATGCTTGAGAGCTTATCGGGGCCGTACCGAACAACAGGGCCATATTTCTTGTGCAACTCGTGCATCCATGCAACAGAGCGCCCCTTGGTGAACTGTATGTGCCAGGTAAGATTTGTCGTTCGCGCAAGAATAGGGCCTGGGAATTTCCGCAGAGGATGGAAGAAGACATTGTATATCATTGTTGCGATGGTGTATACGAGCTGTGTACGTCATAAGTAGGGTGCTCACTGAGGAGTGAATTTGCGGTATGAACTCACGATTACACTGATGGCCAGAGCGATGGCCTGTAGGAACATTGCGACGGACAAGTGTGCTGCCCTGTCATGCATGATAACTGTCAATGTTGGCATGATGGCTGTAATTCGACTGCACAAATGATATCTATTACTGGGAGCAGTTTAGGGACAGTAGAAGAGGGAATCTAGTCTATTTATCCTGTTGGACAACACTCAGCATTCACCAGAGAGGTTATACGAACGAGGATAGGGACGATTATGAGACGTCACGCATTGGAAATGGAGGTGCCAATCCTAACGTGGTCAATTGACTGGGTCTGTATGTGTAATTCTGGATGTCAGGTTACATCGGCCTGAGGGATATGCTGCGATCTACAAGGGGCAACATGGACCGAAATGTGCTTCAATGGCATGCTAGAACCGGACGAGACCATGATCAACTGCTATCACTCTTCGCAGAGCGAAGTGCCGAGAGACACTATCCGGTTTGGGCAACTATAGGACACTAGATTTATCCTATCTAGATATTACTTTAAGACTTAGTATCTCTTGTAACCCAGTTTAATATATTGTCGTAAACCAATGTTTCGTAGACTCACAAAAAGTTTGTGATATTGTAATGTGAAACATGGCTATATTGTGTCGATTTACGGCCGCGCACAATATTGACCGGGCATAACCAGATTGCCATTTTGGCGTGTTGTAGTACTCACCAGCACAGATATATGGTGTCCTTAGCAATTTCCCTTAGGGTCCTATAGGGTTAGTCCCTTCGGGCTTGATAAATACCGCCGGTCGGATAGAGCGGCTTTCTACCAGGATATGTCGGATCTGTGGGACTGTCGACGAAATGGACAGCCACCTGAACTTCAACAGTGTCTACTGTTTGGGGCCCCACCTCCTCTGCCCAAAATTGTCTTTGGGGGAACGATTCAGTGCATCGCTGTTGACTCGTCTTCGCATTTTCTCCACTTATGCGATGATTTATGCTCGGGTTCAGGTTGCTCCGCAAGTGTTTGTGCCGTCAAATTCCTCGAAATCCAGCGACGGAGAACAGCGCGGTGGTTGTCTCAGCGCTCCGTGCAGGATCTTTACCTACTTATATGATATCCTTAAAGATCTTATATGTAAAAAAGCGAGAGTCTCGACCCTGATAGATATAGGCACGTACAATGGTACTTCACAAATAGGATCATCGCAACTTACCCCGGCGCAACAATACAGACGATATACTTTGCCATCTCTCCCGTTCTGCTCCTTTATTTCCCTTATGGTTTGCTCGACCACAGCGAAAAATACAGCCAGCAAATTCTCCTCACGACAATGGCGGAAATTGACACGGGACTGCTGCCACTAGGGGAGCGAATTCCCTACTGGAAGTTGATTCTTGATCAAGGTGTCATCACAAACCGAATCATCACCCATGAGTACAAGGGGTCCGGCACAGAGGAGGATCCCTACCTGGTGACCTGGATTTCACAAGATCCTCGCTCACCCCAGCAGTTTCGGAAGCTCACAAAGTGGCTGTACACTCTGTTGGTAGCAATTGCGACTCTAGCAGTCGCGCTGGTCAGCTCAGCCTTCAGCGGCGGTCTTGCAGAAATCCTGGAGGAATTTAAGGTGGATCAGGAAATTGGAACTCTAGGCCTGTCGCTTTTTGTGGTTGGGTTTGCTGTTGGTCCGCTGCTCTGGGCTCCGTTGAGTGAAATGTATGGCCGACAGATTCTGTTCTTCGTCAGCTATGCTGGCCTCACTGCGTTCAATGCAGGAGTAGCGGGCGCGCAGAATATATGGACTTTGATTATCCTTCGATTCTTTGCCGGTGCTTTCGGGTCGTCCCCTTTGACTAACGCTGGTGAGTGAGTGCTCGCTCCCTTCTCTCGCAGAGGCGCAGGAAAAAGGCTAATACTATAAGGTACATACAGGCGGCGTAATTGCAGATATGTTTGCAGCAAGCGACCGTGGGCTGGCAATGACGCTTTTCGCATCAGCACCCTTCCTGGGGCCTGTTCTCGGACCGATAATTGGTGGTTTTCGTAAGCATTTCCTCATCCATGCTCGAAAATACTGGTGCTAAATTGTCAATAGTGGGTATGAATGCTGGCTGGAGGTGGGTGATGGGTTTTCTGGCAGCATTCTCGGGCGCATTGTGGATTGTCTGCTCTCTGCTTGTGCCCGAAACCTACGGCCCTGTGCTTTTGCAACGACGAGCGGCGCGTCTGTCCAAGCTCACTGGCAAAGTATATGTCAGCATTCACGATGCGGAGAACGGAAAGATTTCGATATCAGAGGCCTTTAAAATTTCACTTTCCCGCCCCTTGGTTTTACTCTTTCGTGAGCCCATCGTGCTCCTCCTTTCGATTTACATGGCGATTATATATGGTACCCTGTACATGTGCTTCGGCGCATTTCCGATTGTGTTTGAGGGCGAGCGCCACTGGAACCAAGGTGTAGCAGGCTTGGCCTTCCTTGGTGTGATGGTAGGCATGATTCTAGCCATGGTGTATAGCATCTTCGACAATAAGCGCTATATACGCAACCAAGAAAAGAACTCTGGGTTTGCACCTCCCGAGGCCCGCCTACCTCCGTGCCTTGTGGGTAGCATTACAGTTCCATTTGGCCTTTTCTGGTTTGCCTGGACCACTTTCCCAGCAGTGCACTGGACTGTTCCGATTATTGCAGCCGCACCCTTTGGTTTTGGAATGGTGCTTGTATTTCTATCTGTGATGAATTACCTCATTGACGCCTACACGATTTACGCGGCGTCTGTGCTCGCCGCAAATTCGGTCCTTCGCTCGCTCTTTGGTGCCGCCTTTCCTCTCTTCACAACCCAGATGTATAGCAATCTAGGCACCCAGTGGGCCTCTAGTGTCCCCGCCTTTCTGGCCCTCGCATGCGTTCCATTCCCGTTCCTCTTCTATCGCTATGGCCCAGCCATCCGGGAAAAATGCAAATTCGCCGCGGAATCAGAGGCCTTTGTGCGCAGGCGCGGTGAGCAAACACAAACACAAAGTGACAGCCAAGGTGTTGTTGATCGCGATGTCGAGCGAGACAGCAACAGCTTTTCCTAGAAGAGGTGTGGGAGGCGCTTCTGGGATTCCGGTCTTGACTTAGTGAGGATCGAGTCGGCATGAACTTCGTCGGAGTCTATTTCGGATCTGGAGGAGCTCCCGTCTGTGGCGCGTAGATAGAGCATACCACTGTCAATTCACTCCCGGAAATCGAGTGTTTATGAGGGAAATCTGTATAATATCGATTGTGAGATGACGCAAGAACAATGATACACATTATTGGTAATGGCTTCAGGCAGTGAAGGAGAGTCCCCTCCCTCCAACCTGCTCCTTTCCCCAGATCTGCCAAAATCTTCGCTAGAAACCCATTCCCATTCCCATTCCCATTGATACTTATACTATCCAGGATGAATGCACAGTCCCCTAGAGTGCTAATAAATATAAAATTTTCTATTGAGAGGTGCTGTACTATACCCTAAAGCCTATAAATGAAACCCGCCCCGACGCATGTCCTAAAGCCAAAGTGCTATCTCTGAATGCTGAGAAACGAGGCCGATATTCAGGAGGGAGCCACAGGACTTTTTTGCCCTGGAAGATTACCCACTGCCTGTCTTGGATATATATCTCAACATTCTTCTGAATCGAATTGAAAGTATGGTTGTCACACCAGGACTGGATATGAAAGGATCCTAGATCGGTATTCAGATATGTACCATCTTCAGAAAATCCTAGGGCAGTGACAATTACGTCCACAGCCAAGATCTGCTGGAGGGCGCCTGTGGCAGTATCCCAGAGCTGGATCGTCTTATTACTAGAAGCGGACGCCAGGATTCGACTATCAGGAGAAAAGGCCACGCAGCCAACCCAATCTGAATGGCTCTTGAGAGTCTTCATCTGAGAGCCCGTGGCAGTATCCCAGAGTCGGATCGTCTGGTCATCGGAAGCGGACGCTAGCAGTCTACCATCAGGAGAAAATGTCACGGAGAGAACTCGGCCTAAATGGCCCTCGAGAGTCTGTGCTAAGGACCCTGTGACAGTATCCCAAAGCCGGATCGTCATATCAACACGGCCTTGATAGTACAGCCTGCCGTCAGGATAGCGTAGGCGGCATTCACCAGAGGCGGACGCCAGGAGTCGACCGTCTGGAGAAAATACCACGCACCCAACCCAACCTGAATGGCCCTCGAGAGTCTGTACTAAGGAGCCCGTGGCAGCATGCCAGAGTCTGACCGTCTGATCCTCAGACGCGGAGGCTAGTAGTTGGCCGTCAGGAGAGAATATCACGCACAAAACTAAACTTGAATGGCCCTTAAGAATTCGCTGTAGAGCTCCAGTAGCAGTATCCCAGAGCCGGACTGTGTCATCCCAAGAGCCGGACGCTAGTAGTCGACTGTCAGGAGAAAATGTCACGGACAGAACCCAACCCAAACTTGAGTGGTCCTTGAGAGTCTGCTGCAGGGTACCTGTGGCAGTATCCCAGAGTCGGATCGTATGATCATTAGAGCTGGAGGCCAGGAGTCGACTGTCAGGAGAGAATGTAACGGACAGAACCCAACCTGAATGGCCTTCTGGAGTCTGCTGCAGAGCGCATGTGGCAGTATCCCAGAGTTGAACTGTATTACCAGAGCCGCATGCTAGGAGTCCACCGCCAGGGGAGTATACTACAGACCTAACCCAACCTAAATATCCCTCAAGAGTCTGCTTTAGAGTGCCTGTGGTAGTATCCCAGAACCGGACTGTCTTATCGATGGAGCCAGAGGCAAGTAGTTGACTATTAGGAGAGAATGTCACAGATCGAACCTGCTCAGAATGACCATTGAGAGTCTGCCGTAGGGTACCTGTGGTTAGATCCCAGAGCTGGATTGTCTTATCATCAGATGCGGAGGCTAGTAGTGTGCCGTTAGGAGAGAATGTCACAGATCGAACCTTATCAGAATGACCTTTAAGAGTCTGCTGTAGGGTGCCCATAGTAGTATCCCAGAGTCGGACCGTCTTGTCATCAGAGGCAGAGGCTAACAGTCGACCGTCAGGAGAGAATTCCACACACCGAACCCCACCTGAGTGGCCCTCGAGCGTCTGTTCTATAGTACCTGTCGCAGTATCCCAAAATCGGATGATCTGATCATCGGAGGCGGAGGCTAACAGTGTGCCATCAGGGTAGAAAGCCACCGATCGGACTCGACTAGAATGACCCTTAAGAGTCTGCCGTAGGGTGCCCGTGGTAATATCCCACAGCCGGACTGTCCTATCACTAGAAGCGGAGGCCAGCAGTTGGCTATCAGGAGAGAATGCTACGCACTGAACCAGACTTGAATGGCCGTTAAGAATCTGCTCTAGGGAACCCGCGCTAATATCCCAAATCAGGACGGTTTTATCATCAGAGGCAGAGGCCAGCAGTAGCCCGTTTGGAGAGAATGCCACGGACCGAACCGAATCCGAATGACCCTCGAGGGTCTGCATTTCAGCACTCCAGCCATCCTCAATCTCTGGCAGGATATATATCTGATCGGTGATCTCTTCTTCAAATTGTCTCCGAATGATCGTCATTTTGGGTGTAAAGACAAGCCCGGAGAAATATATTTGGAGGGGGGCGATATCAGCGATCTGTCTATTTTTGAGGACAAATCGCTTTGCATCATGGAGGAATTCGGAAATATTGCCGCCTTTGTCACCCTAGATCAGTTAGCTTGAGTATGTATATAGGATTTCTAAAGAACCAACCTGTACGATTGATTGTAATCGATTTAATAGCCCTACAACTTCAAACCCAAGACCCAGAACGTTCATTGCTTCAATCCAGTGCAGGAAATGTTTTTGCAGAAACATGAAGACGTCATGCATCAACGCCTGCGGGTCCTTGCTTTGCATTAGATGCTGCACCCAAAAACGACAAGAGTATTGTAGCTCTGGTGGGAGGTAATGATTAAGAGTCTGGATACTGATCTCCTCGCGCCTAGTTCCCTCACTAGGCAGTCCACAAATATTCCGTCTTAAGCCGTCGCACAGCGAGATACATTGTGAAGTCAATCTTTGATGTACTTCTTTCTCGTCCACCCATAGTGGAGTCTTCTCGCGTGTTTCTGGATCAAGAAGGAAGTCTCGAAATGATAGATGGAAAGGCCGAACCGGCATGTTCTTATCTTTGGGTATACGAATCACCGAGTGTAATGAGTTCAGTCTCAAATCAATCAGTCTCTCAGAGACACCAATAAGTTTCGAGAGTGAAGTGACTGAGAGCGGGCTTTCAAGCATTACAATTGTACCCACTATCTCCTGAAACTCTTGAAGCAGCTGCATTTTCCGTTTCCCGTTCTGATTGTTGAGAATTCGATTAAGCACGGGAAGATACGTTGCATTCAGTTGAGATCCCTCACTTCGATTGGTGAGAATTTCGGTGATAGTATCCATGGGGTCCCACTGGGGATCTTCAAAAAGACGGCACGCAGTCGCAGCAAAGATGAATAATGGAACAGAAAGTGTCACAAGAGCTTGTGTGTTCGTGTCTCCAGGCCAATTAACAGGTAGTAAACGTTCTTTTCTGATCTTTGAAAGCCGGCTTTTTAAGAACAAAGATATATCGTGGGTTGTGACTGCCTCGGGAATCTCATGTAGTACAAGATTCCAATAGTCATGATCTCTGACTTCTAAAAATCCCAGTCGGATTGGGAATTCAGGCCTGCTTGTCAAGAAAATGCGGATATTCACAGCACTCACCTCCCGTAGCCGGGGTAGTAGTTGCAGTATGACACGTATGTCATTGTCCACTTCACATTCATCTAACGCATCAATCACTATCACTGCGGTCGGGATATGTTCAGAAGGCTGTTCCAAGCCGAGCAGCGGTTGGAGAATTAGATTGTCAAACTGATCCTTTAGCGACTTTGCTGCAAGACTAGGGTCATCACTGACGGCTTTCTGAACACCTAAGAGGAGCTGGGGGATGGTAATCACGAGCTGTCTTGCAAGAGTAGTAAAAAGCTTCGTGGCATTTCCCCGGTCCCCTTCTCCCCTCTTAAAGAAGAAACTCGCACCTAGGAGCTTGGATTGTTTGAAGGATTTTCCTACAGTTCGAGAGATTGTTGATTTCCCCGTTCCAGCCATACCATTGAGCCAGAATATGAATTTTCCCTGTGGGGAAATAGCCCATTCAGAGATCTGGGCAAGAAGCTCGGTTCTAGTGCCTGGAAGGCATTCATCTTCATGTTGATCCATAAATGAGTCCAACTCGGCATCCCGCGCATTCGGGAGCTTGTCAAGACCCAAGTTCCGGTCGATACGGCCTGTGGTCTCAGCCACGTATTCTATACGTGGCCTCAGGTTTTCTAAAATCCTCCCTTCAGTCTCCACCTGTTGAGGTATAATTCGACATAGAAGATCCTTGGCATACGCTGCTGCGACCATTGCCGCATAGCCTTGCCATTCTTTGTTCTTGTGGGAATCGGAGTAATCGCAGATGCCACGGATCACGAGGCAAGGAAAGCGGTTCATAAGCCCGGCCGCTTCCATTTCAAAGCACAGAACATCCTTTTCCGCTGCCAATTTGTCTCGAATCAAGGCATCTTTCATGAGTTGATTAGCCGACGCTATCAGCCCGTAATGAATTGCGGGGTTGTCATCGTCGTCGGTGCGTGGAAAACGTGGAACTAGGCTAGATAGATCATTTCCGCAACTCGTAGTGCAAGGAACGTCACCGTTTCGGGGATGAACAACGTGACTTTGGTATAGCCGATCGGTCGTAGAATCTGGGCGCTTGTATCTTTTTCGCAACCGTGGTTTCGTCTCGAAGATTTTGTTGACCGCATCATCGAGTTCGTGGCCTTCAGTCTCATATTGAGCATTGAGTCCGCTTACTGCTGCACGTAGGACAGTAGGTGGCTGGTTGAGAAACCCTGTGAGCTGGAAGCTTTGGCCTTGTACAGTCTTGCCAAAATCATACTGAATAACACCGCCTAGGCCGTTGTGGGGAATACTGACAACAATATCTCCCAGGCGGATATCGTGTTTTGGACTGGGCACACCACCCCCGATGCCAACCATCAGGCCGAGGCGAACATTGGGAAAGGTATGCATCATATCCTCTGCGACACAAGCTGCAGATGAGACGCCATATTCCCCCATGGGCAGAACAGAGATGACCACATTATGCTTCCCAATCCTGCCCAAGGTGTAGTCGTTTTTGTTGTGAGGCGGCAGATAAGCTGGGCCATCATGTTTTTCGTCGAGAAAAGCTTGGGCAGCGATGTATTCGGTGGTTATGGCACAAATCCAACCCACAGTATAGTCATCCGGATTAGACATCGTGGAACGGGGACTCCATCCAAGTATTGATCTGTGAATTAGTTGGTCGCACGATGCTTTAAATGGTCGAGGAAATAATTCGACTCGATTGTGCGAGATCCAGTAGACTCCACCCCGGCATGATCTTATACACCTCGCTGGTTTGATCTGTCGGGCTTGCCAAATAAAACCTTCAGCTGCACCTGATCTCACAGCTTTCTCTCGTTGGTTCTGGTCGAAGGAATCCCATAGTTGTTCGATGTGGGGTCCAGGGAGGTGGCATTTCGTTGCGAGATCATGGTGTAACTCTTTTGACAAGGCTCGATGTCCTTCTAGCCTCGCTTATCATCCTGGAAGTAGAAGACACGGTCCACTATTTGCCGCTAATGTAAAGATACCTATCAGTTGATCATAATCTGATATCAATATGTATTCACGGTTATTGATGGAGTTTACCCTAAACCTAGAAGCTGTCAATTGTCGGTTGATTGCCGATTGCCGATCACCGGTTAATGAGGTCAACACAAAACCGGTATTTGCTATTATATTTCAAAAGCATTATTTATCATTCTTCACAAATTTTTTGAGCGTTTAGTTGGTGCGGAAGTATAGAAATCATTAATTACATAAACATCTACAATGGCTGTGGAACAAACCGCTATTCAGCAAGTTGGAGATATCACGTCCAATCCACTACAAAAATATGGTAATGGCCAAACGATTCTAAGAATTGGGTAAGTTAGAGAATTCTCGGAATTTATCATTGACATGTTACTAATAGGCCGACGATGATAGAAATGGGGGTGCAGGTGAGCTTTACCAGATACAGACCAACACTAAATACGACAACTTGTAACGAGAACAAACTACTCTAAATGAGTCGTACTAACAGATTTTGTAGGTAAAACCGGGCTCGTGGAAGCTCTGGCGAAGAAATACCTATCTTCAAATTCAATGGAGGGCTCCATTGAATGGGTCTGCAATCACTCTAGAAATACACAACTGGCTCTTTACAACGGCTTCGTTGACATAGCCCTTACATATGAGCGAGAACAAGAAGAAATCTCCGTCGCAGAGGGTTGGGCTCAAAACGCAGGGTGCGTATTTCATGATCATTTCTGCCTAATCGGACCCGAGAACGATCCGGCCAATGTCAGAGGAGCGAATTCAATCGAAGAGGCTTTTGAGCAAATAGCCGCAAGCAAATCATCTTTCCACAGCAGAGCAGATGGATCAGCTACTATGGGAAAAGAGCGTGAGATCTGGCGACGATGTCATCGATCTCCATGGCTTGATGATGTCGATTCCTCGACATGGTACGTCAAAACAAAGTATACGCCAGCAGAGGCATTGGCAGCTGCCGGGCATGCCAATGCTTATCTGCTTAACGATCAATCAACATTTTTGAATCAACTTAGCCAGCGAGCTTTTAGCAACATGTCCGTCTTCTTTGAACCGACGAATCCTTTTCACTACTTAATGAATTCATGTTATGCATTATACAATGCTAACACTGGGAATAAGGATATTGAGAAGTTTATTGCGTTTATAAAATCGGATTCTGGCCAAGACGTTATCGCGAGCTATGGACTTGATAAGGTTGGAATTTCCTACTTTGCATCCGTCAAGCAGAAAATTGCTAGGCCGTCACTGGTTGGTGGGATGACAAGGGATGGGAGATGGATTTTGGCCACGCGTTTAGAGAACAAATTATAGCAAATTTTACCCTAGACTTTATGGTATGAAATGATTATTTTTGTATATGGTGCTGGAAACCAGGTACAAGAGTTTCCCGGGTAGTATTAGTCCCGAATGGAGCATATCTATGTCGGGGTATTCATGGTTCTCCGGCACATAGTAATGAAGCGAACCTGGAAACCGTAGACAAATTCTATTTAGACATGAGGCTTTTGATGGATTGGTTGGTTGAGAGATCTGGTTAACCGTGGATTTTGGAGTTGTTAGCCGTTTTATAGATCGGAAACAGTTGCCGAAGAAGCGGAGCTGCCAGTGCGGAAGCTTAAAACCAATTCGAGCTCCATCCATCTGATCTTCATTCACGGCCTCACTCTCAACAATACAACAGCAATATTCGGACGACTTTTCTCATTGATACATATTCAATATAAGGAAAGAAATGGCGCCCACCCTCGTTTCCTCCCCACCAACTCTCCGCATAAACCCCGAACCTCTCACCCCCCAATCCTTCGCCCCGTTCGGCACCGTCATCACAACCCCGTTCCCACGCGACCTCCTAGGCGCACCCAACAACCTGCCCGCCCTCAAACTACCTCACCGTGTCCCCGCAACACCCGTCTATGCAAATCAAGGCTCCGCCGTGAAAATAAGCCCCATTGCGCCCCTGGCCAATGGGTACGAGAATGCGTGCCCAAGCGGCAAAGCGGCGCAGGCGAGATTGAGTATGTTTGCATGTTTCCCGAGGAAATTGCGGAGGGAGAAACAGAGTGGTCACCGACAGACTGCTATCGATAATATTTTGAACGGCAAAATGAATGAAACACAACAAGACGACGGAGATGCGGAAGAGGCCGGTCTCGAAGGGCCAGTTTTCGATGTGCGGATCCTCGAACGGCACCCTTACACAACGCAGACGTTCATTCCGCTTGATTTATCGAGTCAAAAACGGGTGTTGCGGGACCGCGTGCCTGATAAAAAGAGTCACGACTGGAAGGGCTACGGCGAAGGAGACGTGGGCATGACATTAGACGGATCAGCGGAACAGGACGAAGAGCAGGAAGAGCCTATATTCTTGGTCATTGTTGCGCCGACCCTCAAGGGACAGTCTGCTGCTGCTACGTCATCATCAACAAAAAAAGATGCTGTAGCTGCAGATCCTACGATGATATCGACGATTGGCACGCTGTCCGACCCTGTGAATGAAGGGACTGTCGATTCGAATCGGGTCTTGATTCGTGATCCGCCCGATCTCGAGAATCTGAGAGCTTTTATTGCGCGTGGTGGACAGGCGGTTACTTATGGTCCGGGTACGTGGCATGCGCCCATGGTTGTGTTGGGGCCGCGACGAGTCGATTTTGTGGTTGTGCAGTATGTGAATGGTGTTGATGATGAGGATTGTCAGGAGGCGGCTTTCAAGGATGGGATTGTGGTTGATTTGAAGTCATTGAATGAGGAGGAGGATGAGTTTTGGGATGATTTGAAAAAGTTGTCTAAACTCTGAGAAGAGATGTGACTATTATTTCGGGAAGGGGATTATAAAAGATAGAATATTGTACAGATTCAATGGGTATCAAAACTAATATACAAGGACATAATAAACAGCCTAAAATACGTATTTAAGTAAGTGAAGGCCAACCTATCCGGTAGCAGCCTTGGCTTCGTCTTTGTGCTTTGACCAGTCTACCCAGTCAGTGTCATTAGATGTTTTCATCTGGCGAAGGACGTTTTCTGCCACGGTGATTGCAGCTTCCGGGAGACCGGCCAGACGAGCCACCTTTAGCGCATGTGACTGTCGATTGACGCCTTTACGCAGCTTGTGCACGAATGAGAACGACCCAGAAGGGCTTTCCTTGACATCTGTGCAATAAGCGTTGAGCTTTTCAAACCCAGCAGTCATGTCTATCAAGGCATGGAAATGCGTTGCGAACAATGTCCGGCATTGATTCACATTGTATAAATGTTCAAGACATGCGTATCCGACGGCGGTGCCGTCCTCAGGAGTGGTCCCTCGACCAACTTCGTCCATGATGACGAATGACCGAGATGTTGCTTGTTTCAAGATCGCGGCGGTTTCGAGCATCTCTACCATAAAAGTTGATTGATCTCTAAATAGATCATCGGCTGCACCGATCCGGCTGAATATCTGGTCGACGATACCAATTTCTGCATATTCTGCAGGAACAAAGGATCCGACCTGGGCCAGAATTGTTATCAATGCATTCTGACGCAAGAAGGTACTTTTCCCTCCCATGTTTGGACCGGTTATCAGCCAAACCCGGTCTTCATCGCCAATAAAACAGTCATTGCTGACGAAGCGCCGCCCCTGTTCTTCAAGCCCAAGTTTGACTGTTGGATGTCTTCCACCAACAATACGATGTGATGTACTTGTGTTTAGAATAGGCCGCACCATATTCTGCTCTTTTGCTAGCGTTGCAAAGGAGCAAGTAACATCTAATTCATCCATCACGGTGGCGTTGCGGCGGATCTTTACCAGATTGAGGATGACCTCTCTCCGAAGCTCTTCGAAAATTTGTTGCTCTTCAGCACGGATGTGTTTCTTCAATTTGTCTATTCGCTCGCCCAGTTGTGACCACGCGGGCAAGTAGAACGAGCGCGTAGATTTTGTAGATGAAACGATTCGTGTGACGCCGAGGTCTTCGAGCGCTTCTTGGGATATCTTGGCTCCTTTAACATGACAAATGTATCCTAAGCTCGGTGACCATTTCAGTGTCAGCGTGGAAGATCCGACTTGCTCTTGTAATCGATTTGTAAGAGTTGACTTTTCTTCCTGAAACTCATCTAGACGTTCGTGCAATCGTTGAAGAGCATCGCTAGCATCACGTCGCATAATCCAAATGTCTAAATCTCCCCGAATTGACTCGACTGCAAAACCAGGCCGACCTGTAGTCTTGAATCGCACCTTCCGAGGGATAGACTCAACGTCTTCGGGCAGACCTTCGTTGAGAACAACATCTTGTGTGAGTTGAGCAGCTTCTGCCGCTTGGTCATCTTCAATACGATGTTTCTGTAACAGAGCCTCTTCATCAATCGCAGCAAGAATCTTCTCAGCAAGCTGTGCCGGCCCGTCCATTTGTAGCCTGCGGATCAAATTTTCAACACTATGGAAGTTCATATCAGTCTCCGAAGTGGCAGGTGTTCGACGACCGGACAAAACCCTGAGAACTTCACGAGAGGCATCAATAGCCCTGGATAAGAATATAAGATCATCTGGATCTCCTCTTCCTAGCGTGAATTTCTGCACAAGGCGCTGAGAGTCGTAACTTCTTTTTAGAAGTGATACGATGGTATCTCTTATCTCTTTATCCTGAAGAAAGTAGGCGACAAGATCAAGGCGTTCCTGAATCACAGACAAGGACGTCGAAGGCGAAACTATTTTTATAGTTAGAATGGCAATCTCGTATCAAATATCATGTGGTAAACGTACTCAATCGATCCCGAAGGAGACGAGCTCCACTCTTGGTTGCTGTTCTCCGCACCGCGTGTAAAAGACTACCTTTGCCCAGCCCATCTCTGGCGGTCTCTAGTATCTCCAAGCCTCGGAGACTGCTTCTGTCAATGCCCATGGATTCATCCAAATGTCGTCGCTGAGGCGGCTGAAGTTTTGTGTCGACTCCTTGCAGTTGAACACGAACATATTCTAGAAGATTAAATCCTGCTGCCACCTCTACGTTTGTAAAAGTAGACGCCGTTTCGGGCGCTACAGGAGCCTCCAACATCTCTCCCCATTCGGACATGGGTTGTGCTTTGGTAGGCGCTTCAAAGAAGGTGAGTAACTGATGATCTACACCCACCAGCATCTGCAGCTCCTGAGCCAGCATATTCTGCAACCGTCGGTCTGCTATAATTTCTCGAGCGCCGATTCTGGCAATAGCTGAGGGAAGCATTTGCGCCGTTGTAACTTGAGTGTAAAAATCGCCAGTGGATAGATCCATCCACGCCAAGCCAACATGTCCCGATGATGAAGCTAATAGGTGTGAGATGGACGAAGAGTCGCCTCCGTCTTGGGACTGCTCCTCGAAGTAAGTTGCATCAACAAATACCGATAATAAGAAGTTGTTTTGCGAGGTGTCGATGAAGTTTTCGTCGATCAGCGTTCCCGGCGTGATGACTCGGGTTACTCTCCGATCGAACAGTAGCCCCCCGGATTTCGATTTTTCCTCCACAGGATTCAGGAATTCTTCACTCAGAGCAACATACTTTTGCAGATCTTGTACGAGAATTTTGAGAAATCGATCCAGTTGGAAAAAAGGGAAACCCGCCATTGGGACCGGCCCTGCGTTCGTCTTTTTCGATGCGAGTTTGATGTTCAGTAAGGGAGCTAACTCTTCTGCTTGTTCCCAATACAACTTCCCATGGTTAGCACACAAGAAGTCCAATATTTTTTTATATGCAAACACGCGTAGCTTACTTCGTAGAAGCTTCCCACCCTAGTCAGGACCACGCAGTTCTTGAACTTCTCCATATTATTCCTATGGTCTTGCACCACCTTGGGGTATCGAGGGGCCTCGTCCGCGCCATCGCTATATGTTTCGAGCTTGAGCGCGCCTTGCGGAAGATCTTTCAACTTCGCTGTAGTCTTTGTCTTCGCGCCTCGTGTGAAAGGTACGGCGATTCGAAGAGTTGAAGCTGGACAAGTTGGTCGGCGCGCAATATTGCTGATTGCCTTGTACCGGACGCCATTGCTGACTGGAGTCGACCTTAAGCATGTAGCTATAGTGGCTCCTGCACAAGAAGCACGAGCTTGCATGGTCTGAACTGGAAGGAAGCCATCCAGAGCTTCTGTACTTCGGAGTGTTTGTTGAAGTAGTCGCGATGAGCGGGCTCCTTAAGATTTCCCCACGCCGCACGACCCGCCAATCAACGTCCCGGAACACGCAAAAAGGTCTCCACTAAAAGTTCCTCCATTTTAGTCCCTGCTTGTTCAACGCCTTCACAGCTTTTACCTCAACCAAGCTATAATCTCTTCCTGCGACTCCGAGCTCAACATTCCTGGTACTGCGATGCCAGGACGATGATCTATCAGTGAACTCGAGGATCATTTACTTCCATCTGCTCTGTGTTGATAAAGTGGTAGCTCGAAAGCTTTTGACGCGCCACGGGTGCGGAGCTCGACAACGAGCGGAAGAGTTTTTTGCGACTTCGCAGTGAAACTCGCTGTCAACAGACATTCCTGAAAAGCTCATTTCGCTAGTTTTGGAGGCTTAGTGATTGCCTTATAACTGTCGGATTGTCTCTTACGCATTTTCGATTTCGCAACAGCACACGAGCGGAAGCAAGACGACCAAAATGGCGGACCCTAACAATGTGGCGCAATACAAATACTCGTAAGTTGTCTCTATCTCCATCGTACTGTATGGCTACTAATAAATCCAGGGCGATGAGTAACCTGGTGCTCCAGGCCGATCGCCGATTCATCACACGCCCAGGAGACGAAGCGACTGGCGACCCAGAGTCTCTCGCCGGAAGGATAAATATACGAGATATGGGGGCGCGAGTTGCCCACGATGAAGCACCCAAGGCTAAGAAAGGATTAGCTGCTCAGGTCGATATTGAGAGAGGTAGCATTCGTGAAGGTGCCGACGTATTAGACCGCGAGCAGCGAAAGCGCAAACGCGGAGAACAAGATCAACTTCGTGGAGCTGGCATTCTTTCGGCTGCAGATATGTTGATCGAAGGCTTAAAATATCGCCCTAGAACTCCTGCTACGAGGGCAACCTACGACCTGATCCTTACCACGACCGCCAACCACCTTGGCGATGTTCCTCACGAGGTCGTTCGAAGCGCAGCCGACGCGATTCTCGAGACTCTCAAAGACGAGAACATGAAGGATTTCGATAAGAAAAAAGAAATTGACGATCTACTTGGCTCAACTATGAACCCCAAGGAATTCAACGAGTTAGTCAACCTCGGCAAGAAAATCACAGATTACGACGCACAGGACGAGGACGAAAACATGGAAGACGGACTTGACGGCGCAAATGAAGCGGAGCTTGACGAAAGACAAGGTGTTGCAGTTGTCTTTGACGAGTCCGACGAGGATGAAGAGGGCCTACGAGGAATGGAGGAGATTCGTGACGAGGACGAGTCCGATGAAGAGGCTTCAGACATCGAAGATCGACCAGAACCTGATGATGCCGCCCAAGCAGATCTCGACGGAGACGAAGAGATGATTTTGGATGGTGGTGGAATGGCCGACGCCAAAATGTCGGCTGCACAAAAGCAAATTATACCGGCCCGCGAAATCGATGCATACTGGTTACAACGCCAGATCGGTACCATTTTCCCCGATGAGCACGAGGCAACTGCATCCGCTCGTTCCGCCTTGGAAATTTTGAGCGGCAAAGATGCTGACGGTAACGAACGTCAACTTCGTGACATTGAGAATGATTTGATGGAACTGTTTGATTACGAGCATCCCGAACTGGTGGCAAAATTTGTCAAGAACAAGGATAGAATTGTCTGGGTAACCAAATGGAGACGGCTAGCAGAAAATGACGATGCTCGCCTTCTGGTTGAAAATGAGATGGTCGAAGCTGGTCATCGAGATATTCTAGACGAGATCCATGGACGTGCTGAAGAAGCTCAGCGTCCTGGAAAGAAGATCAAAATGGACCTTATGGATGTTGATGTCCCAGCGACTACCAGCCAGACCAAGGTTGAGGAAGGAAAGCCTTCCTTGAGCAGTCTCCTCCCCACGCGTTTAGTCAATCTTGAATCATTGAAGTTCGACCAAGGAAACCATCTCATGACGAACCCTAACGTGAGGTTGCCGCAAGGATCGACCAAACGTACATTCAAGGGCTATGAAGAGATCCATGTACCTCCGCCAAAGCCAAGGCGTGACCCCGGTGAAAAGAATATACCCACAAGCGAGCTACCTGACTGGGCCCGTGTAGGCTTCGGATCGTCGAAAGAGCTTAACAGGATACAGACTAAATGCTACCCCACGGCCTTCCATGACGATGGTAATATGCTCGTTTGTGCTCCAACAGGCTCTGGAAAGACTAATGTGGCCATGCTCACAATGCTTCGTGAGATTGGCAAGAACCGAAACCCAAACACTGGTGAGATCATGCTCGATGATTTCAAAATCGTGTACATCGCTCCTCTTAAAGCTTTGGTTCAAGAACAGGTTGGAAACTTCGGCAAACGCCTGCAGCCATACGGTATCCGTGTTAGCGAATTGACTGGTGATCGTCAACTCACCAAGCAGCAAATTGCTGATACTCAAATCATTGTCACGACCCCAGAAAAGTGGGATGTCATCACTCGCAAAGCGACAGATTCAAGCTACACTAAACTTGTGCGCCTCCTCATTATTGACGAGATTCATTTGCTCCACGATGATCGAGGTCCTGTATTGGAAGCCATAGTCAGTCGAACACTTCGTCAGAATGAGACCTCTGATGAGCCTACCAGAATTGTCGGACTCTCAGCTACACTTCCGAACTATCGTGATGTCGCTAGTTTCTTGCGTGTTGATGCTACCAAGGGTCTTTTCCATTTCGATGGCTCATATCGTCCTTGCCCATTGCGTCAAGAATTTATTGGCGTTACGGATAAGAAGGCGATTAAACAGCTCAAGACTATGAACGATGTTTGCTACAATAAAGTCCTGGAAAACACCGCTAAAGGTCATCAGATGCTTATTTTTGTCCACTCACGAAAGGAGACCGCCAAGACGGCCAGATATATTCGGGACAAAGCTGTCGAGATGGAGACGATCGGCCAAATTCTGCGAAGTGATGCGGCTAGTAGAGCTATTCTAGCAGAAGAAGCCGAGAATGTAGACGACGCCGCGCTCAAAGACATAATGCCGTATGGTTTCGGTATCCATCACGCTGGTCTGTCGCTGGAAGACAGAGACTCGGTGGCCAGTTTGTTTGCCGATGGCAGTATCCAAGTGCTTGTTTGTACAGCAACTCTAGCCTGGGGTGTAAACTTACCTGCTCACACTGTCTTGATCAAAGGCACCCAAGTTTACTCACCTGAACATGGTTCTTTCGTACAGTTGAGTCCACAGGATACCTTACAGATGCTTGGCAGAGCAGGTCGTCCACAGTTCGACACAGAAGGCTTGGGAACAATCATAACGACACAGAACGAGCTTCAGTTCTACCTCTCACTGTTGAACCAGCAACTACCAATTGAAAGTCAGATGATCAGCAAATTGGCAGACAACCTGAACGCTGAAATTGTCCTGGGTAATATTCGCGACCGCACCGAAGGTGTCCAATGGCTGGGTTATACCTATCTCTATGTTCGAATGCTTCGATCACCTGGTTTGTACAGTGTTGGTGCTGATTACGCAGAGGATGAGGCATTGGAGCAGAAACGTGTGGATCTTATACATTCTGCTGCGACTGTACTGGAAAAAGCTGGCTTGGTTAGGTATGACAAAAAGATTGGAAAACTCCAGTCCACAGAGCTTGGACGTATCGCGTCCCACTACTACATCAGCCACAGCTCCATGCAAACCTACAATCACCATCTTCAGCCAGGCATCAGCACTGTTGAGTTGTTCCGGGTATTTTCTCTCAGCGAGGAGTTCAAGTACATTCCTGTCCGACAAGACGAGAAATTGGAGCTTGCCAAGCTACTCGGTCGTGTGCCTGTTCCTGTTAAAGAAGGAATTGAAGAACCTCATGCGAAGATTAATGTCCTTCTCCAAGCTTACATTTCCCGACTCAAGCTCGAAGGGCTTGCGTTGATGGCAGACATGGTGTATGTCACTCAATCTGCTGGCCGAATTCTCCGCGCTATCTTTGAAATCTGCCTGAAGAAAGGCTGGTCATCAGTTGCAAAGGTTGCATTGAATCTTTGCAAGATGGCCGAGAAGCGCATGTGGCCAACAATGACCCCGTTGCGTCAATTCCCGACATGCCCTCGAGATATCATGCAAAAGGCCGAGAGGATCGATGCTCCTTGGTCTAGTTACTTTGATCTCGATCCTCCACGAATGGGCGAGCTTCTTGGTATGCCCAAGGCCGGCCGTATTGTCTGCGATTTGGTCTCAAAATTCCCGCGATTGGAGGTTCAGGCACAAGTCCAACCGATGACTCGATCTCTCCTTCGTGTTGAGTTGACTATCACACCCAACTTTGTCTGGGATGATGCTCTACACGGTACCGCAGAGAGCTTCTGGGTGATTATCGAAGATTGCGACGGGGAGGAAATCCTCTTCCATGATCAGTTTATCTTGCGTAGAGAGTTCGCTCAGGGAGAAGTCACCGATCATATCATGGAGTTTACCGTTCCTATCTCTGACCCGATACCACCTCATTACTTCTTGCAAATCATCTCCGACCGCTGGATGCACTCTGAAACCAAGGTTGCTGTATCCTTCCAGAAGTTGATTCTCCCCGAGCGCTTTCCGCCTCATACACCATTGTTGGACATTCAGCGAGTCCCTGTACAGGCTCTGAAACGTGATGATTTTAAGAGCCTATACCCGAACTGGCAGACTTTCAATCGTATTCAAAGCCAAGCTTTCAAGAGCTTATTCGAGTCAGATGAAGCTGTTTTCCTTGCCGCTCCTGCAGGAAGTGGCAAGACAGTATGCGCTGAATTGGCCCTCCTTCGTCATTGGTCGCAACCAAATAAGGGACGCGCAGTGTACGTTGCCCCTTTCCAAGAGTTGATCGATTCGCGATACAATGACTGGTCGAAACGTCTCGGCTCGATTGCAGGAGGAAAAACAATTGTGAAACTCACCGGCGAGACTACAGCGGATTTGAAGCTCTTGGACTCAGCGGACCTAGTTCTTGCAACACCGGTTCAATGGGACGTCTTATCACGACAATGGCAAAGACGGAAAAACATTCAAACAGTAGACCTGTTCATCGCAGATGAGCTGCATATGATCGGAGGCTATCTTGGATACACTTACGAGATTGTTGTGAGCCGGATGCAATTTATCAAATTACAGATTGAGAGCGACTTGCGAATAATCGGTCTGAGTGTACCCCTGTCAAATGCTCGTGATATTGGAGAATGGATCGGAGCAAACCGTCACTCGATCTTGAACTTCAGTCCAAGCTCTCGACCTATCCCGCTCGATTTGCATATTCAGTCTTATAACATACCTCACTTTCCCTCTCTCATGATGGCTATGGCGAAACCTGTATACCACGCTATTGCCAACCAATTATCTCCTGACAAGCCAGCCCTAGTCTTCGTTCCAAGCCGAAAGCAGGTCCGGTCAACAGCCGTGGATATTCTGGCGGCTTGTGCTGCTGATGACAACGAAGATCGTTTCTTGCATGCTGACGTGGAGCAAATCGCGCCTCTCTTGGAAAGAATCCACGAAAGAACGTTAGCCGAGTCAATCTCACATGGAGTTGGCTACTACCACGAGGCATTGAGTACCAATGACAAGCGAATTGTGTCCCACTTGTTCACTATTGGCGCTATTCAGGTTATGTTGGCTTCCCGCGATGTCTGCTGGGAGATTGATTTCACTGCTCATCTGGTCATTGTTATGGGAACGCAGTTCTTCGAGGGTAGAGAGCACCGCTACATCGACTATCCGATTAGTGAAATACTTCAGATGTTCGGTAAAGCCTCGCGACCCGGTCAAGACAAGATCGGGCGCGGTCTCCTGATGGTAGCTGAAACAAAAAGACCATATTACAGGAGGTTCCTCGCGGAAGCGCTACCACTGGAGTCTGGACTTTCCTCAGCACTTCATGATGCCTTCGTCACGGAAATTAGCACTCAAACAATCAGCTCAACCCAAGATGCGGTGGATTGGATGACGTATACATACTTCTACCGCCGTCTCCTTGCCAATCCCAGTTTCTATGGTCTCACAGATGTCAGTCACGAGGGATTGAGTACATTCTTGTCTGAACTGGTTGAGAGCACATTGAAGGAGTTGTCGGAGGCGAAGATCATCGAACTCGATGAAGAAGACGATAGCATTTCGCCAATGAATGCGGCGATGATTGCTGCATACTACAACATTTCCTTTATCACTATGCAGACATTCCTCCTATCCTTGTCGGCTCGCACGAAGCTTAAAGGTATTTTGGAAATCATCACCTCTGCCACCGAGTTTGAATCTATCCAAATGCGCCGACATGAGGATCACATTCTAAGACGCGTCTACGACCGTGTCCCCGTCAAGATGGCAGAGCCCGCTTACGACTCCCCTCACTTTAAGGCATTTGTCCTCCTCCAAGCTCATTTCTCTCGAATGCAATTGCCAATCGATCTTGCAAAGGACCAAGAGGTTATTGTTGGCAAGGTTCTAAATCTTCTCAGTGCTTGTGTTGATGTTTTGTCATCCGAAGGGCATTTGAATGCTATGAACGCTATGGAAATGTCACAAATGACTGTCCAAGCCATGTGGGATCGTGATAGTCCTTTGAAACAGATTCCTCACTTTACACCGGAAGTTATCCAGGTGGCTAACGAATTCAAGTATGTGCAGACTTCTTCTTTGCCTGAAAACTCCACTAACAAGCTCTATTCTAGGATTAATGACATTTTCGAGTTCATGGAGGCTATGGACCCCTCCGAGAACAAAGACTATGCTGCGTTCGTCAAGCGCCTTGGCTTGGATAACAAACAGTTGTCTCAAGCTGCCAGCTTCACAAATGACAAGTATCCCAATGTGGAGATGGACTTTGAGGTTGAAGATCCTGATAGCATTACGGCGGGCGATCCGGCTTACCTCAAGATCAAGGTGGAACGGGATGTTGAGGAGGACGAGGAACCGGATACCACAGTCCACGCACCATTCTATCCTGGAAAGAAAATGGAGAATTGGTGGTTGGTGGTCGGTGACGAGAAGACGAAGAGTCTCCTTGCGATCAAGCGTGTCACTATTGGTCGGAAATTGGAGACGCGACTTGAATATATCGTGCCCACTGCTGGCCATCATGAGTTGACACTGTATCTCATGAGCGATAGCTATGTGGGTGTTGACCAGGCGCCCACATTCAATGTGACTGCCGCTGAGGGAATGGACGAGGACGATAGTGAAGAGGAGTGATGACTGCAAAAGGAGATAAATTCTAGATATGTGGTATATGTGTTTGGCGTTTTCTGAGAATTACTGTTTCTGTACTACCATTTTTGTTATTCGAAAGGCACCAATGAATTGTACAACAACTATACAATACACATGTCTTGGATTGCACAAGGGATAGAGATATCACGCAATGAGAAGCAGTAGGTGTTTTTGCGCATAATGAACCCTAGAAAGCCCCAATTCAAGGCACCAAGGCAGCAACTGGGTGGCGGGATTTACCTACCCCACTTTTGGTGATCTCCGCATTTGATACAACGCTGAAGGTACCCAGACTCTTGAAGCTTCCATCTACTCTGTTCATCTATTCATTCTCGAAATACCTATTTACTGCCATTCCGTCCCCTATTTCCAGAAAATTACTATCTCGCAATTATTCACAGGACAGAAGCGACCATCATGACCATCAGAGCTGCCAAATTCACCCCAGAGTACAAGCTCCACCTCACTCCTACCTCCAAACCTTACTGACAATAGCTCCCCTAGGGTCCTCCTCTCAGCGCCACGCAGGTCAGCAGCCGTCCCCAATGCCAGCGGCAAACTCGCCGTTTACACCCAAACAACCTACTCCTTCGAAAGCCACTCCAAAACGAACGAGATCCGCACCATCGACCTCGAATCCGGCGAAACCTCGGTCGTCACGAACGACGTAGGCGCCAGTAACCCACAATGGCTGGACGATGGCGACTTGCTGGTTTGGTTGAAGGGGAAAGATAATGGGAACACAAGTTTTGTGATTGGCGATGCTCGAGATCCAGGACGGTTCTACACTGCGGGTACAGTACCAGGACCAGTTTCCGATTTGAAAGTCACAAAGCTCGAGTCAGGAAAGACCGGGTTCGTGGTTTCAGGTAAAGCGAATCCGGATGGAAGCTTGTATAACCCGAAAGATGCAAAAAAACCCTTGAGCAGTGGGAGATATTATACATCGACTTGGGTGCGGCATTGGGATGAATATATAGAGCCTCAGAAGAATTCGTTGTGGTACGGTGTATTGCAGAATTCGCCATCGGCGGCATCAGATAAGGAGAAGAGATACGCGTCGTCTGGGTTGACAAATCTACTCTCTGTTTCGGGTTTGACGGATGTTGAAGCGCCCATACCCCCATTTGGCGGCACGGATGATTTCGATATCAGTCCGAATGCGGTTGTGTTTGTCGCGAAGGATCCTGCGGTGAATAAGGCGACTCATACAGCTTGCGTGTGTTACTATTGTCCCATGCCTTCATGGACGGATCTGAGAACGCGGGAGGCAAAGATCTATCAAATGAAGGGTCTTGAGGGCGCTATGAGCTCGCCTGTATTGTCAAATGATGGTAGCGCTATCGTTTTTCTAGCGCAAGAGAAGGATGGACATGAAGCTGACAAGAACCGGATCATTTTTGTGCCTAATCCTTGGAGCGGTCAGTTGCTAGAGGTATTCAAGTCGAAGGATGGGAAAGGAGCATGGCCCTTGAGTCCTGGCTCGGTCTCCTGGGCAAAAGATAACAAGTCATTGCTGATCACGGTGGAAGAAAAAGGACGAGGAATATTATATCAGTTTCCAATCGAAGACATATTGAACGCCACGCCGGATAAGTTGAAGAAGCTCACCAGCACAGGCTTTGTTAACAGCGTTGCTCCATTGTCGGCGGACACGGAACTCCTTCTTGTTTCAAGCAGCAACTTGATAGAGAGCAGCGTCTACACAATCGTCGACCCTAATGCAATTGACGACGCAAAAATTTTGTCGTCTATTAGCCGTGGCGGATCATCGATCGGTCTGTCGCGCTCTCAGGTCGACGAAATATGGTACAAAGGCGAAAACGACCAACCCATCCACGCTTTCGTCGTGAAACCATCAAACTTCAATCCAGACGAGAAATACCCTTTGGCATTCCTGGTTCATGGCGGACCGGAATCAGCGTGGAACGATTCGTGGAGTACTCGCTGGAACCCGGCGGTATTTGCCGAGCAGGGCTATGTGGTCGTTACGCCGAACCCAACTGGTAGCACAGGATATGGACAGGACTTCACGGATGCTATCATTGGCAACTGGGGTGGTCTTCCGTATCTAGACCTGGAAAGAGGGTTTGATTACATCAGCAAAAACCTGAAATATGTTGACATCGACCGCGCAGTGGCATTAGGCGCTTCGTATGGTGGATACATGATGAACTGGATCCAGGGACAGCCGCTCGGTCGAAAATTCAAGGCTCTTGTTACGCACGATGGGGTATTTAGCATGACATCGCAGCTGGCCAGTGAAGAGCAATACTTCCCGCTCGCCGATCTCAAGGGACCTCTGTGGAAGGTGCCTGAAGAATGGCAGAAATGGGATCCGTCGCGATTTACCGCGAACTGGGAAACACCTCATTTAATCATTCATAACGAGCTTGATTACCGACTAACAATAGCAGAAGGCTTGGCTGCGTTTAATGTGTTGCAGATGAAGGGCATCGAAAGCGCATTCTTGACATTTCCTGATGAAAATCATTGGGTATTGCAGCCTGAGAATTCTCTGGTGTGGCATTATGCTGTGATCAACTGGATCAATAAACATGTCGGATTGCCAGAGATCTCGACGGCTCATCATGACGGTATCTTCGAAGCCGACAAGAATTTCAAAAAAGTTACAAATGTTCCCTTGAGATGACCTTTGTCACAAGCGTCGATATGAAGAAACGGACTTGAAAGCACTTTTCAAACACCTATGTATTGTTTATGTTTGTCTTTTTTCAGGCGGGATTACTTCATTTGTCAATTTATCAGACTATGTCCTCGAACCATTCTCAGACGGAAATGAGCCATTTGTTACATATGTCTTGGTTCTGTCAAATTCTTCTCAATTATCGGCTGAGATCAGACGCAGGTTTCCTGTTTGTGACTCTTTGTCTATACCTTACTCAAAACACGATATACATCAGAGACAATGGAAAGCCTACAAATTCCGTCTTCTTGACACATAGTCGTCCGAAGTCCAGATCCATGATTCACAGTGACATGGTCCATAAGTATGACTAGCATATCTAGCAGCATGTTTCCAAGGCTTAATTCCTATAATTTACTACAACCTCAGTGCTACTAATTATTCAATCTATAGTCAAACACATACTCTATATACTGAGGCTATAATCCCTGATTATAGTGAAATAGCCTCAGATATCTTACTAGTGCTAACCATAACTCAGTGGTGCCAAATCGAGCAAATTACTTCGACATGGCAGAACAACCGAACACCAAACTGAAACTCACTAGAAAGAAGTGCGAAGACGATGCCACCACCAAATCCACCAGAGATACCGACGACTCTCTACACCTCACAGAAACCCTCCAATCCCTCCTCGACAACACCTCTCTACCACGAGGCCTCGCACAACCCCATCCCGACTTCCTCCCAACACTAACTCACCTCTCTCAAACCCTCTTCAAACTCGTCTCACTAACAACCGGCAAGCCGCACCCATACTGCCCGGATTCCGTACTACGCTACCATCTACTTACATCCACTCAACTAGACGACATCGCGCGACATTACCATCAAATCTGGCCACCGGTGCCGGAGACATATCGGTACCCAAAACCAATCAAGCCGTGGATTGGGACGGAGGAAGAGTGCACGATTGATATCGAGGGGAAGAGGGAGAGGATTGGGCAGTTTATTGGGTTGAGGAGGGGAGTGATGGTGCCTACTGCTGTTGCTACGATCGCTACTGGTGGTGTTGAGGCGATGGTGGCTGGGATGGATCAGAGTGCTGATGTCCAAAATGTCGATGATGGGGATGAGGATGATAGTGGTGAAGATGAAGAGGATGATATCGTGAAGGTTATCTGTGAGCGGATAAGGGCGCAGATGCAAAGGGATTGGGAAGAGGCACTTGAGCGAGCCGGAAGGGATGAAGGGTACTACGGTATCGTTCGACTTACAAAGGCCTGAACTATTTTTTTTGTAAATACTTCTCGATATAATCTATGACTATATTTTTTAGTCACTTTGTGTTTAAGGTTGTAGTCACTCCATGTGTCACAGCCGTACTACGAAATCTAGACCCTCCCTGTACCCTGTCCGCAATCCTGGTAACCTGTAGAAATAGAAAGGCTAACCTAGGTTGACAGATCTACGGAATCAGGTACGTCGGAATGACTCACCCACTCCCCTAAAACCCTAACTCAACTCAACTCAATTTCATCCCCTTCCCAGATCCAAATCTAGATCTCGCTAGCATCTACACCGAGAATCCGTTGGGGAAGGGGCCGAAAAGCGGACTTGTTCCTGCTGTACCTGAAGAAAGCTTTGTCTATAACCTCGGCCAAGTGCCAATTATGTCAGATTGTCAGCCAAATCAAAGCTGAAGGAAGAATATAAAGTAATTGAATTGACTTTTCGTTGATGCGAGCCCTTGCGAGGAATTGGATGAAGAAAAGCGGCCAGTGTCGGTTGTCAGTCGGCTTGTATCGGGCTGCCGGTAATGGCTGATCGGCGGGGGGCTAGTATTTTTCATAGCTTAATCGTTGTGCGCCGATTGCGACTGCGGAGTATGCCATAGTCTCCGGTGACTAGGTACAATTGTTGACTTGATGGACAACACGAAGCAGGTTTCCTCACTCTGATCGCCGGCGTACATAGGACAGTGTGATGTTTGTAACGCTGCTGTATCGAGGATTTTTGCCCTATCAATGTCTAGTGGTGTTTCATCCTACAAATCTGATAACAAAATTACGTGCGTGCTGCATGCAGAAATCGGTTTGGTACGTTTGTCATACACGAATAGTCTATATATATTACAGAATACCAGCTTGACAAGATGTAATTTATGTAATGATATCGTTACATAAAATTTAGAATACGAACTAGTACCAAACCGGCCCTAGTATGTAGCTCGAGGATCTTACAAATTCAATCTGATAAAAAAAAATTACGCTACAAATACACAGAAAGCCTATCAATTAAGGTTCTGAAGCTGTACGGAGAAATGGATTGAATTTCCCATCCGTTTTTTTCTTTTTCCATCTCGTTATCTCGAATGTCAACGATAAACGTCACCAATTGTTGACCTACCATAAATACAGTTTGAGTTCCTGATCTTCCTCATTTTCTTCTTTTCCGCCCATCAAAGTCGAAAAAGAGAGTTCCCTCAAATGCGTATGTCAATTGGCCGAAAAATCGTCATATAAAATTGCGCTATGAGTGCTCCTCAAGAACCCCGCGCGGGTCAACAGCCGCAGCAGCAGCAGCAACAACGACCGATTTCAGCGCAGGGCAGTGTTGCATCCTCTGAAATTACGTTGACTCGATGGCAGAAGATTGAGAATGTCATCTGGGACGGCGGTCATCGTACGCCGCAGGAACGCGCTCTTGTGCGTCGGTTGGATATATTTATCATGTTCGTGATACTATTCATTAATTGTACAAATATTGGACCACTAACCTACCTTTTGTCTGAAATAGGAGCTGGGCTACAATCGGGTACTTTGTGCGACTGCTGGATTGGGCTAATGTCAGTAAGTAAACTCCAAAAGGCTTCTTTATATCCTGTACGAAAGACTAACCATGTCATAGCAAATGCATACGTCTCTGGCATGAAGGAAGACCTGCACTTTACCGGAGCAGACTACAATCTGCTCTCGACATTCTTCATCATTGGTTATGTTATCGGTCAAGTGCCGTCGCAAATGGTCCTGACACGCGGTAAGAAATAGCCTCAATCCAGTCAGTAAAAGGACATGATTCTGACAGTTTCAGTCCGTCCATCATACTGGCTGCCGACCTGCGAACTACTCTGGTCAATTGTCACATTCTGTTTCGCAGCTGTGCAGAATGTGCGAGATGTCTTTGCGCTTCGTATTGTGATGGGCTTCCTCGAGGCTCCATTCGCAGTTGGCGTCTTGACTATCATGGGAAGCTGGTACACCCCGCGCGGTACGCCCATTCGCTCCTTCTAAATCCAAGCCATTTCACTAATAAAAAAAAATAGAACTCTCCAAAAGAATTGCCATCTTCTACTCCGCCTGCTATGCTGCCAGCATGTTTAGCGGCTACCTCCAAGCCGGTATATACAACGGCATGAACGATCACCTGGGCATCGCCGGCTGGCGCTGGCTCTTCATCTTCTGTGGCGTGATTTCTCTCCCTTTCAGTCTATATGGCTACATCGCCATCCCCGACAACCCATACAACAGCAAAGCCTTCTGGATGCCCCCTCACCAACTCGAATTCGCACGCAAACGCATGGAGGCATGTGATCGCCGCCCTCCCGTGTTGCTCACATGGGCCAAAATGAGACGAATTGTAACCCACTGGCCTCTCTATGCGTTCACGGCAATCATGATTTGCCAGTGTCTCGTTACGCAGCCCCTGAACTATTTTGCGGTATGGTTGAAGAGTCTGAATCGGTTTTCAGTATATCAGGTTAATGTCATCCCGACTGCGGGCCAGGCTGTGGGATTACTTACGACGTTGGCGTATAGTTGGCTTGCTGATGCATGGGGTGGTGAGAAGAGATGGAAAGCTTTACTCATTCCGGCTGTGGTCAATCTGGTGGGTTTGATCATTGTTTCGATTGGACCAGGGTTTGGTGCGACGTTGTTTGGGTATTTACTCAATGGTGCTAGTTGGGGTTTCTGGCCGATCTGCTTCGTATGTTTCCTCTTCTTCTTGTTTACCTTATGGTCCCAGTTCGTATTGACTTGTCATAGGCATGGACGAACGAAGTATGCGCCTCAGACCCTGAGGAGCGCGCAATCGTCATTGGTGTCGCGCAAACAATGGGTCAAGCATTCGTCGCCTGGGTTCCTAGTCCGTCTCCCCTTTTCCAACCATCTCATCACATGCATGCTAACCCCAAATTCCACAGTCCTGATCCTGAATACAGCCAAATACGCTCCCAAATTCACAATGGGCTGGAGCATCCTCACCGGTTTCAGCGCTTGTCAACTAGCCATGGTATTTGTTATTCGGTGGCTTGTGCAAAGAGATAAGCAACGCGCACGGGAACAACAGCAAGAAGGAGGATTCAACGGTCATCATGATCGTGGCAACGATGTTGAGGGCGGAGTTGCTGCCCATGGTAATGTTGAGGAAAACACTGCCGAGGATAGTGAAAATGTGGTGCCCACTGCTCCGGAGATGACGAAGCTGTAATGGATCTCTTATTGGAGAATTCTAATGCGATCGAAGAAAAAAATGGATGGGAGGACTTCAGAGTCCTGGTAATGAGAAAGGATGACTTTATACATGACTTTATATTGACATGCAGCCTCTGTCTCGGGCATATCATAGAAGAGCATAGACTAATTCCCAATGCTTGTTTTATTGACTTCTACTCAGGACCAGCAGTGTGGGTAATAATGCTTTTCATTGTATTTTGGAGGATACTTGTACAGGACGAAGTCGCCGGATTAATCTGTTCAGGAGAACTCTGCCACCGACGATAACACTAATGATAGGAGTAACGAACACACTATGAATAAGGAGTCTTGGACAAAAGGATCGAGTCAAAGTCCACTGCTACCGCTTAGTCTACGGAATCTCAACAGTAACTGCCGGCAAACTTACCCAACTGTATTCCACACAACTCTATCGGCCGTCAAAAAAATCTCCTCTGTCTCGCTCAGCTTGTCACCATGTCTAGCCATTCGTAGTAATGTCGCTTCGGCGAGTTCGGGGTTTTTGCCATGGCCAAATAGTCGGTACGGCGCAGACGTGATCATGCCATTGTAGTAGTAATTGACGATCGAGAGACCTTCTGCGGGTTTTCGGCTCAAGACGTATTTCTGGACAAGCTTTCGGAAACTGGGCTTGACACCGAGATCAGAGGCCAAAGCCTCTTGATACGCTAGCGCAGGAACGGCTATCGTATGTCGACGAGAGTTGACAAACTACTTTCATTAGCTGACTGTAATAGCACACGTGGCATACCTCAAGAAGACTTACATTCTTTTCCTGCTCTTTCTCAGCTTTCTCGATTTCCTTCTCCATCTTCTCCCTTGATGGTAGATGAATCCTTCTGGTCAGCGAGGCTACTGCCCATCGAGCCTGAAGCTCAACGGTCGGGTGAATGGGCCCTAGAAACTCAACAAGACCCAGGAAGAAGAGGTTGTCATATGTCGGAGAATTGACGAACCGATACAAATGAAGCGAGTTCTGCTTTCCTCTGCGATACGTTTCCTCAGCAATGACTGGCATGGTGACATTGTACCCGGTACAGAAAATGAGCTCGTCGACTTCAAGAGTTTCGCCGTTACTAAGAACAATAGCTCTCTCAGTAAAATTCTCAACGGACGCACGGTGTGGAGTTATAGAGCCCACACGGATACGATCAAGGAATTCGCTGGATACAACTGGGTTGGCCGTAAGAATTCCATGGTCTGGCATCAGAGCCGTAGGCACATCGCCCACAACAATACGGTGAATCATTTCGTAAGTCAATGCAAGAATGGACCGTGGCAGAATATACTCCACTAGACGGCTATGAAGTGATTCGACGAGTTTGCCGTTGACGTATCTAGGCAGAACCCAACCTCCTCGCTGAGTGATGAGATGGCATGACTCGGCGTGCTTGGAGACCTCGCTTGAGATATCGATTGCTGAAGAGCCAAGGCCTACTACAGCTACCCGTTTTCCGGCATAGACATCAGGCTGGCGGTAGATATGACTGTGAATAGCATGACCCTCGAAGTGTTCCAAACCAGTGACTACTGGAATGTATGGCACGCTCTCTTTACCGGTACAGACAAAGAGTGCATCAAACAGCTCGTCGGATGTTCTCGTCCTCACCCTCCATTGGTGGCCCCGCAGATCACAGGATTGCACCTCTGTGTTCAGAAGAATGTACTTCTCCAATCCAAAGTGGGCTACATACTCGTGGATATATCTCAGATAGTCTTTGTGCGTCGGATAGTCTGGATATTGTGCAGGATCCATAGGAAAGTCGCTGAATTGAGAGCGTAGAGCACACGTGTTTGACACGACCCCATCATAGATAGATGAGAATGCTTCTCCGGTCAATGGATCGGGTTGCTCGTAGTGCCATTGACCGCCAATAAATGGGCGGGCTTCGAAGACGGTGGGGAGTAAGCCTTCTTCAAGACACTCTTTGGCAGCAACGAGGCCAGAAATACCTGATCCGTTAGCGTAATTCGTGGAACCAGTCTGCTGGGATATCTTACCAGCACCGATTATGGCAACTTTCTCGGCCTGATCGCTGGGAGCCATGACGATAGTTGCTACTGGAGAGTGGATAGCACTGGAATATCAGATGAACGGAGCAGGATTCAGAAGGGATGAGACGCTACTAATGAACAATGATACTGAATACAAGAGCAATTGATGGATAAGATGGACGGGCGAAAAAACGATGGAGAGCAAGATCGAGAGAGGGTAGGAGAAAGGAAAAGTGAGGGAGGAAAGAATGGGCGAAACGGGAAATTGGGTGGTGGAGGACAAAAGGCAGGTCCGGGGGAGGCACCTTCCAGGTTGGAATGGCTGCTGGTAGAGTTCCTCCCTTCCTCCTCAAGTACTCAGTAACGTGACAGGAGACTCTTAAATGCCTATTTGCACTCACTTGTACTCGCACCTTCTATCATTCCGATCCTGATAGATCACCTTGCGGTTTCTCGAGACACGCATCTGCTATCTTCTGACGGACCTTGCTCAGGTATTCCTCCACAGATAATTTCCCAATGTCGATACTGTTCACCTGGCCAACTTTGACCCTTTGTTTACCCATTATACTGATGTCTGATTTGGGTATTCCTAAGACCTGGTGCTCGCAAATATCTCGTCACTATCGCGGTTTTTTCCGGTATCGGCCACTGCTGGAAATCGACCCCTCAAATCTCAACGTACCTCAGATAAGACCCTGACAACCGCAGCATTCGCCTCGCCCTTTCTAGGCTCCGATCCGACATGAATGTACAGTTGTTCGTTGCATATTTTTTTGACGCCTTGAAAACCACGGGACGCGGGAGTGACATGGCAGCGTATGGAAAGATTGTAGAGCGTATCGGACTTTTTCTGAGCAACTGAACTTAGCCGCAGAAGTTTTGGTGCTTCAATCATTACGCGATGCTAGCGAGTCCTCTAATAGAGATGTTCGCTGTTATCACGTTCTGATGACACGATCGCGTAGACGCGAAAAGACCGTGATAATCGTCCAGTTCCAGGCTTGGTTAGCGCCAATTGCATCGTTAGGGTTACTAGGGTTATTGACATCTGGAGGTCGGTGACATTTTATGATTTGCTATCATCGCATGCAACTTTCACTATCATTAGATCCTAGGTCATACCAGCATTCATTATTTTAGATAAACTCTTTGCTATCGGGCATTCCAGCGTTATGAATAGGCATAGTCGATCGATCTTCTCCTGCTACTCATGTGGTAAATTTGGATGACACTCAAGAACTTCGTATGATCTAGGAGCAATTCCTAAAATGACAGCAATATTACTGGAGTGACTTGAGTAAGTGAGGTTGAATGAGTGTACCTGCGTGCTACATGTACTTCATGAAATACAGCCTCCAGGGCTGTCCAAAATCGATGTTTGAAGTTATATACAAGAAATTTAATCAATCATAAAACATGATCGCTTCGTATGTGCAATAGCTACCAGTTTAAGAAAACTAGCAGACCGCACCTTTCGTCAGAATGCTATGCACTTCCTGTGCATACGTGCAACCATTGATGACATTCGAATCCGAGTACCCAGCAGACCAGAGCATAACACCCCCAAATGTCGAATTGCCTTCCGTCTCAGAGACCAAAGTTGCCATTTCATCCGGCGTAATGTAATAGATAGCACCGGCACTGTTACCATTGGAAGCCAGAGTGGAAGCGGGTGCTCCAATGTAAAGCTTCGCGCCTGCAGAAGGCGTAGCGGCGAGGTAATCAACCCACTCTAGGTAGTTGAAGGGAGCGTTCCCATTAAATCCAAGCGAGCAAGATTCGTAGGGGATGTTATCAAGTCCGTTATTATTATTGTACCATTGAACCCACAGCTTGTCGAATGTCGAATTGCCAATGATAATGCTCATGTTGGGCTCAGGGAGAGGGCATTGGGGTGCACCAGTGATGTAGTAAGTGTTCTTCGGGTCAGAAGCGAAGTTGGATCGCAGAGTTGAAATCATGTATTGGTAGTACTGACTCGAGCCGTCGTTGACTTCAATATCAAAATCCCATCCGTTCACAAAAACATTCCCGAAGGGTCTTGGGACGGTCGTGTTGCCAGAATTTCCGTATGATTCCCACAGATATTGACCAATAGACTCTGCCTCGGCCTGTGATTGCAAGGAGTAAGAGCTCGTTGCGCCTCCGAGTGAGAGCAGAACTTTGACACCGGCGGCCTGACATGTAGCGATAGCGGAAGCTACATCATCGCACAATTGGGCTTCACCTGTGGTAGAGATGTAGCATTCTTCTCCGATGACGCCGGAGGGGATGTCGATGCCGTTTCCAAATTCGTAGAGGAAGGCAAGAATGATAACGTCGATGCCAGCTGTTGAGCTGCAGTAGGCAGATAAGTCGGCATTTTCGTTTGAGTTTTGGCCCCAGTAAACGACTGTCTCGGCGCTGGTGTCTTGACGAGATGAGAGACTAGAAGCTGTTGCGAAAGCCAGGAGGCTGGCACCGCTCACGACGGTGGAGAAATGCATAGTGACTGGAGATACAGACTGTATAATTTTCGAGAAGAAAAGTAACTGGTGGAGATTTCAGGTACAAGGTTGATCGTAGTAAAGATTACTCAAGACGGAAGTTGAGATTAGGGCTCAGAGCAGATCTTATACCTACTGAGGTAGATATATAAACCCCATCCACAAACAGCAGTCATACTACATGACATGGGCTTGCGCATACAGCTTCAAAGTTACACTCTAAATCATGAACGTGGGTTCCCCTCTAAATTCCATGTTGTATGGGTTGCATTCTGGTTATATGGCACGGAGGGGGCACTCTCCATGAAATGTAACGACTCATCTTTCCGGGGAGGCAATACAAAATAAGCGACTAGTCGTTGCTAGGAATGACTAAAAAATGATCTAGAGTTGCTGACACTATTTTGTTAGCCTAAAAAAAAGTTGGCAGGCCGATGATATCTGGAGATAGCACCGGATGCGACGTTCACGAGGCACTAGTCTGCGGAATGTGACTCTGAATGCAACCGGCCGCTTGATCACGAAACAGTCTAGTAGTACATCTAAACACTGCACTTTTTTTTAATAATTGGGTATAAGAATCCGGCATATATTCAGCCATGGCTGAACTAAAGTGATACATTTTCACAATCGCATCATCTTTCAATCCTTTCAGGGCACGGACTCGAAAAAGCGTGGTAAAACAAGACGCACCGATATTCTCTCAATATTCAATTCATTTCACCAGTCAACCTTATCAGCGTATAAGATTCTCGTGGTGTTACGGTAGGATTGATTTGTATCAGTATAAACATGAAATGTTGTTTGATGACTTTTAGTCACTTGGAAAGGTGGCCCACTCACCTTCCGATAATGGCAAACTAGGGTTACAAGACTGCCGATCGCAGTCAGGAACAAGCATGTGTATCAAAATTTAGGGGTGTGACCTCGGTGTTTTAGTCACGTAAGTATATTGCGGATGATTAGGTATAAATGAAAGCGCTAAAAAGTCATTCTTTATCAACTCGTCTGCAGTCAAGATTCTACTTCCGAACGGAGGTTACTTGGGAGCCTGCTCTTTTTACTTCGTCCACCATAAAACCAAATTATCATTAAAATGTCGAATTTGATAAGTATGACTATATAGATCGCCGTCTTCCTATACTCCTTAGAACACTTTGCTTGTCCAACCTTGAACGATAGGCGCTTCGGATCGCAGAAAAAAGAACAATGACACCCCCTATTAAGGCCGCAATTTGATCAAGACTGCTCATCGACACGTCGGACTGTGGTATTAGAATAAACTTGTGGGAATTTAGTGCAGGTGCATTCATTCTCATTGCAGTGAAGGAGTCAAAGGTGACCATAAAAGACGAAATGGTCGACAGCGGCAGATAGAATAATGTCACGAATGTAATCATCTCAAGACTTCGAAAGCCAGTTTCTGAAGATCTGTTGGAGTTCTGCATCGCGCGTTCTATTTGTTCTAGTTGTGCATGCATGTGATCTATGGCCTCTTGGGTTAGATCATTTGGGTCATCGGACTTCCTCAAAGCTTTCAACTGAGCAATTTTTGAAACCCACTCGCTGCGTATCTCATCGGCAGCATCCTGGTGTACATTATTTTTCTGAGCTCTCCGCTCATTTATAGAGCTGATAATCCAAGTCAAACACCCAACCATGACACACAATATTAAAAAAGCCCAAGTGGTAGCGACAATGGAAGTCATGAGAAATAGATAAGGCCGACTCAGTGTGGTTTCCGTAACACTCACGCCCTTCATGGTCGCCATCGCAAACATCACATTCTCCATGGCCCAGCTAAACAATCCTGTTACAATGACAAGGCCCAGGCGCCTCAGTTTGATGGTGTTGTGCCACCATGGTCCACACAAAACAGCCCAAAACAAGGCGACCACGGAGAAAGTCTCACATATATTCAATGGTGCTTCTATAGCCGATTCGTGCTGCTGTAACTCAACGTCCCGGGCGGTTATTATCTCAGCGACAGGGACAGGCAACCGTATGAGTAGAAAGACCAGGTGACCAGCGGCGATCAGTGGCAGGAGTAAAGCAGCGATGAAGTCGACAGAGATAGTGTCGTTGCGTCGAGACGATTTGTTGAAAGTCCAGCTAATGGATATGGCACAGAGAGTTAACAGCCAAGCCCCCACTGTGCCGGGCCCGTAGAGGCTGTCGACAAGGTTGTAGCGAGAGTCATCCATTTCGATATCAGATTTGGAGCATATTTTCAACTGTCACAAGCCACATATATAGCCTGAGGTTGATGATGGGTTATGGGTAATATAAATGATTCGAAAGTCGTGAGGCTGTGCAAAACACCATGAGCTAGCCGAAATGACTGGGCTGTGTCAAAAGAATCGGAGTCCTAAACGTGGCGAACCCGAGTCCTCCCACATCTGTTAATGACGAACATAAGTCCCGGCTCTAATTGACCAAAGCCTGTAGCGCAGCTTGATGTTGTAACATATTCCCAGCAAGTCTGTATGCGTAATACCCAGCCTTCACACAGCTTGTTACATACTCAATCACCCCAAGTCAAAAGTTGAGAAGTTGAGATGGAGTGCGAACATTGAAGTATATGGGGAAAGAGATCACATCATCGCTGACCTGTCATTGACCAGGTACCCAGGAAGAATTTTTACTCCTTTCAATAGCCCTAACTCTACTCTAACCTCAAATATGTCAGCTCAGATCATTAACAAAGTAAAGCACTTTTTATTTTTTTCGAAGTCTAGAATAAGCATTCCACCAGTTATCCCATGTCGTCCTGTACGCAGTGACATACTCAACATCCCGAAAATTGTGGTTCAGATGCATATCCACGAGACAACGAGCACTCACACCGTCACTCTCCCTATTCGAGATCTGTCTCCAAATACCAGTATATGAAACAAAATTCCAAACACGTCTACAGTTCAAGGGGCAACAACAGGGCGTCCAATCCGCGAATCGAGACAGGTAAGCATGTCGTTTACTGTCGAACTCAAAGGGTGGATGGATATGCAGTGCGTGGAAAATGTGGAGCATGTAAAGGACTGCTAGTACGAGACCCTGGGACAAAGGAAGCAGGGCATTTGACTTGCGATATGCTTGCGGAATGACCTTCGTCCAATAAGTCTGAATGATTGCATGCGGTGGTCCTGTTGTCTGGTTGAACTCTTTTATGAAGTCTAAAACTAGAAACGAGTAAGCTTCAAATTGATAGCTTCGTGTCTCGATTGTGGTTATACTAACAGTAAACTTTCTTGTCTTTGTCATTGCAACACTTTTTGTATATCGAGCGGTAAGTTCTCCATGATTCAATAGTCAAACGGTCCCAGTAACCATTCACATTCATTTTAAGATGATGTCGATCCAGTGAGTAAAAGAGCTGCACATCGGAGATGAGTGTACTCTGCGATGTTCGTGGTGTTATCCCCTGACTATCAAGGCTATCCGATTCTTAATATAAAGTCAGTACTTAAACCATATGAATTAGAGGCCTCATTGTGTCTCACCTTCAAGGCTTCTGCGGCCACGTAGTACCGGCGGGGTAACAACAGGATCTGAAGGAATCCACAACTCCAGAAACGCCTTCGTACAAGCCGCCGCAGTAGCTGCTGCATATGCATGCCAGATATCATTTTTATGACTATCCGCATAATCCGAAACTCCCTTGATGATGACACAGGGCCTGCTGTCCCACATCCCTGCACCTTCCATTTCGAATGCAATGATTTCCTCGTCCCATTGATCTCGCTCGTTTTGAACAATCAGGTCTCGATGTTCGCCAGACTTTAGAACGGTGTTTGCAGAGGCAATGGTGCCGAAGTGGATTAAGGGTTTTGGTGTAAAGCAATTATTTTTGGTGGTAGTTTCCAGCCTATTTCTACTGATCAAACAATGATAGTGGTCTGCACATCCAGTTGTGGTACACGAATCTCGTAGAGCTGCATGGCAGATTGGATCATCCTTTGTCTTGCAATTGATGCATTCACATTTGATGTCTTTGGTATAGTGTCTGTGCCGAAACGAAGTCTCAAAAAGTCTGTCTTCTGAAACACCCTTGTAATGCCATTTGCCCTGGTCCTGTTCCTGGAGAACCTCAAGATAAGACATCATTTTATTTAGCACAGGCTCCGGCTCAGATTTCAAGTGACTGAGCATATTTCGGATATCAAGTGGAGGATTTCCAAGGACTTCTCGTCTATCCTTTCTCCGTTGATACTCCTCCGTATACTGTTTTCCGTAATCAGTCTGGACGATGCTATCACCGATAATCACATCGCCAAGTATAGTCTCCGTCTCTTGAGTCCGAGTCTTTCCTCTAAACGGAACACCAGCGCATATCCCGACGAGCAAGTAGACTTTGATATCCGGATATGACTGACTCAGATCCGTTACTGATCGCGCAGAATACTGTGTACCTTCTCCAGAAAGCTTCACCAGAACAACATCATGTCTGCCGATCCGGCCGATTTTGTAGTAATTTGCATCTCCCCCTAGTTTTCCGTACTCGGCTGCGTTGTATACTTCATCGAAGAACTTATCGATTGCTTGTTTTTCGATATCCAGAGTGCAAACGATGCCTACGTGAAAGTCTCCTCGGGTTTGCGGTCTGGCGGTCATCTTTATTCGACCTACTAAAAGATCCTCAACGCAAAGGAAATCTCATCAGGCATGTTTCCAATACACCTTTATGAATGACTGCTGTATCTGAGGCGTTGTGGGGCTATGAAAAGTATCGCGATTACTAGCCCTCTTTAAAAAATCTGCATCCGGGGTGCAGATACGCTTTGCGACAATATCACTTGATGATATAGGTTGGTGGCGCAAATTGACTCGGATACTCTCGTTCAATCAGCCTCGCGCAGGACAATGCCGAGCAGGTCACGAGTCCGGGTCAAGCACACAAGCATCCAACTCACTTCTTAGCGCTAGTAATATATTTTAATTGACTACCTCGGTGTAGACCATTTTTCATGCCTCACTCGTGTTTAGATTAAGCTTTGATGGGGTCTGAGAGTCGTAGGTACTTTGGCGGCTCAACTATCAATCCTTGATTGATCAAGCGAGATGCGGTGTCAGTGGCGTCCAATCAATAGTGTTTATGTCTCGGTAATATTTGACTGATATGGTTGTCTTCGCCCCTCTCTATTCATGTTCACTGTCCATATTGTCGACTCAGCCTGTCCGTGCAGTAGAAGTCGTATCATGCTTCTTGCTATCTCACCATTCATGGTTCTTAGTCTTTCCCTCGATAGCATGAAAAACATATAGTGAAATGACGACCCACTGTTCAAAATAATCTGTTAATCCCCTATCGTGGAGCCCGAGGACTGAAGGTTGTGGCGTGAACAATCACGAAAAAGCAAAAAGAAAAAGTAACTTGACTCGGACCCGCGGGACAAGATTAATGACCTACCCTAACTAACCCTAGGAACTGAGCGACTGATAAGTAGCTACCGCCAGCGCATTTTCTCTTCAATTGACGTTATTATCTTGTATTATCTTGAATTTTCATTTTGGTACCACCCAGAAGTCAATCCGGACATCAAAAGAATCATGTGAATGCACAAAATGGCCATTATACAGGCGAAACTGTCCATCATTTTTCTTTTTGTTTACTCCTCTTTAGCAATGCCAGATTCATACACTGCGGCTCCATTGATTACTCCGGCTCCAGCCTTCAATGGAAATGCGATTGAGAAAAGAGCAGCAGATCAGACTTGTGGTTATGTTAACGGTGATCCACGTAAGACATACCTTGACCTTTGCTACTGATCCCTATAGGGATCAACAACGATGACATGCTAACCGTGCGAAGAATCCCCTTTAGTTTGCCCTGGAACGGCATCATGTACTTATACCAACTATTATTGGGGTTGCTGCAATGCGCTGACCTGCGACACTCCGGCGGCATGTGAGCTCGATTCGACCCCCTATTGCGGAGGGGTTGCCTTTGACAATTGTGTTTATCCTCAAATTCGACGATGGTAAGCAGACGGACCGGTCTTCACCCCTCCGACTGAACTGTCCGCTTACCTTGCTCTTGTTTAGCTCTGATGCGTGCGTAACCTACATTCGAAGCACGGCGGTTACTGACACGAATTTTCTGACTTCGTGGACTTGTGGTTCCACAAACGCAATATATTTCGTCTTTGGGGCAACGACTGGGGCTAATGATGCAACCTCTATATGTACGTCTACCCTGTTCGAAGACATGGAAATGGAATGGTATCTGATGCAATTTGCTTCTTCATCACAGTGGGCGTTGGCGCAACTACTACGACAGGTTCGAGCTCCCTATCTTCTGCTACAGAATCTACATTCACCTCTACATCAACATCTCCATCAACATCTGCATCTGCACTTGAATCCACGTCCATGTCTACATCCAAGGCGACAAGTACGTCATCTAGTGATGCATCAACATCCGTCTCTTCCTCCCTTTCCTCACGTACGTGTCCGTTAAGTGCAGGCAAGAATAATTATACTCAGATCGCTAACGCATGACTAAACTCAAAACAGCCACCAGCTCAGCCACCAACTCAGTCACTGGCTCAGTTACTGGTACCGCCGCTACATCGAACGAAACGGCAAGCCCCAGCCCAACATCTACCAACCACGTCCTCACTCCTGGCGAGATAGCAGGAATAGTAATTGGATCTATCGCCGGGGCCTTGTTAATATGCGGTATTATCTATTTGGTTTTCAAAAAATATGCTTTTGTCAAGAGGTCTCCAGACGATACGCGGAGTGCAAACGGCAGATACGCCAGCAGTAGAATGCCAAAGCCGATATCGAATTCGGGATTTGAGATGTCGGATAGGATGCCGGGGGATGCGGGGACCGAGTTTCATGATGATCGTACTTGGGATGGGCCGGCTGTAGATTTGAGGAGTCAGACTTCTACCGCGTGGTCGTAGCAATAGTTGAAAATGAGAGAAGCAGTTCCCTTTATCACTTTTCGTGCAGATGTTGTTGTCTGTCGAGTGATTGGTCAATAACAATCAAATTAGCTAGTCCATTTCAGGCAATTGATAGTGGACACTCATTTTTTCCATTCAGGCCAATCAGAAGAGATTTCCTCAAACATTCATCTCATCGACCTTTTTTTTGCGAAAGACATCAGCTCATTGAACCATGAACTCTTCGCCATTCCATCATACAAAAAACCACACAACACACAAAAAGGTCAAGGGAGCCCCTGACTACGATGACGCAGCTTACTGGGACACCAAATTCATAACCGGTCAAGATGTTGGCGAATGGCTCAATGAGGGCGATTTGTTGATTGAGCGCGCTATTGCTGAGCTCGAGACGCAATTTCCGCTTATTGTTGCGAACGAGAACGTGGTTAAGGAGGGTAGAAGTGCTACGCCACGCGCATTGCATCTGGGACCTGGCATTTCAGCGATTGGGAGCAAACTTTGTGAGGCTTTTGAGAAGAGGGGTTGGAAGGGATCTGGAATTGTTGTATGGCTCCTCCAATTGTCTTTCATACATGGTTTTTGTTTAGCTCATATCATATACTATTCGTCGTTGAAAGAAGTAAAGCTATTGAGCTAATGTATACTTCCTATCTCCAGAACGCGGACTTTTCCTCTGAAGCAGTTCGACTGGGCCGCGAACGAGAAAACCAAAAACCGAACTCAGAGAATGTCATGCACTGGGTTCAAGCAGATCTATGCTCCTGGCAAGATGTATCGCAACGACTTTTGCCCCTCGCCTCATTCGATGTGCTACTCGACAAAAGCACTAGCGACGCCATCGCGACTTCAGTGCCACGCATATTCCATCATTCGACAAAAGCGTGCGAAGAAATAGATACTCTTTGTCCAGCTCTTCGAGACTTACTGCAGGATGAGTCAAATTTTAAAGGACCCCATGAGACCCTGACTATCTTACCTGTTGAGATACTATCGCTTCACCTCTTCTCATTGGCCAAGAAAGGAGCAATTTGGCTAGCACTCTCGTACTCTAGTACACGATTTGACGGTCTTCCACATTTGAATAAATATTGGGAAGTCATCTCGCGCACACCACTGAAAGCGCCTTCAGGTCAGGCATCGTCGGCAGCTGCTATGGTGCCTGATGTATTTCATTGGTTGTATACTTTACGACGAAAGTGATTTTTATGTATATATAGAGGAACATAGTTTTGATGTATAGAAATTTAATTTTGTGTATTGTAGTGAAGCAAACCATCTAGTACTATCTGACATCCTTAGACAAATTGTCTGCTCCTTTTTTTTTTCATCTCCCAAAAATTGAACTTGATCAAAGATTTCGGCAGGTGATCGCAGGTAATCGCAGGTAATCGTACCAGTGTTGTCGTTTAGATTCCGTCGTCGTCCATTGATTTCGAGTTTGATTGTAGGCCGTCTTCCAGTATTGCAAAGTGAACCACCCACGGTGTGCCACAGCTCACAATTCAGAGTCAAGAGGACTTATTAACCTCTTGCTCGAGGGTTTCCATCCAAAGCTGGCAGTTCTGACCCATCCACTGCATGATTTCGTCGACGTCCTGATTGCTATAACCCTGTTGGTGATAGAGGGTGACCCATAACAACATGTCCCGAGCAAGGTCAGCGGACTTCAGGAGCGGCTTCAAGGTGGGAATGTCCATCTGCTTGCCAACAACCAGTGCAGCAAAACGTGCGCTGATGCTAGCACGGTCGGGGGACTTGGCCTCAAGAGCATCGTATGACTCTCCCATACCAGCCATAGTTTCGGGGTTTTGGAAGCTCTGTTGCACAATACCGTTGACTACTGGAATGAGAGTCTCGATTTCATAGCGATTCGCGAAGGTAGCAAGTTCAAGGTAAGGCTTGATAGACGTGTCTGCAGTTGGCTCTTTGAGTTGACCGCGAGGATTGTAGAGCCATTCAGCAAAGAGGCGAAACGCGTCTTGAGAGAAGTTTTCGATCTCCCAGCGGTAGGTACCCGAGTGGATGCTGCCTTCGCCATTGACATTCTTCTCTTCGACAGCTTTGGGGACGCGTAGAGATAGAAGTTTCTTTGGGAGCTGCCAGGCGAATTTTCCATTCAAGTAGACGGACACCATGCCCTCTGACTCCAGTCTAGACGGACGTCAGCTATTTTTTTTTTTTTTTTGTTTTTTGGTTTTCTTCTTTTTCATTTGAAAACTTTCTGAACGGGTTGACTTACTCTAGGAGGTTGAGACGTGGAACCTCAGCCATATTCGTGTGGAACTCGTCAAGAGCTAGTCTGTGATGGAGTAAGAAGGAAAAATTTTGGAGAGAAGATGAAAGGTTTGGATATGGAAATTTGAGCGAGGTGAGGGTGGAGGGGGAAAGGAGGAAGAAAAAAGGCGGATGCACAAATCTAGTAATAGAAATAAACAATTTAGTGAGGGCTTCCTACACAACACGAGAAGCATGTGATCTCAAGCATTTCTTTGAAGCAAACGCCACAAATTATTTTGTTTGTCTATCTGGGTTGGGCTTTTCAATCTTTTAATATACAAGTGACCTCCAGGTAGTCATCGCGTCTAGACATTCCTAGGTTGCTCTTTTCCCAATTCATTCCCATCTATCAATTTCTATCATATTACAGGATAGTCCAACAGACAAGTCCTGATCTGGGCTGCCCAATATGATGGAGTGTGTCCGCTGGCATCTTTGCAAAAAAGATTGGCCCCTGCTTCTAACAAAGTCCGCATAAGCCGTTCATCATTGCGCCATGCCGCAACATGTAATATACCCATCTCTTCCCAAGCAGCCTCAGACACATCCGCACCGTTATCAAGAAATATCTGCAGCATCGAGCAGTTTGTCTCAATGTGTTCATAAGTAGGCTTCACAAAAAGCTCGCTATCACTCATCCACCTCGTGGAGTGCATCGTGATAGCGTCTTCGAGCTTATCCAAATTTTCATCACTTCCAGCAGCCAAAACCATAAGTGGAAAATTGACATGGTGCCCCAGCCTTGCTAGCTGAATGAGGGCATTCATAAGCATCCTCATACTGTCCTCTCGATCAGTGTTGGATAATAAAAAAAGCACAATATCCCAAAGATCTTTCCTCTCGGCTTCAACCTTTTTCTGCAGGTCTAATGACGAGAACAATGCCGCGGCTTCCAAATTTTCGTAGCCGTTATACCCATATTTTACGACAAGGTCAGGAAACTCCCTTATCAGCAAGTTGGCTATTGCTTCGTGATGACGGGCAATAGCTGTGCGTAGGAGATTTTCATCTTCATTCATTGCTTGTCTGAGATCACATCGAGAAACCAACAACCTTAGTACATGGTATAGACCATCGTGCACTATCCATTCCAATATATTGTTCTCACGGAGATGCGTGAGAGACACCTCAGCTTCGGCCATAAGATAGACGTCCATCAGCTGAAGATGATGCTTTTCTGCAGCCAACGTCAAGGGTGTCGACCCAGTCTCATCTTTCGCGTTGATATCCGCTCCGTATGCAATGAGTCTACTGACCGTTAACTCATTGTCCGCCACGTGCAACACTGTTCGTCCCTCGTGCCGTATCGCTGTTTCCGCTCCCTCGGAGATCAGTAACTCGATTATTTCGTCATTGGCGTTTGCAGCAGCTCGGTGTAGAGGAGGGATACCACCTGGATGGCCATTAAGATCACATCTGGCCTCGGCCAACGTGACTATAATGTCGGCGAAATTGCGTTCGATTGCTATGTCGAGCAGTGTCATATCAACATCGTATAACAGGTCGACATCGGCACCGGCTTGAGCCAATGTCGTAGGCACAAATATATCGCATCTTGAGATAGCATTGTACAATGGCGTGTATCCCAATTCATTTCTGACGTTGACATCTGCTCCATATGCAATAAGTAGCTCGACAACATTCTCATTCAAGGTATAGTGCAATGGTGTTCCCAACGCTCCTGCATACATATTCGGATCTACGCCATGGCGTAAAAGAAGCCGGACTATTTTCTCTTCGCCTATCAAACTAGCAAGATGCAGCGGCGACAAGACTGTATCTCTTATGCTAAGTTCGTGTGGTTGACCCGTATAGAGCCTTCGCGCTACCTCCTCCCCTAAATCACTCGTATACTCCGACAGCAACGACTTTGTTCCACCTGTCGTTTCCCAAACGTTTACTCTGGCACCTGCTTCAAGGAACGTCTGACATAGTTCATGGTGTGTCGGCGCTCTAAACAGAGGGGTACGCATAAAATCACCACCTGGCTTACCCCAGTCTCCGATGATTCGGCACATGTTTTTGATGGCCGAATCAAAATACCAGCGTCTGTCAATGATGTAATACAGGATTGAATTATCGCGTTCATCTACGAGATGTTTCCGTTGTAGATATTGGAAAGGGAAATCGGGGTCTTCGCAGAGACACAATATCTTCTGGAATCCGAGCTGGTCCAATGTCATCATGAACTATTCAAGGGGGAGTTGGTACAGACGTGGTCGCAGGCGTATGGTCTGAGCTCGACCCTTTTCGACCGTGGGTGAATTAGGCCCTGGGGGAGGCGAAGGGGACCACCTATAAGCATACACCATTATGGCGTTGATCGAGGTTGGTTCTGTGTTAATGTCGTTGCTATGACTTCTGTACTGACGAATCTATCACCAAATGCCATCAAGTAAGAGCACGCGGCTTTCAACGCACGGTAGCGTAAATAATCCGAAGTTGCGACTGGTTGATATCATCTTCAATTTTGCTTCCTTCGGATTTCGGATTAGCGTACATCGACCTCATTGAACCAATTAGATTGTCGGGTTGTGCTAACTTCATCTTCTACATAGGTCATAGGTTAAAGTTGGCTTCTAGATCACATGTGAGCCCGGTAAAGAGCTAGTGTACATTCTACCTGGCCAAAAACCCCCTAGCTTTACATGCGTGCGATTTTACTCTGGGAACCGATCTCCTGTACGCAGTTAATGTAGTATACCATTGATTATATTAATATGCGTTGGGGTATGCCAGAGCATTTACCGGCCCGTTATATGCTTTTATTATCTAGTGACAAATTCATTGACTAATCGCAGATATTATCAATTTCAAACACGGCAAATCATACCCTGGCCACCATGAGCGGGACCCCAATCGATATGTTCTAATCATGGGGTGATTGCTTGATGTGTTTAACACCTTCCTTTACTATACTTAGTCTTGTTTTAATGCTGCTTTCTGACTTTCTGATGGAAATATCATCCCAGATGCGACCTAGTTTTTCTTTGTCTCTTGGCCAAGCACTGTAAACAGCATCCCATGGGTAACGCAGTCTAAATGGTCGGCCAATTATATTCAATTCAGCGATGCCCTAGCCCTAAACCCTAGCCCTAAATTGTCGAGGAGCGTTGACTAGTTGCGTCGTCCAGTGAGCAACGTGAACGGCAGCGAAGCATTATGCAGCTACGTGAGTACATTTAGTGACGCATTGGCCTACAAATATGATCACTTGACAGGGCCTCACAGGACTCCGAAATATCATCGCCAGTGCCGTGATTGACCACTACACCCGATCCGTGCTAGTTCAGGGGTAAACAGTGCTAAACACCAAGCTAAGGATACACACGGTTATCGGAGGATCAAGACCAGGGTCAAGCTTGACATTGACAACTTGGACTTTCGAGGCTTGCTTTCAGTCACATCCATCAATATCCGGGACCTCCGGGATTCAACGCTCGGGAGTTGCTACTCGCTACGTATAACCTGTCTAGGTGTCTGTAGGAGAGCGCGGTTAATAATTAATTACGTTGTTATCCCGACAAATGGTTTACTACCATTGGACTCGTGTCAGCACTGAGCAGACTCAAAATTAGTACGGGTGGATTCTCTCTCGCGCGATCATACCTAATATCCCGACTAGTGCCGCGCGCTGGGACTTAGCCGTAGATCTCTGTTTCCTATCATTCTTCACAGCCTTGATTGGATTTTGGCGATATTAACGGGCAATGCCACGGGCTTTGCATTGATGCATCATTTCATATACTTTGTACGTACAATCAATGCAAAACATTATCGAAGAATACATCCTGTCGAGCCTGCTTTTTCACCGCCAAGGGATCTGCTGTCGCATCGATAAGCAACAAGCCCCCACCTTCACATGGCAAGGAATCAGCATGAATGCAACATGATTGGCTCTGTACGATCTGATAAATGATGTCTGTTAAGGACTCGACGGAGACCTCCGAGAGCCTCATTCGATGACCCAAGAGCCCGATTGACACGGAATAAGATTAAAGCTGTTTCACAGCTCCCGTGGTTGAGGCTGTTCTACAACGTGCCACTATAATTGGCAATTCACGCTGATCTGGGTCTCGTATCATTGTTGGCCAGCGACGTGCTTTGGAGGCGATCGTAATATTGACGATGCATGTATAGGTATACACGTCGTGAGACATGTCGGCATTCAATCCTGCAATTTATACATTAATGTTGTATTGCTTATATTATGACACCAATAGGAAGCATACTTCGGCATAATACTATCCTCCGTGTCCTCGTACAGGCCATTGCGCCCACTGATCGTTGCAATCTAACCTGGAGGAGCATTCCTTTTTATAAAAATGGAACCTGAGCCTCAATGCGGATCACAAATCAGATCCACGCTGCAAGCTAATTTAGCGAATCCCTCGGTCAGGCACTCACGGCTCAGTGTGACCTACCACATCGAGGCTAGACTGGTGGAGTCGAATACGGGGTTGAACTTTCTAGATTGCTACCTACTTAACAAGCCTCAACCAACCAGGGCTACTCATTGGCGATGATCGTAGAGAGCCTCGGGATTAGAACGAGGCTAATGCTAGATGGGCTGAAGCTTATGTATGAACAAGCATCGAATGGTAGCAATCGAGGATCTGCGGACTGGAAGCATTTCGCGAACAGGGATAGCTCTGCAGGAAGGCATTTGCTCTTTGAAACTTCAATGCTATGCACAAGCCACGACCAGGCAGGATCTACGCTTTGTTTTCGTGCTTCCAAACGGCAGTGCCCGTAGTCAGCTCTCATACGGCACGTCATTAAACATGAGAATAACGAATCCAACGTGATTCGCTGGAGTTTTATTGTTTCTTGATTGTATTACTTGATTTGGACCGTTTCCAAGATACGACATACTACAACGGGGCTCCCGATCAGAAGAGCAGCTGCATTACCCCCTCTTCGTCCATCTCGTACGTCGGCGATGTTTCTTATCTCGGTCAAATGTTCTATGATCGACATGGTCATGCCTTCTTGTCAGAAGCACCACAGACCAGCTAGGAATGGCGGAAGCAAGATGCGACATCGTTATCTTCATCCTTTGAGACGTGATGGCTGATATCAGGTCAGTATCGTGATCAAAAGGTATAAATATCGTGTCAAGTTCACCCGATCAATTGGCCTTTTCTCTCATCATCATCACAATCATTCACTCCAGTCTCATCTCAATCTTCCGTCTATCTGCCAAAATGGTTAACTCCAAGACTGTCGTCTCTGCCTTGGCCCTGTCGGCACTTGCTGCTGCTGCCCCTGCCCCTGTCCCTGCCCCAGGCAAGGCCACCAGCTTCTCCATCAACCAGGTTGCTGTCAAGAAGCCTGTCGTCCACCCCGCTGCCAAATACGCCAAGGCTCTTGCCAAGTTCGGCGCTCAGGTCCCTGCCAACGTCGCCTCTGCTGCTGCCTCTGGTCAATCCGGTTCTGCTACCAACAATCCCACTGCTAATGATGAGGAATACGTTACACCTATCACCGCTGGTAGCAGCACCTTGAACCTCGACTTTGATACTGGTTCCTCTGATCTGTATGTTCTCTTCGTCAGACAGTCTTCAAATCTAAAATATGCAAGCTAACGTACTGTAGCTGGACCTACAGCTCCAGCACCTCTGGTGTTGGTTCCCACAACACCTACGACACCAGCACCGGCACCAAGGTCTCCGGCGCCACCTGGAAAATCTCCTACGGAGACGGCAGCTCTGCCAGCGGTGTTGTCTACAAGGACACCGTTACCGTCGGTGGCGTCACCGCGACCTCCCAAGCCGTTGAAGTCGCTACCAGCGTCAGCAGTGAGTTCTCCTCGGACACCAGCAACGATGGTCTTCTCGGATTGGCCTTCTCCTCCATCAACACCGTCTCTCCCACTCAGCAAAAGACATTTTACGACAACGTCAAGAGCAGCCTCGACACCCCCGTCTTCGCTGTTACCCTCAAGCACCAGGCTCCCGGTACCTACGACTTTGGATTCATCGACTCCTCCAAGTACACCGGCGACCTCGCTTACACCCCCGTCGACAACAGCCAGGGATTCTGGCAGTTCACTGCCGACGGCTACACCGTTGGTAGCTCCGGCACTAGCGGCAGCTCCTTCTCCGCCATTGCCGACACCGGTACCACCCTTGTCCTCCTCGACGACAGCGTCATCTCCGACTACTACAGCCAGGTTAACGGAGCCCAGAACTCCAGCTCCGACGGTGGATACGTCTTTGACTGCAGCACCACTCTTCCTGACTTCACCGTCCAGATTGGTAGCTACAATGCTGTCATTCCTGGTGACTACATCAACTTTGCTTCCACTGGCAACGGCAACACTTGCTTCGGTGGTATCCAATCCAACTCTGGCATTGGTTTCAGCATTCTCGGTGATGTTTTCCTCAAAAGCCAGTACGTTGTCTTCGACGGTGACAACCTCCAACTTGGTTTCGCTGCTCAGGCTTAAGTCATCCCTGAGGGTAAGCTTCACCTGAAAAGTCGAGATGGAAAAGAGTGTGATTGGATTGATTGAACAAAATTGTTAATATGAGATTGATGGAAAGTTGGTACATATTTATGTATATAACTAATGCACATATGGGATTTTTGATTTTTACACTTCACGTGTTTCCTTGTAGTCCATACCACTGTACACCTAAGTAGTCGTCAATGTTCCAGCTCGTTCACTGATGCACAACATCCGGTCCATCCTCCTTCCAGATGAACCACGCCAGAACAATCAACCCCTTCAACCCAACCGCCGTCCACAACGCGCCCATCAACCCAACCTCACTCCTCGCCCAAACCCCACCCATAACCGCCCCCGTCAACAGACACACAACCGCACCGAACCTCCTTCTCTGTTCCACATCCTTTCCAGCCGCACCAGACACCAAATCCGGATGCGAAAACAAATCACAATAGATACTCGTCAAAACCACACTCGACAAACCTCCTAGTTTGAGTACGCGACTAATAACCGCCTGCCCGGAGCTCTGAAACGCAACCATAGCTAACGGTATTAGTACTCTCCACGTCAACCCAGAATCCTTCGACGGCTTTTCCAACGTGACAATGATTGCAGCACAGATGATACAAGCCATCTGAATCGCAAAACTAGCCATAAGCACCCATCTCCTTCTCGGCGAAAACGCGCGATGAAAGGCGCCAAATATCAACGATCCAAGACAGAAACTGGCTATCGATATACCTGACTTGATCCAGCGGTCGCCGTCACCATTACTACTACCACCACTGCCACCGCTACCACGGCTCATCTGCGATGCGAGGCCGAGGCCGAGGTAGACTGTGTTACCGGTTTGCATGCTTACGAAAGAGCCCCAGATGAAGACGGCGGAACTGTCGAGGAGGCCGGTTATTATGTAGCAGTACAGCAAGACCAGGTCGGTGTGGTGCGTTGAGAGGGTGGTGTTGAGGTGGTGGCGTAATTTCTTGAAGCTGCTATCATTTTGGCTGATGCTGTTGTTGCTGTTATGTGGAAGCAAAGGGTCTGTTTCGCGCGGTGGTGGTGTCATTTTGCAACACGCGCAAAGACCGGAGAAAATGTTTTCTTAAAAAAATTGTGCAAATAAACACGAGGATATGTATAAGAGTTTAAAATATATGTCAGCCATACATGGGATGATTCCTTACATTCCGGTGGGTGGTACGGTCGTCCGGATCGAGACGATTTCGGCTTCAACCCAGATTTCCTGTCTGACGTCAACGATGCGGCAGGTTGGATGGCTCAGCTAAGAATATGTACGACTTCTCTTTACATATATTTAATATATTATAAAAAGTAACACGAGTTAAATTATTTCACGATTGTTCTTGTGTACGTGCTACTTAGACTATCTGAATAGGATTGTGATATATATTCAGCACCGTATACTACGTCCCTCACAACAAAAGTAAATACATGTACAGTTGTCGGAACGAGATGGTACAATTATCAGCACCAATGCATTACCCAATCCTCCTATGCCTAGGATTGATTCTATGCATTGCAAACGCACTCCCAGTCCCAGAAGAAAACTACCAACGCCTCTCCAAAATTCCTGCATCCTCATCGCAGCAATACTTTGGCGACGTCAACAATGACAACAGACACACAAGCAAGCCATTTACGCCCGGTCATCGAGACCCTTACGATCGCAAAGTCGATCCTATACCCGACAATCTAGAGCCATTGCCATTCCGCAATGGAGACGGAGCAACAGTCATGGGCCCCCGGAACAGAGATCGCGAACGACAGAATCCGGATATGGTGAGGCCGCCGAGCACGGATCACGGGACGTTGAGTAATATGAGATGGAGTTTTGCGGATTCGCATACCAGAATTGAGGTACCCTCTCTTTCCCCGCAACGGATTGTGATTGTTGTTGCTGATATGTCAAAGGAAGGAGGATGGACGCGCCAAACCACCATCCGCGAACTACCTACCAGCAAAGAACTAGCCGGCGTGAACATGCGTCTTGACGAAGGCGTAATTCGCGAGTTGCACTGGCACAACGAGGCCGAATGGGCGTTCATGCTTGCTGGCAAAGCGCGTGTAACGGGACTGGATACTGAAGGGGGCAGTTTCATTGATGATGTCGAAGCGGGCGATTTGTGGTACTGGCCTGCCGGGCATCCGCACTCGATTCAGGGACTGGGTCCGAATGGGACGGAGTTCTTGCTCATCTTTGACGATGGGAATTTCTCGGAGGAGTCGACTTTTTTGGTTACTGATTGGATGGGTTTGTCTCCTCAAACGAAAGATTAGAAAGGGCTGAAATCAACTGACAGATATGCACCCAGCACACACACCCAAATCAGTCCTGAGCGAAAACTTCCGCCTTCCAGCGAAAACGTTCAACTCAATCCCCAAGTCCGAAAAATACATATTCCAAGGTAGCAAGCCAGGGTCAATATCATCCGAAAAGCCAAGGGGGTTCAAACCGTCTACCAAAAATTTCACACATAAAATGCTCGCCCAAAAACCCACCATCGTCTCCTCAGGTGGTGAGGTACGTATCACAGATTCCAAAACCAACTTCCCCATCTCCGACAGAGTCGCGGCGGCACACCTCAAACTGCAACCCGGCGCAATCCGCGAAATGCATTGGCACCCCAACGCGGATGAGTGGTCATACTTCATCCGCGGGCGTGCACGAGTGACCGTCTTCGCGGCAGAAGGGAATGCGCGCACATTTGACTACATGGCCGGTGACGTGGGGATTGTGCCGAAAAATATGGGCCACTTTGTCGAGAATCTGAGTGATGATGAGCCGCTAGAGATGTTGGAGATCTTTAGGGCGGATCAATTTTTGGATTTTTCGTTGTTTCAGTGGTTGGGTGAGACGCCGCAGAGAATGGTGGTGGAGCATGTGTTTAGGGATGATGAGAGGGCGGCGAGGAAGTTTTTGGAGCAGATTGAAGGGGCGGAGGAGGATCCGATTAAAAAGAAGTTTTTTGAGTATTAATGAGCAGATCTTTTTGGATGTCGAAAGTGGAAGTCGGATTTTTGAGAATCGGTTTTGATGATATCTGCATAAAATAATGTTGGAGCTAGAAAACCAGACTAAACCAAAGATAGCTAGCCATGTGTATTGTGCAGCGCTAATACAAATGTCTCCAACATCGCCGTCTTCTCTACACATACTTCCTTCGAATTTATTTCAACTGGGGGATGGGGTTGGATGCAATTATGCTGAAGTCCATACCTGAAAAGCATGGAGCATATAGAAATAGACTCAAATCAAAGACCGGCTGTCTGACCTGCAAGTAAGTCAGTATTGCGATATTAAATTTCATAAAATCAGTTGACTAACCACCATTTCTGCAGAAGTACGTTATCAGTTACTGGTCTAGTCATATATTGAAGAAAATGTTAAGGCGATAATAGAAAGACGCATAAAATGCGACGAGACCCGACCACATTGCACCCGCTGCTCTTCAACAGGTCGCAAATGTGATGGTTACGGACTATCCCCAGACCATCTTCAAGTACCAGCATTCTCACCATCACCTCTACATTTTGCTGAAAACAGCCGTGAGACTCGATGTTTCCAGTATTTCTACGAAAGAACAGCGCCGGCATTAACAGGAATCTCTGGATCCATATTCTGGAATATTTTTGTACTACAACTGAGTCAGCGCGAGAAATCGGTCTGGCATGCTATAGTCGCCTTGGGCTCGCTGCATGAGAGGTTTGTTGAGAAGGAGCGGGAACTGAGTGGGCTTGATTTTCTGCGTCGCGAACAAGACGCGTTTACGATTCGTGAATATTCGACGGCAATCAGGGCCCTTTTGAGCCCGTCTGACCAGATGAACGACAGGTCTGTGGCTAGCGGTTTTGGGAATGTTACTATAGACGTATGCTTGATATCTTGTATTTTGTTTACATGTTTTGAGGTGGGTTTTCTTTCTCAGTTTGGACAGGATGCGTGAGATACGAGCTCACCAACCCAGATTCTTTCCGGCCATTACACCTCCGCCGTCAACCACGTTCGAAGCGGCATCAAAATCCTCCATGATGTCTACTATGATGCCGGCTGTGGCGTATTTCGGCATCCCCATTTGCTTCCATCCACGGTGTCAAACCTGGAAATTGAAAGTATACGCAAGATTTTTGTCTATTTACACACTCAAACGTCGACTTTGGTCAGTTATACTTTCCCTAAAAAAATGATATGCTGACCATGATTAGACACGCATCGAGGTAGACGTCCCAGCACACAGTCCTCTCAATACACCCGAAACATCCGAGACGCCCTTCCCATCAAATATCCAAATCCCAGAATCATTCACCTCCGTCGCAGAAGCAGCCGCCAGTCTAAACTCGCTGAAGCGCAGCTATATAATCCACTACCGCAACATCATGCAGGCCGTCTCAATCGGCAAAGCGCCCGAAACATCCGAATATCTGTTCGAGCAAATCGGATCCTCGGTTCCGCGATGGTGTGCCGCTTTCGCGCGTTTCGAGGAGTCGCGCAGACACTTGCATGATGGAGAGCAAACTGGGTTGAAGATCGTCAAGATTCATCAGTTGCATATGGTGATGTATTACGAGTACGCGCGGGCTAGTGAGAGGGCGTTATACCGGAATGAACGCTCGCTGTTCTCCTGGGATGACTATAACGATCAATTCGCAGAGATGGTTTCGATGGCAGCTTCAGTCGTCGGAAATAGTCACGGAACTTATTCATCACCACAAGGCGGCCAAATCCAGCCAGTCTTCTGTCTTGATGATGGCGTCTTGGCGCCGCTATATGAAGTCGCGACCCTCTGCCGTGATCCAGCGATTCGCCGACGGGCTGTAGATATCTTGCGGTCGGCGCCGCGGCAGGAAGGCTTGTTTAATAGTCATCTGCTCGCAATGGTCGCCGAGAAAGCTATCGCCATCGAAGAGAAAGCTGCAATCACAGCTTCCGGCAGCATGGATTATGTCTCCATTGTCACCAACACTAAGCCAGAAAACCCTGACGCTAGTAATGCTGTAATTACGGACAGTCTTCAAATCCCCGAGTCCGTGCGTCTGGTCTATGCATTTCCGAAATTCGATCTGACTCAAAAACGGATTTCGTTGACGATTGGGCCGTCGACGACCAGGGAGATTGATATTCCGTGGCCGGCATTGGACTTTTTGGTAGGCAGATGAGGCCTCACAGCCTAGGAGTAGGCTGCACCTAGCTCAACTCAGCCATTCACGATACTCCCTCTATAGTATCATTGAAGGTCAAATGAATGAAGTCATAAAATGACGTTGCCAAGCGACCGTTAGATTAAGCACGGATAAACTTGATTTTCACCCCCCTCGCCTCGCGTTAGAAGTTAGCACCCACGCCACAGTCCGATCTGTTTACCCAACGAGGCCTAGTGCGGTTTAGCGTGGTCTAGCGTGCTGACTAAGGCCGGTCCGCCGCCAAAAACGTGGATCGGGACATTTTCTGATTCGTCGGGGGTGGGCTTATCGATAACGGATCACGGTACGGTGGGTTCTTTTGACAGTCCGGACGGAGTACGTACGCACGGAGTCTGTGGGAAATTCGGAAATTAGCACGGATTCGAATCCAGGTCTCGCTATACGATATTAACCTGTTTATATGGAATTTACCCTGATTACGCTGCTCACTAATAAAGAGCCATGGTACAAGACTCGTACCGAGCAACCCAGCCTGGTCCGAAGCATTATTTATGAAATTTCCAATGTTCCACGAGACCAGCGCTAATTAGTGCTAGTCGTGCTAGTTTTGCTCCAGCTATATCGCTCTGAGTAATTCTCCGACGACAGACACGATCTGACTCGGTCGACGCCACACGATCGGCACATAACCCTAACGGAATTACGTCAATTGAGACCGCCTAGACCTTTACTTCGACCTGCCCCAGACCGGTTTCATCTAATATATTATATATATATATACGAGCGAGTGCTAGTGAAGGATGATGCGGTTCCTTTCAAAATCCAAGTATTTAACTACAATTCAAGTATGATCAAAATAAAATAATTGGTATTGGTATTTCGGTTGTGGATGATTGCTCAATTGATGGGAATTGCAGGCTGAGTGTGCTGCGGCGCACCACGCAGATCAGGCTGTCGACACGAAAGTATATACTATGGTCCAGCATCTGATAGATAACGGTCGTAGTGACTCCAAAGCACAGACCGCTCTGAGACTGTCCAGTCACATCCGGAGTACTCTGTAGGATGTACTGGTAGGTGCAGACGGAAAACGTCATACAGATCTCGCTTGGCGGCAGGACCCACCGAGATGATATCAGCGGGTCTGTTTCTGTCAGACGCAGTACTTTACCCAGCTACAGAGTATATACTGATGCCATCACTCGTTTATCGCACGACACTCATTGGTGCTGCGGTCCTGCTGTGTTACATGTCGTGATGGGGCGCCACAGTGGTTGAAGTTTATTTTGCTGCTGCACCATCTGTCAGATGCTGTGAATACCGCGATGGACTGGAGATGATTAGCTCCTTAGAGGTGGCAATGGAATGGGTGGGCTATGAGGGAGCGGTATATCTTACAAGACCATAAACAGTGTCGTACAAGAACAGGTGGTGACTCAATGCAATGAGTGCTGAATCCTGCTCAGAGCTACATACGTAGTAATAGACAGAACGCCACATCATCTACCTACTATGTACTACTCCGTATGTAGTAGAACATTGGCGACCCACAAAGCTGACACAAACCCCGACCTTTACCCGGATACTGGTTGTTGCACAGAGTGAATTCTGTCAGAGAGCGATTGACGCAACCATGATCCTGTGGGCTGACGAATCGCAGCGCCGAGGCTGCTCGATTTGACGCAACACCAGCCTCAGGCTCCGCTATGATAGTCTGTACTACATATTATGTAGTAGTAGAGGCTTAGGGAGTACTTAGTGTAAGGATCCACCGTCTCCACCATAATCGACCATATCGACTGTGGCGTCGAGTCAGCGTGTCCCCCGGGCCAGAGCTGTTTTGGGGTGTTGCCTGGACCGGTTAGTGACCATGCAACTCGAGGAAAGCGGGGGAGGTACCTCCTTCCTCATGGCAGTCCACTCGCTGTCAAATTGCAGCCCGCTCTCTGTCAGATTGCAGGACCGTTCCATGGGATCCCTGCTCCATGTCATCATCATCATCACCACCCATCGTGCTATCCAAATAAACAATGACGTAGCAGCAGGTTGAGGTCTTGCTCTTTGATATGGCAGTATATATGACCGCCATTACCCCTGGGCCTAGACAAGTTCCCTTTTCTTCCTCTCTCCTATCAGAATTTCTTATCACGAAGCATTGACGAATCATTTTTCTATTTTCATTCCATTTCGATTGATTGATTGATTACACTGGTTGCACGTTTCAGTACACACGACTACGATTACGATAGGACGATCCATTGTATACTATCTCGACCCTACCCGAAAAGCAAACGATCAATACCGGGCAAGACGAACTACCGGATTTAGCATCTCCCAACACATTCATCTGGTTTACATTGAAGACGAGATAGCCCAAAACAACAGCACAAACATGGCTACTCAAGCAACTTCCAGAACCCCTCGCGAAACTCCCTCAACCCCAACCAAGGTCAAGAGTGCCGCTTCCTCGGTCAAGGGATCGCCCAAGTCTGCCGCGTCCAAGACCCAGAAGCAGGTCGATAAGAAGACGCCCCGTAAGTTGAAGCGCAAGGTGGACGATACTATCACCCCAGCCGCAGAGCGGACTTCGGAGCCGGCTTCGGTGACGAAAGATCTTCCTTCTCGTCCCGCAACGGCGAAGAAGAGTGCCCCTAATAAGAGGCTGGAGCAGAGGGCTCCTGAGCCCGAGCCTGAGCCCGAAGAGCAGCCTGAGGAGCCTGAGGAGGAGCCCGAAGAAGAACAGCAGGAAGAGCAGCAGGAAGACGGTGAGGCTGGCATCCAGCTTGAAGACAACGACGCCAATGGTGAGCAAGAAGACGAAGAGCAAGGCGAAGAAGACGACGACGAAGAGGATCTCGTCTCTGCACCCACCGAACAGCGTGATGAGCTCGCCGACAACCAATCCCTGGCTTCGGGCTCCGCTACTGGTGGCTTCTTCAGCCGCACCGGCAACGGTCTCAACAGCTTCGCCCGTGGCCTGCGCGGAGTCGCTGGTAGCTTGAGCAATGGCAAAGCCAAGGGTGCTGCTGGCGGTCTCACTGATGCGGCCGCTGGTGCCAAAGACACCGCTCAAGGTACCGTTGGCGACATTGCCAACAGTCTCCCTCTTGACCTCTCTGCCTTGAAGGGTCTCGAGGTTGGCGAAGGCGGCAAAATCTTCGACAAGTCCGGTAACGCTCTTGGAGAAGTCGTTGAGGGTGACCCTGAAGACCTCGTCGGCCAGACTGTTGGCGACGATGGTGAGATTCTCGACGAAGACGGCGATCTCATTGGTCGTGTTGAGCTTCTCGATGAAGTCCAGAACAAGGTTACAGAGACTCTTGACCAGGTCAAGGACAAGCTTCCTTCACTTGAAGACCTCAAGGGTCTCCCCGTCTCAGAAGGCGGTGAGATCAAGGACAAGGCTGGCAATGTTCTCGGCCGCATTGTCGAGGGCGATCCAGAAGATTTGGTCGGACAGACACTCAACGAGTCTGGCGAGATCTTGGACGAGGATGGAGATCTGATCGGCCGCGCCGAAGTTATCTCTCCCGAGGAAGCACTCAAGACAATTCAGGAGAATGGCGCTGGTCTTGATGATATTGAAGAAACCGCCGAGGATGCCGTTCCTGACGACGTCAAGGACAAGGTCGAGGATGTGAAGAACAACCTTCCCGAACTCGCTGACCTTGATGGGCTGCCCGTCGCCGATGGCGGTGAAATCAAGGACAAAGCCGGCAACGTCGTCGGCAAAGTCGTTGAAGGCGACCCCGAAGACCTTGTGGGCCAAACCGTCAACGACGCTGGCGAGATTCTCGACGAAGACGGAGACTTGATCGGCCGCGTTGAGGTCTTGTCTCCTGACGAAGCCGCCCAGAAAGTGACCGACACTATTGATGACGTCAAAGACCAGGCCACCGAAGCTGCTGAAGGCTTGATTCCCCAAATCCAGATTCTCCAAGGCAAGAAGATCAACAAGAAGGGAAAGATCCTCGACGAAGAAGGCGAGGTCATTGGTCAAGTCGCTGAAGGCTCTGAAGTCAAGGACCTCGCTGGCAAGAAGCCCAATGAAAAGGGTGAAGTCTTGGACAAGGAAGGAAACGTCCTTGGAAAGGTCGAGGTCGTCCCTGGTGAAGCTGCCGACGAGGCTTTGAAGTCTTTGCAAGAAGAAGCCGAGGAGGCTGGCAAGGGTGTCGAAGGTCTTACTGACAAGGCTGGAGAGGCTGTCGACGATGTCAAAGATCAGGCTGAAGGTGCTGTCGAAGACGTCAAGGGCTTGTCTGCTCTTGATGGTCTTCAAGTTAATGACGAGGGCAATGTTGTCGATTCTGACGGCAACGTGCTCGCCAAGCTTGAGAGCGGCAACCTTGAAGAAATCGCGGGCCAGACCGTCAACGAGAAAGGTCTCGTCATTGACGACGACGGCAATATCCTTGGACGTGTCTCACTCATTGACGAAGCTAAAGATGCCGCCGGTGACGCAGCTGAAGGCGCCGAGGATGCTGTCGATGAAGCTAAAGATGCAGCCGAAGATGCCGCTCCTGAGCTTCCTGATCTATCCACCTTGGAAGGCTTGAAGGTTAACAAGTTCGGCAAGATCATCAATGCTGATGGTGTCCCCGTCGGCGAGCTCATTGAAGGAGACGCCAAGAAGCTTTCCAAGCTTGGTGCCACTCTTGACGACAAAGGCCAGTTCTGGGACAACCGTGGCAACGTTATTGGCAAGGCTCAGACCATCCCCGTTGAAGACAACGACACCGAAGGCGCTTTCGCTGGCCTCGAAGGACTTATCGTCGTCAAGGACGGCTGGGTTGAGGACGACAACGGTAACCGTGTCGGACAGCTCGTTGAAGGCGACGCTAAGAAGCTTGTTGGACGCGCTGTTGACGAGGACGGTGACATTCTCGACAAGCGCGGCAATGTTGTTGGACGTGCCGAGCGTTACGAGCAGCCTGAAGAAGAGCCTGAGCCTGAGCCTGAAGTCGAGAAGACTGATTTCTCCAGCGTTGCTGGCCTCAAGCCCAACAAGTCCGGAAACGTCATCGGACCTGATGGTGTGCCCATCGCCCGCGTTGTAGAGGGTAACCTAAAAGAAGTTGCCGGTCGCAAGATTGACAATGAAGGCCAGATCTGGAATGATGCTGGAAAGGTCGTCGGTCGTGTCGAACTTATCCCTGAGGATGAGCGCGAGACCAAGCCTGAGGGTATCTTTGGCGGTCTTGAGGGTCTCGTCGTCAACAAGGACGGTTTTGTCGAGGATGAGGAAGGAAACATTGTTGGCAAGATTGTTGAAGGCGACGCCAAGAAGTTGCGTGGTCGTGCTGTCGATGAGGATGGCGACATTCTCGACAAGCATGGCAACGTCAAGGGTCGTGCTGAGCCTTATGAGCCTCCTGAGGAGGAGCCTGAAGCAGAAGAAGATTTGTCTGCTCTTGAAGGCAAGAAGGTCAACAAGATAGGCAATGTTGTTGATGAGCATGGCACCGTTTTTGGCCGTATTGCTGAAGGCGATCCCAAGAAGCTTGCTGGAAAGCGCGTTGACGGTAAAGGTCAGATCTGGAGTGACAACGGCAAGGTCATTGGCCGCGCTGAACTCATCCCCGGCAACGAGCAAGGCAAACCTGAAGGCGCATTCTTTGGCTTTGATGAGGCCAAAGTGGGCAAGGATGGTGTTGTCGTTGACGCCTCCGGCAAGATCATTGGTCGTCTGACTGAAGGCGATGCAAAGAAGCTTGTTGGCCGCCCTGTTGATGAGGATGGCGACATTCTCGACAAGTCTGGCAATGTCATTGGCAAGGCCGAGCGATGGGAGCCAGAGGAGAAGAAGCGCGATGTCAACCCCATGTCTGGCCGCAAGGTCAACAAGCAAGGTGAAGTCCGCGACGAGAATGGCGATCTCATCGGCAAGGTTACAGACGGTAACTTGCAGAACCTCATTGGTAAGAGCATTGATGACAATGGATACATTGTCGACAACGACGGCAACAAGATTGGCGAGGCTACTCTGATTGAAAATATCCCTGAGCCAGAGCCAGAGCCCGAAGAGGTCGAAGAGCCTCAGGAAGAGATTTCTCCCGAGGAGCTTGAGAAGCAGAAGCAGGAACAGAACGATCGCAAGTTGGCTGAACGTATCTGCGCTATTGTGCAGGATACTCTAAGCAAGATCCAGCCTGTCTGCAAGCAAATCACCGACGTAAGCTTCCCTAATGGTATTCTTTACATTGGATAACACACCACTAACATCATACAGTTGATTGAAAAAGCCGACCGCACGCCCAAAGACGAACTTGACGAAGAGAAGCTCGTCAACGACGTCAAACCCCTCCTTGAAGAAGGCGGTCGCATGCTCCAAGAATGCAACGGCGCAATCCGCGCTTTGGATCCTGACGGCCGTATCGCCGCAACCGCCAAAGCGCGCGCCGCAACACACGAAGCCAGCCCCGAGGAATACCGTCTCGCAGATGCCCTCAAAGAGTTGACTCAGACCGTCGTAAAGACGATCGACAACGGCCGCAAACGCATCCAGGATATGCCGCATGCGAAGAAGAAGCTGAACCCACTGTGGTCTCTCTTGACAGAACCCTTGTTCCAGATCATTGCTGCGGTAGGATTGTTGTTGAGTGGTGTGCTGGGACTCGTGAGTCGGTTGCTTGATGGCCTCGGTCTTGGTGGCTTGGTTAGGGGTTTGTTGGGTGGTTTGGGCGTTGACAAATTGTTGGAAGGATTGGGTCTTGGTACGATCACGGAGTCGTTGGGATTCGGGAAGAAGAAATAAACCCTTTTCCCTCCCTCTTTCTTCACTTGTTTCGCTTGACCAAGTTTGAGAGTTTTGCAGATGTACACACTCACTACCATTCCCTATGTCACTGATTTGATCCTGAGATTGAAAAGTCTGTTTCGTCTGATCTGAGCGTTCTGTTTCTTCTTCTTGCTTCTTCCGGACCTGTATTTTTATCCTGTTTTTTCTGTCTGGTATAATACTTCAACCAGTATGTCGATATGTATCTAGCTTATTAGTTATGAGTCCGCTTCGATTCGTCAGTTAATGCACCAGTGTTATTTCAACTTCTTTTCCTTCTATTGGTACATAAATACAATAATAAAATCTAGAGTACAACGATTGTCAGTACATGTAGTGAGTTAACAAAGCCATCTATGAAAATGTGTGTAATGAGTGTGTCCGCCGGGTATATAGTATGTATGTAATGGTTAGAAATTCTCCAACATAGGATCAGTTTTCAGGTATTCTTCAATTAATTTCCAGCCTTTGTCGATGGCTGTGAAGTCGCACCAGTATCCTTCGGATGTTTGGCACATGATTGTCGAGTTGACTATTTTAATCATTAGTTTGGTCACTTATCATCCGGAGGGACGGGAAGGAGAAGCGGGAAACTTACATCGGCTGGGAGTACCCTTTACCATACTATGGCCCAAAACCATCATCTTGGGTTTAGGTTTCGCACTGGTTACAGCTTCTTCTTCGGCTTCTTTCACTTTCTCCGATGCGACAACTGCAGAGCTAGCAGGAGGAAGGATATCCTCCAACCCCCTCCACGCCAAACACCAATTCGTCACAAAATACGACTTCTCAAACTTTTCGCAGATGTGTGTCGCCTGACCTCTTCGGACTTGTTCGCGCATCACGGCAAGACCGATCTCATACGCTTCCGGGCTGGTTTGAGCTTTGAGGGAAAGTCGGTTTTGGTATGCGATTGTGCGGAGGGGTGTGGTTGGTGAGATGCGGAAGCGGGAGGAGGTGTAGTATAGGGCGTTGTGGATGTAGCTTCGTTGACGGGGGAGGGGGGTCAGGGTCTGGTGGCGGCCGCGTACTATCAGTTTGTTAGTATGTAGAAACATAATGAGAAAGAATGGGGCGTACAGTTGACGAGCTGCGAGAGGGTGAGGGTTCGAGTTTTCCTGTCGTGCATTCTTGCAAACTTATGACGGAGTTAGCCATTTAACTCATAGAAGTTGGAAAAGAGCGAAAAAATACCTTAGTAAGAACAGCATTGATAATATCCCCATTACTGATCTCAGGATCGACACCAGTCTCCTCAATCAATTCCTTGCGGTACCGCTCCTTCAACGCATCCAACATCGGCCTCGGAAAGAATACAATCTTCGACTGTTCCGTGCGGTTCAGCGCAAGTTCAGGAATGAATCCCAAAATAACAAAGAAGTATTCCCAACCATTGCGAACGCGGGAGCAACCTTTGCGATATATTTCGTGGGCAGGGTAGTCGGCGTATTCCCTTTTCGTGGTTGAGGATGAAAGGATGTCTTCGTTGTATCCGATCATTTTGGGGGGCTCTTCGTTCTTGTAGGCAAGACCGAACCATGCCCGCATGATGTTCGCGATGCCCATTTGATCGGCGAGAACGTGTGGCCAACTCAGCGCGACGACCGTTGCGTCGGTGAATAACGACAGATGGACGTAGAGTAACGGCGCGCCACCGCCAGGAGCAGTAGCAGCAGGTTCATCAGCTCGACCAAACGGCCATGTTGCCGGCCTGACGAGCTCATCCACCTCCTCAAACGACTTCAAAATCGTTACGCCTTTAGTTGCGTCTGGCGCATCGTGAAAGAAGCGCAACGGCGCGGATTTATCGATTACATGCTCGAATTCGGTGGACGACCAGTCGAACAGTTTGTATTTGCTGTCGTCCTGGTCAAACGTTTCGGGGACGTGGTATTCCCACACCGAGCCAGTGTTCTTGTCGACTGGACGCGCCACTAGTCGACCACCGAGTTTGCGCCAGTGGTTGCGGATCAGGTCGTCCAGAGCGGACCGAAGTGTTGATTCGTCGAGGCGAGTGTCGAAGATGAAGAATGTGCGGGTTCGGATGTCGCCGACGGGTTTTTGTTGGTCGGTCGCGGGGACGGGGATGATCTCCATTTTGTCTTAACTGGTCTGCTCGAGCTGGTCTTGATGCCCTTACTTTGAAGATGAGAGATGTCTGAGGTGAGATTCCTCGTTTATACGAGAACCATTCTACTGCCTGACACTCCGTACTTAGCGCGCATTATCGTACCTGACTCGATACGTATCAGAGTCTGAGTATCTGACAGAAGCCACGGCTGAACAATCGCTCACTCTCATTGGGTCATAAGCAAGGTTGTTGGAGCTAGACGATGTTGAATCTCACAGCTGAAGATATAGCTTTAAAAGCGGAGCACAGACGCTTTCCAAAGCCCAATTGCACGCGCGATTCAGCGTCAAGTCGGGAGTTGAACGCCAATCAGCTAGTTTGGAGGATGAAGATGGGTCTGCTAACTATCTTAAGGTTCATGGATACGAACGCAGGAATATTTCGTAGCTCCAATTGGCCAATCATGGCTCCGGCCCCTTTTGGCTGTGACACCTGAGAAACATGGCAGAAACACGTGGATGCAGTGTCACCTGACTAGCTAGTCGTAGCTGGGCGGTGCGCCACGTGATCTACATTCAAGATTCACGTGGCCCGCATCAATTTGGCCAATCAGCAAAGATCTGCTGTATTTCGCCTGCAATCTCACTATCCCATTCTCGCATGCCTTTATGCCTGGTGATGTTGCTCTAGTCGATGACGCGTCTATGAATCACGTATAAGTTGACTTTGAAGACGATAAGGCTGCCAAAACATGCACCTACGTATTCGAGTAAGGCCTCGCGTCGCTTATCTGCCCATAGCAGTATCGTGGCAGATGCTTCTGAGCAGCCAAGGTCTTTGATTGTGCAATACCCGACGACAGTGGAATCCCCACGTTGTGATCGGCAATTGATCATTACCCGACAAACAGATCCCGAGTCAATTCACGTGCAAGCAGTACCAAGGTCCAGATCCCGGAAGGGGCGAATTTGCAGTTCTGCAAACTCTATCCAATTTTTTCAGAGTATTTGGATACTCGGATTACTGATATAGGAAGTCTTGGTTTTGGGGGGTCTGAGCCTTGGGGGACAGCGATTGGCTGTGGGCGAGAGATAGAAGACTAAAACAAGGCTAAAAACTGGGGATGAAAGTCTGGGGTCTTGGGAAAGAATGAGACGGGTGATTTGCGTGGGGGTGCCCTGCCTCGTCTCGTTACTGTTGTACGCGTCTGACTTCCTCCGGCTATACAATTATGTATGGTAGAGACGCCAGTATAAGTTAATGATCCATGCCAAGTCAATTAATCAGATTGTTCATTCGTTGCTACAACTTGCACGATAGTGAGTTCCCCGTGGGGGAGCCACAACGACCCGAAACGATTGGCTGCTCGACAAAGTCATCCCCCACAAAGAGGGGGTCTCGTCGGCAACTCAAGTTCTCCATACTCCAGACTCACTAAATCATGCGTTGACGGCATCCATAGTGCTTGCAAAATGCGGAGGACGGGTCGGTCGTGTGGCGATTATCTATATAAGAGATCATCCCAGCCGGCATTGTTACGATATTTTTCCATCTTGGGTGACTGTCTGTTATATACTATCTTTTTAATTAGACCTACACCTCCTGGATAGAACCATGGATCAAGACAAAATCGACACCGCCCACCACCAACATGTTATCGACGACGAGACCATCAAACACGCCGACCGCGCCGCCACTCTTGTAAATGGCGAGCGCGTCCTCCTCACCGAGGAAGACTCCAAGCGCATCTGTCGCAAGACTGACAAGCGCATCCTCGTCGTCTTGATGTGGGTTTATTTCCTGCAGATTGTCGACAAGACCGTGCTCGGGTACGGTGCCACTTTTGGTCTGCGTCAAGACACAGGCCTGACAGGCAGTCAGTATTCGCTGGTTGGCTCGATTGCGTCGATGGCTCAATTGGCGTGGCAGCCCATGTCGTCGTATCTGATTGTACGAGTGCCGCATCGCATTTTAATGCCTGCTCTTGTCCTTGGATGGGGTGTTTCTGCGGCGTCGATGGCTGCTTGCCACAATTTCAGTGGATTGCTGGCAACTCGTTTCTTCTTGGGCTTGTTTGAGGCTGGTTGTTTGCCGCTGTTTAGTGTCATCACTGCTCAATGGTATCGACGAGCTGAGCAACCCTTAAGAGTCGCTCTGTGGTACGGAACAAACGGTATCGGCAATCTCTTTTCTGCTGCATTGAGTGTCGGTCTTGCCCATATTCACTCGGACGTGCTGAGATCATGGCAAATGTATGGCCCTTTCTCTTCTTCTTGTGGAAAATGATACTAATTGTTGTAGTATCTTCCTCTTCGTTGGATTACTCACCATCGTCTCCGTACCTATGATCTTCTTGCTGCTCGACAATGACATCGCTTCCGCGCGCTTTCTCAACGAGGAAGAAAAGCGTATGGCTGTCGAGCGTCTCCGAGCGAATCAAACCGGTACTGGTAATCGCGAGTACAAGTGGAAGCACGTGTGGGAAGCACTCCTCGAGCCCAAAACATGGCTCTTCTTCTCTATGAGTTTCTTGCTCAACGTCGGCGCCAGTGTTACCAATATCTTTGGCCCATTGATCTTGCAGGGCTTCGGATTTGACTCTTACACTACTAGCTTGCTTAATATGCCATTCGGCGTCATGCAGACTTCGGTCATTCTGGTCGCGTGCTACCTCGCTCAAAAGACAAGCATCAAAGCCAGTATTTTGCTCGCCTTGATCGCCCCCGTCGTCGCCGGTCTGGCAATCCTCTACGCCGTCCCCCACGCACACCACACCGCTGCCTTGCTCGTGGGCTACTATCTATTGGCATTCCTCTTCGGCGGTAACCCTCTGATCGTATCCTGGATCGTCGGAAACACCGGCGGCGCCACAAAACGCTCCTTCGTAGCCAGCGTCTACAACGCTGCTAGCAGCGCCGGCAACATCGTCGGCCCTCTACTCTTCAATTCCAAGGACGCACCCACCTACCACCCCGGTCTCCGCGACTGCCTCGCCATCTTTATCGCTCTGGTGGTCGTCGTCGCCCTGCAATGGGTAAACCTGATGTGGCTAAACAAGCGTCAAGAAAAGAAGCGCGTAGCAAACGGCAAGCCCGCCAAAATGGTGGATCATTCCATGCAGAAACACTACCATGATTTTGCAGAGGATAACAAGACGGCTGGTATGGTTGAGCAGATTGAGCAGACCGAGCAGCCTAAGATTGGTGCAAATGGACTCGAAATGCAGGAGGAGATTGGCGAGAAAGCGTTTTTGGATTTGACGGATCGTCAAAATGATGAGTTTGTGTATATTTACTAGTTATACCCAAGTATAGTTGTTAGAGTCGTCACCCTCAAATGTGATCCATTCCAAGTATGCAACGAGATATTTTGTCCTATAGAGCAGACCGTATCTTATCAGCCGAGCGCAAATGATGCGACGAGGCGGGCGCCACATGCAATTTCCACCGATCCCAACCAACAATCAATCCCTCCCTTGCAACACAGCCACCTTACTCTACACATTTTCTGTTCTCCAAAGTTTTCGAAATATACTCATTGCGAAGTCGAATATTTGCGCACTCATCTTTACGACAGTTCATGTGCACAGCACCATTCAACTGAAATGGCTGACTCCGACCCCGCGACGGTCGCTACGGGCCATGACGTCACGGATAGCGTGGAAAAGTCATCCGAGTCAGAAACTAAACAACAGGAACAAGCTGCGCAGACAATTCAGGTACATTTACCCTATTTACACTACTGACTACATGATTCTGACATGTTGATGTTAGAGGTACTACCGTGGCTATCGAGCGCGTCGAGAACTCAAAGGCTGGTCTCTTTCCTCGTCCACCCGCTGGATCGAAGCCGTCAAGGAAGCGCAATGGCACAAGGCGATGCAGAACCAGTACGACGCCGAGACGAACGGCGACGTCGAACCAGACAAAAACGACAGAGACGATATCATACGACATGAAGATGAGGAAGAACAAGAGGAAGAACGAGAACAAGCATCGCGGCGCACAAGTCAAAGCGGCCTTTCGCCCGAAGTCCGACGGAAGTGGAAACTAGCAGGGCAAATCGCTCTGAGGGCCGGCGGGGATGATAATCTGGAAGACAAGATTGTAGAACAAAATGGTTCTGAGGAAAGGAGCGAAAATGGCGCGCAGAGGGTGCATACATTCCAGCACACAGCGCAGACACAGCATCATCGTGAACCATTAATACCGACCCGCACGGCTGCGGAGGTGGAAAAGAAGGCGAAGATGATGGATTTGCAGTATTTTCTGGAAATGGTACCTCCCTATCTCACCACTTTCTTCGTGCACGTGGTTGATTAATTCGTTGCAGGTCGACACAAAACACCGCTACGGCAGCAATTTACGCGCCTATCACAGTATATGGAAAAACAGCCCCTCAAAGCAAAACTTCTTCTACTGGCTCGACTACGGCGAAGGCAAAGACGTCGAAATCGAGCGTGTCCCGCGCGACAGACTTGAGCGTGAACAGGTACGATACCTAAGCCGGGAGGAGCGACAGGATTATCTCGTCATTGTAGATAAAAGCGGCCGGTTCCGATGGGCTAAGAATGGAGAACGAGTATGGACGGATAGTGAGCGGTTCAAGGATAGTATTCGTGGTGTTGTGCCGGTGGAGGATAAGACGCCTACGTTTAGGGAGTATACAAAGGAGGGGGATGAGGTTTTTACGACTGATAGTGATGATGATGATGAAAGCGACGAAGAGGAGGAAGAGGATTCAGATGAAGAGGTTCAGCGGTATATGAATCCGGATTTTGATAATGCAAAGGGGATCAAAAAGATTGAGTACGTGAGTCCGGCGGTGATTTTCAATCATTTGATGCAAAAGTCGTTGAAGAAGAGGGACAAGTGGATTTTTGTACGTCCTTTCCATACATGATACTTATATGAAGACTAACGTTTTGATAGGTCGCTGGTGAGCTCATCTGTCTAAGTTGCGAATGTGAGTACTGACTGTATAGATACATCCTTCCGAATATACATCGGCATCAAAGAGTCCGGCGCCTTCCAGCACTCCTCCTTCCTGCGCGGCGCCCGCATATCCGCCGCAGGCCTCCTCAAAATCAAGGACGGCCAACTACGCAGCTTGTCGCCGCTTAGTGGTCACTACCGTCCTCCCGCCGCGAATTTCCGCGCCTTTGTGCATGCGCTCCAGAACAATGGCGTGGACATGTCTCACGTTTCAATTAGCCGATCCTATGCCGTCCTCGTGGGTATCGAAGGATACATGAAATACAAGCAAAAGAAGAAAGACGTAAAAGACAAAATTGAGGAGGAAAAGGCCAAGCTTGCCAATAATAAGCAGGACAGTAAGGAAGAGGATGAGGTACCGGATGTGTCGCGGAGTAGACCGACGCAAAAGAAGACTACCACTACAGTCAACCAGGTTTCGGTCGAGGAAGAGAAAAGTGGTGGTAAGAAGACGGGTTTCTTTTCGACTATCGCGAGAAAAATTACAAGCAGAGGGTCGACGCAGGAGAGCAAGACTGTTGCGATTCGTGGGAGAGGTGTACCGGGTACAGCCCCTGAGGAGGGCGTTCCTGCTCCTGAGGGAAAGCGATGATATTTCTTATTCATCTCGTTTGACTTTGATCTGTCTCATTTTTATACCATTTCGTTATAAGCACTGTACTAGTTTCATGTCTTGATTTCATGATAGATGAAGCCCTAATCTACGAATGCATAATAAATCACGTCACCTTTGGCCAGGCAAATCCTGCCAATCCAAAACCACATTCTGCACTCTGATGCGCCAGGGATTCTCGCCACCCTCTTCAATCTCTTTTACGCGCACCATTTCTAGATCATAGTGACCCTTCAAGTCGTCAATCCGACATTCACTTTTCTTCAATGACTCCGGGGAGGGGGAAGGAAAAGGGGGTGACGTACAGCCTGTCTCCGTGCCATAACCCGCGGCAACCCCTCTCCATCATTCTTATAAAACAATCCCTGCGCATACGCATTCACCTTACACACCTCTGGTCTCGTGGCTGTAGGCGATGGTTGCGGTAGATGTGCCAGTAGATTCCTACCCCAACATCAGCACTCTTCATAACTATTAAATAAAGGCTGGAGGGCCTACTGAATAATGTGTTCTGTAGTATCATATTCATCATGGAAATGCTCCAATCTCTCGGCCCATACGTGGCTACTCATTTCTTCGGCGCCGGTGCCGATGAGGCGTGTAGGGTAGTTGATTGTTATGCGCGGGGTGTAGACTTGGTTCACCAGGGTCGGAGTTAGGGGGAGGCGGTGGTCGAAGGCGAACATCTACCATCATTATCAGATAAACGAATTTAAATGGATTTGACTGGATATGGTGTTAGAGAGAGAAAGATACCATGCGCAAGAGTGTGTCGCGGATATTCTCCTTGTCGAGGAGGTAAGTCGTTACATCGTACGGTTGGGCCATGCTGTCCTGTCTATCTATCTTTCGTTTCGTTAAGACTTGAATTTAATACATGAAATACTTCATGCCATACGCGACATTAATCCCACTTTTATAGAGGTTACTCCTACCCATCTACTCTGTGTGTACTTAGGTAGGCAACACCATCGTAAACCCGGCTGAACATCCAACCGACATATACTAAGTCCTATCTCCGATTCGTCCAGCTGAACAATGAAAAGATAAATCTATATCCGCTATATCCTGCAGCGACATGACTCAATGCGGGGTTTTTGGGGCCAATTACATTGCACCTTATGTGTTGGATCTGGGGTTTTGGCAGATCATGGAATTAAGCTCTACCTAGGATTAAGTTATCGCCGAGGCTGATGTCATAACGGTATCAGATCGGAATATCAAGATATGCAATATAGACTCGTGCATGAATATGTACAGGATTAGATAGGTATCAAAAAACGAAACGAGAACAAAGAGAATATTAACATCGTATATCGTAATGATAGTAAACCTCAAATTGAGACCATCAATCAATCAATCAACCCTCGAGAACAGAAAATCCTTCAACACCGGCGACCCCGAAAACTCGGGATTCAGCAACACGCAATTCAAGAAGTACTGTAATCCTACTCGTCTGGACTCTAAAAACTTGGCCCGGAATTTGAAGAGTAGACTTTTGGGAGGTAATGGTGGTAATGCGTTACGGGCGTGAGGGAAAGCGGTTGCAAGTAAGGAGCGGAGTTCGTCGAATTCGGAGTATCGCATGGGGATCATCATGGGGCCGCCCTAGCATTTTGTTAATTTATCAATTTTGGCAGAAAAGTTGGTAGAATGATTTGCTGATGGACATACATCGAGGGTTTGTACATTGCACATCCAAACGACGTACGCGCCTATTCCCGTCTTGCCTGATACAACGACGTGGTCATCTATCGTTACACTTCGCGCCCATAGTCCTCTTGTAGTGGTGGCGTTGGGGTCTGCCGTGTGGTCTTCGAGCGTGATAGCTGGCTTTGAGCTGCGGTGCGTGTCTACCGAAGAAGCCAGCGATGCTCGCGAAAGAGCTCTTTGGTGGCGCCAGTATGGCGGTACGACGCCTGATATAGGTCTGTCTTTCCTTTTCGTGTTTGCGTTGTTGTCTAAATTGGGATGTAATGGAGGAAAAATATCGCCGTTCGTATCGTGGGTTTCTGATACTGACGGTGTAGTAGTGTCGTCACTATTGAGTTCGCTCACATGGCGCTTGAGAGCGTCGTTATCGTTATGACCACCATTGCTGGTGTCGACAGCGGGTTGCGCTGCTGCTGAGGGCCCGCTTGAACCCGTCTCTTCATCGGTTGTATGCTCCATCCATCGAGATCAGTGCGCAGACCGGGGAGACCGTGGCACCTCAGGGACTGAAGCAATCGAAAGTGCCGAATGCGATAGGTGATACAAAGAAACAAACAAGTGATTGACCAATGAGCACTCAAATACGAGTAACAGTAGGAAAGTAGAGACTGCTTGCGCAAGGCTCGCTGTTTGGCAGAGCACGTTGCCAGCTTTGGCCGACGTTCCAGAAGCCGGTCTGGTCCGTGCGTCGCGGCAAGCGAACCGGAATGCTTCCACCAATCGGGTAGCTGTAGTGGGGCGCGGCTCTCTTTGGCCTGAGGCATGTAAATATTTATTTTGTCAAGAATTCGCCGATCTGGGTCAGAACAGCATACAGTGCGGACTCATGTACAGAAAGCTTGACCATTACAATCCCTATGTTCGGATGCTAACGACTCGAGAAAGGAAATGCAATGCAACTTGCGACAAGGGTCTACCCAACTAAGTTTAGCTAGAGCTCCCCCCTTTCTTGAGCCCCTTGTTTAGCTTTACCCTGTACGTAGTACAAACTCCGATGGCTTGCTCCACTCTTTACTTTTTCTGAAGAACCTCATAACAGCAGATTCTGATCATTGAGCTTCTATCTGCTGCAATTGAGAGATATATTTAAATACTCTGGTAGAGCTAGTTGTACGGAGATGTGAGATGTGCACTGTGCAATGATTCTATTCTGTAGCATGACCAGGGAATGCCTAGGTAGATAACAGCGGCCTTAATAAACAGGATGTAATAGCCGAGCCAGGCACTGTTGTTCTTGAAACGGACGGCGGTCGTGCTGCCTCCCGTCGTTCTTGCCGAATGTGGAATGCCCCTTGGCTTCCTCCGACCTCCCCTCTTTCTCTCTCTCATTCCGTTTTCCTCACAAAGATCAATTGACACCTCATCCAACTTGGGGCTCAACATTTGTTTCTGTCTGTTTCTGTCTTGTCACTCTTTGGTACTGTCTGTCTATAATTCTATCGTCGTCTCGACCACTCTGATTGCGCTCTCGTGTGACACTCCCTCAAGATCTGGTAGGTGAGACAGCCGGATGCATTCCTTTCGACCAACACCAAGAATGTTTGTTTGTAGCTTCTGATCTACATTCTCTCTTCTTACATATTGCTTGCTGCTGCACCTCCCTACCTTTTACTCCTCCCGTCACATATATTTTGATCAACAGAGTAATCAGTGAGCTTATCATTATCTCAGATACTCAACTTCGACGTACCTCACATTGCACGATCGTCAGCCACGATGCTTGTTCAGGCGGTTCTCTATCTGGCTTGGATGGTCAGTCTGGCTGCCAGTCAGACAATTGACCCCAGCACCATTCCTATCGCTACTCGGAGTAAGATTTCCGGTCCTTATCTCTAGACACGAATCTAACAATACCACAGACCAATGGTGCGAACAGCAAAAGACATCGTGCCCTCTGATTTGCCTCCAACTCCCCAACGGCACCGCCTCCACAGACAGTGACACCTGCGACCCTGTAAGCCCCCCATTCTGATAGCAATTGACCCTTACTAACACCTGGATACAGTCCACCCTCGACTTTTCTTGCGTCTGCGGCGACGGCCAATCCCCCAACTCCACCGAATACTCCCAAACGATCCCCTACTTCATCTGCACCGCCTACAACACCCAATGTCAAGCCAACTGCAACGGTGACTCAACCTGCCAGGCAGCCTGCGTGCAAGACCATCCTTGCGGCGCACAGGAACCCAGACGCTACAACACCACTTCTTCTGCCACTAGCGGCGCCACTGCGACCGCTACAGGCACAGCAACGACTTCTGGTGGTGGTGATGTGCTCTACACTGGATTCGGTACGGGATCTGCTTCTGTCGCTACGGGGAAAACGTCAGCTGGGTCCGTGGGCGTCATGAGGCCATTCTTGAGTGAATTCAGTCAGGTCTATGGTCTTTTCATGATTGCTGCTGGTTTGGCAGGTGGTTTCGCTGTTGTTCTATAATCTGAGCATATCTGCAGTCTTGACCCTTCTTTCTTTTACTTTGATCTGTGCATACATTGCATTTCGTGCCAATTCAGATTATCTATTGCGTCGGCGTTTAGCGGCGTTCTGAGTCGGCTTCTAATTTCATATTGGTTCTTGGGTGTATTCATTCTTCTCTCGGCTGAGCCATTCTGTTATGTCATGATGGTAGCCGCTGCACGTAATCATTTCCGGGAAAAGAGAAGCAGAATGGAAAAGGTCAACAAAACATATTCAGCACGTCTTGAACTTCCGTTCCGGTCTCATAGATTCAAACTCCTGGATATCAACCTTGACAGTAGTCGTACATACAAATCAAATCCTTCCATGCACAGTACAACAATGCAACACTGCAGACGGGCTATACAGTAGCCAAAACCTTAGCATTCTTATACCACGTCAGTAAAGGATTCTCTCCACTCCTCGTCTCCGTATCTCCAATATAAGCCCATCGCTCCATGAATTCCTCATGGCTGCTGACGAAAGTCAATTTGCCCGTAATGGCGCGGTACAGGTCCTCAACGACGTTGAAGTCGGTCGGGAAGAAGATGTCAAAGTAGCCTTGGTGGACCTATAGAACCATTAGTGTACGGAATTAGGCGCAGGGAAAAGAGGGAAGGGTAAACGCACAAAAGGAGTTGATACAGGCACCGTCCTCCGTTTATATCGCGTCTGCACAACAGGCGCATTGAGTCCCGGCACCGCATCCGGCAAACTGCTAAAATCACTGGTCACAAGCCTATGAGCCGGGAAATAATCTCTCAAGATATCGAAAAATTGCATCAAGCGAGTCGGTATGTATTCTGGGAGAGTATAATCGCGTCGTCCCAGAGGTAATGAGCTGCGCAGAGTTCGCGACAGTTTTGATGGTAAGGGGCTCGGAAATGGGCGGCGGGATGCAGCTTGCCTTGCCCGTAGAAACCGTGATGCGAGAGGGTCCAGAGTGGTATTGTAGTATTCGCAAAACTCGCCGTCGGAGTCGATTACGACGCCACCTTGTTGCGGCATTTCGGTCTCATAGTCGTATCGAATGGCGTCGTGGGAGAAATTGTCAAACACTTCCAACGCAAGAAAGAAACAAGGGGAATGGATATATTCATTCCAGTCGAAGATGGATTTATTAATGATTTGGACGTGGCCCGTATGACCGCCCGCGGTGAGAGAGGCGCGAAGGTTCTCTTTCTGTACTTTTGCGAGCGACGAAGAGATTTCAATAATCTTGAACTTTGTGCGGGCATAGACTTCCGGGTCGGAGTCGCGGATGAAGTCAAGGATATTCAACATCAGCGTTCCGTTTCCAGCACCCATTTCGTAGATTATCAGATCATGGTAGGGATACAGTGAAAGGCGGTAATTTGTGACCAGATATCGCGCAATGGCTTCTCCGTAGTACGGTCGAAACAGTTCTGTGGGGGTGTGCCATAATTGTCGAGCGATGTCCGGGTTTGTCTCGTCGAGTTTGTCTTCGAATTCGGTGTATCGTTCGCCTAGTAGGCGGTGGAAGTGAGGACCATCTTCGATGCGGCTGAAATCGAATGGTTCGCCGGGATGGAAGATGGTTGCGTGTTTGGAGAAGTATCCGTAATGTGGGTTGTATAAGCTATCTACAAAATCTTAGTCAAACTCCAGCAGGTTTCTTGCGGGAAGAGAAGGCAAACCATCGATAAACTCTCTTGTCAGCATTTTCACCTGCCTCGGCCGTTCGCGCCTGTTCCGCAAGTCCTTCGCCGTGACAAGAGGGAATGTCCGGAGTTGCTGATCAAGATCTCTGGGATAATCGTCCCGTTTTGTCCACATGGTCCCATCATTCGTCGCGTTCTTTTTTGGGCTGGTCTCTCGTCTGCTGAGGAACGAGCGAGACTGTTGATAATGCTGCAGGCCACGTCTCGTGCCATTGAGTCGGCGGACGGATGTCGGGCGTGTGCATTGACATGCTCGATGGTTGAAGAGTTGTCGGAACAGCTGATTCAGAAGAGGGGAGTCCATTGGGCCGGAGAGTGGACGTGAAGGATGACGCTTGATGTTCTTCGGAAGAGTGTGTGGTTCTTGCGGACGTCGGCCAAAATAGAGGTGGTCCAAGCTTCTGATGTCCTCATCGCTTACATAAGCTTGATGATGAAAAACGATCAATCGACCTGTTTCGTCCAGCCAAATACAACGATCTTTGAAGAGTGCTGTGAAGGAGCCATTTAAATTAGTATCGCGCATGTTGAAATGGCTGACGCACGCTACATCTATTTCAGCTCGTTCGTCGCTGGCGTTCTGGTGACAGTAGCTTTGACGGAAATATATCATCGTTACCAGCAACCCCAATCGCCTACCACAAGAAAACAGTCAGCTACCAGACCAGGCAATTCAGAGGACGAGAAATTATTGGCTACTGTGCGGCATGGGCCTCCGGCCATAGTTGATGGTGTCGAAGGATGCATTGGCAATACGCCATTATTTCGCATCAAGTCGCTATCCGAAGAGACTGGGTGTGAGATTCTCGCAAAGGCTGAGGTAAGTCAATTGAAATAATTTTGAACATCAATATGATATACTGACATACACAAGTTCCTCAATGGCGCAGGTGGTAGCCCCAAAGATAGAGTGGCATTGAGCATGATAGAAACAGTAAGTCTGATTTCTTAGTGGCAATACTCTCATTACTGACAAGTCAGGCCGAGAGAGAGGGATCTTTGCGGCCGCATTCAGGAGACGTCATCTACGAAGGCACTTCGGGCTCTACTGGCATATCTCTAGCGACACTTGCTCGTGCCCGTGGTTACTTGGCCCATATGTAAGTCTATAAGCCTGCAGGACAATACAATATCATTGCTGATTAGTCTATAGTTGCATGCCCTCCGATCAGGCAATGGAAAAATCGGACCTCCTCCTCAAACTAGGAGCAGTCGTAGACCGCGTCCCGCCAGCCCCAATCGTGGAACAAGCAAACTTCGTCAATAGAGCTCGCAATCTAGCTCGAGAGCGGACTGCTTCAAACAATACATCACCAGGCAAACTTTCATCAAAGAGCGGGACACAACTAACCACAACAGATCCGACCACTGAGCCTGGCGCATCCGCAGGACGAGGCTTTTTCACAGACCAGTTCGAAAATGCAGCCAACCATGCTGCGCATTTCAATGGAACAGGGCCCGAAATATACGCTCAATGCGGCGGGAAACTTGATGCTTTCATTGCTGGTGCAGGCACTGGAGGCACTATATCTGGTGTTGCGCTATATCTGAAGCCTAGATTGCCAAACATAAAGATCATTCTTGCTGATCCGCAGGGAAGTGGGTTGTATAATCGTGTTAGGTATGGTGTCATGTTTGATATCAAGGAACGCGAAGGCACCAGACGCAGGCCGCAGGTTGATACGATTGTTGAAGGAATTGGGATCAATCGACAGACTGCTAATTTTGAGGCTGGGCGGGAGTTGATTGATGATGCGATACGGGTTACGGATACGCAGGCGATGGCCATGGCGCGATGGTTGGTTGAGAAGGATGGGATATTTATGGGGAGTAGCAGTGCAGTAAATTGTGAGTATTCTTTCCATGATCACGTACGAGAAATTAATGTGTTATAGGTTTCGCTGCAGTCAAGACTGCCCTGGAACTTGGTCCCGGCCATCGCATTGTGACTGTGTTGACTGATACGGGTGCGAGGCATCTTTCCAAGTTCTGGGCTATGGCAGGAGACGTTGGCGGGACGACTGACACTAAGTTGGAGGATGTGCTCAACGCTTAAGATCTATATTACGATTGATCGGAAGACTGAAGTGGTACCAAGGCTTGTCATCATTATATGGCAACTTTAAACGCATCAATAATACTTGCGTGGAGATGCCGAGCTCTTCCTTGGGGAGCTTTTCATCGGCGACGATTTCTGTGGCGACTTGCGAGGCGAACTAGAGGCGCCATATTCGTGCGGTCTTACGCCAATAGCTGAAATACTCGACCAGTCATTGTCCAGCTCCTCTTCTAGCAAGTCCTCCAAGTCATCATTCGTCATGACATCGCCTGTTCTCAGTGCAGGATCATTATCGTCCGAGTACGGAGTCTGTGAATGTTTCCGCTTCTTTCGAGCCAATTCCATGGCCTCTTCCTCGTCTTTTATCCGCTGTTGTTCTTCCAATATCCGCTCAGTCCATATTCGTATCATTTGCTTCTCGATCTCTTTCCTTGATCGACAAGGGAAAGAGATTTGAATATCTCGCCACCACATACCGGACTCATCTGCAAACTCGTCAAGTTTCTTCAGGTCATCCGTGGACCACCCGGCGTTAGTCACGGACCCATTGGACAGAAACAAAAGTGAATGGTGATCCGCCCAATTCAGCAAGTCATCCAATGTTCTCCCAGGAAGATGTTCTACTATGTCCTCCATACACAGACCGGTAACAGATTCGCATTTGAATCTCACAATCACTTTTACCTCGTCAGGGGTGAGAATAACCTCATCTAGCTTGATGGTTGACGGAGAATCGAAGTTCACTGGATATCGTCTATGCGTTGGTGTTTCATTTAGTATTGCTGGGCTCGAGGACAGCACTTCAGGTGTGTCGGGTACTGGTTCTATTTGTTCGGCATGCCGTATTTTCTTTTTATCACCGCCCTTGCCTTGGCGCTTGGGAGTGGTATCAAGCACGTTATTGGAAATAACACTCAACGCTTTCGGCGTAATAGAGACACTCTTGCGACCACGGACCTTATTCGAGTGGATGCTTGAAGGCAGCGTGTCGTCTTGAAGCGGATCATCCGAGTCACTGTTATCATCTTGTATATGCGCAAAGTTCCAGTCAAGTTTCAGAGGACTTTTGCGTTTTGGCTTTGCGCGTGCCGACGTCTTCTTACTGGAGGAAGTGCTTTGTCCTTTTGATGCTGGGACTTTCTTGGATGTTGAACCTCGTGGACGTCCTGGTGTGCGAACAGCCCAAACTGACGCAGCTGATGGCGGAGACTTGGGCCGCTCTGCGCGAGGAGTCTGATGTACTTCTTTTGGCAATTCCTTCTTCGGCGGCGTCCAGAAGTTTGCATCTATCTCGGGAGCTTGCCATTGGGGATCGGTGGGTCTGCTCACAGGTGTCTCGACCGGCGAAACCTCAATAGCAGCCTCAACATCTTTGCTACCCAAACTGAGAAGAGCCTTTCTCGCTTTTTGAAATGACGTATCCCAATCTTCGGTTCCATCCTGTTCATTGTGCGACGCCTCCCCCTCGTTTTCCGATTCCGCTCCCGTTAACTCTCCAGTATCGTCTTCATGTTCCATGTGCTGCACATGTCCTTTGTTGACCACGATTTCACCGGTACTTAAATCGATTTCATCGCCGATATCACTAAAGTCCTTGCCGTATTTTTCGAAAATGCCTTCGAACAGCGATTTGAGCTTCTGGTCGTTTCGCGCTCGTGCTATCTGTAGGTCAACGTCGTTTCGGGGGTCGGGCGAAAGACGCTGCCGTTTGCGCGGTGGTTCCATACCGGAGCATAAATGTTGAATTGTAGGCAGTGAGCAGATTTTATTGTTCGAAGCAACTGTTGGCGATGGATGTGTCGCAAATGAGATGGGTGCGGTTTTGATGATTCAGCGCCCGTACGCCAAGATGAGATGTAACTTAAATCAGAACTTGAATTGCCCACAGAAAGTAATAAATATCGATTGACATTTGAATCAACCAAAGCTAAGAAGCTCTATGGTCGATATGTCGAGACAGAGCTGAACAAAAACGCGAGGCGCGTGGCCGGAACACGCGCTACAATCTTATCGGCGGAACTACTCTAAGATTGTATTAGCGGGCTCTCGGCCAGCAACCATGACGTGGTGGGTCTGGACGACTCGCATCTATCAATCATCATCCATCCGAGCTTGAACTGTCTATGTTGCTGTATACCTCAAACCCGGCATAATGTTGAAGGCGAGATAACGATAACCGACATCTGGAAGACGTATCGGAAGGCGTGCACCATGTATTGCCAAAAGTGTCGCACTCCACTCAAACTTGATGGGTCCCTCGAGGCCCTCAATCCTGCCGCCTTCGACTTACTTGTTGGTATGAATGAATGTTCATTATAGATCAACTAAATCTAACACTCGATAGGCTCTACAGGAAAGTCTCTTCCAGAACATCCTGACCATACTGTATCTCACAGACCAGCGTACCCTCCCGAACGCCGTGAGTTGTACGACCGTGCCTCCAGACATGCCAACGCTCCTATATACCGACGCTCAATCCCCGCACCGCGCGATGGAGGCGCCCACCCAACACCAAAGCTTAATCGCGGAGAGAGCAGTGGCGGAATGTCCTTTGTGATGCTTACCGAGTCTCAACTTGCGCCGCCGCAACTATCTACTGGGATGAATGGGGATGGGCTCTTGTCACACACGCAAGGCAACGGAGCCGCAAAGACAAGCACCAGTCACGAGGCAAAGCATCAATCATTGTCAGATGAGGTTGAAAAAGCTGCGAGACTGTTTGACATCATATCTGCTCGTTCCGATATCGACCATCCCATCTGTACGGAATGTACGGATTTACTTGTCGAGGGACTACACAAGAGGCTAGCGAGTACTACGAAAGAACGGGATGCCTACATTTCATTTTTGAAAACCATAAACGCATCGATACCCACGGAGGCCGAGGTGGAAGCGGCTGAGAAGAACTTAAAGTCCACACTGCAAGAAGAGGAAGCCGCTTATCAGGAACTACTCGTTTTGGAAAAAGAAAAGGCGGACCTTGATCGCGAAATAGCTCATTTAGAGGACGAGTCACGGCAGTTAGATCTTGACGAAGAGGAATTTTGGAGGGAGCGCAACACATTTGCGCTATCTCTGGCTGAGTTTCAGGATGAGCGAGATGCTCTGAATATGCGATATGATCATGACTCGAGGCAGCTTGAGAGACTTCAGAGAACGAACGTGTATAACGATGCGTTTTGTATCGGCCATGACGGATTCTTTGGTACTATTAATGGACTACGTTTGGGTCGTTTGGCAAATCCATCTGTTGACTGGGCAGAAATCAACGCGGCTTGGGGTCAGACTTGTCTCTTGCTAGCGACAATAGCGGAAAAGCTAGGTTTTCAGTTCCATGGTTACCGTTTGAAACCAATGGGCTCCACTTCAAGGATCGAGAAATTTGAAGATTCGTCGCAGAATTCGAGCCAATCATCCAGTCAAGGAGCCCCAGCCGCAGACAGTTCGTCCGGTACGACGAAGTCTACTAGCCTAGATTTATTCTCGTCCGGCGATATGCCGCTCAACCTCCCCTGGGTTCACCGACGTTTCGATGCTGGAATGGTCGCCTTTTTGGAATGTCTGCGACAATTGGGTGTATATGTCGAAAATACTCCTGTGCCTATGGCTAATCGACGAGGACAGCAGGGTATAAATACAACAGGCCTAAAACTTCCGTATGAGATCAAACGTGACAAGATTGGCGATGCAAGTATCAAGCTGGGGTTTAATCAGAACGATGAGACTTGGACACGAGCTTGCAAGTACACTCTTACGTGTTGTAAGTTTCTCTTGGCTCATGCCAGCAACGTCGCGAGTATAGCTGCAAGTAATTCGCCTGCATTGGGGGGAGCGACTAGCCCAACTCCGAGTCAAAGAGATGCGAGAGCTCAGATTTCGAAGTGATGGATGAAACGTTTTCAAGCACAACGCTTCTCTGATCCGATAGAGAAGACATTTGTTCTCTCACTCTAGAAACTGGGCAAACTTAGAACTACATGACCACAACTGGCTTTGGTCGAGGCGCGCAGGTTACAAGCTTACTGATTGTATTGCAACGAGCTATGGGCAATCTATCTTGAATCCTGGATCACCAGTGAGTTCGCAAGGCCATTCTGTGATTGTTCTTCGCTAGGGAAGGAATTGGAAATCATAGAAAACCAGATTCTTCAACTTGCAAAACCCTACATACTTATATTAGGGATTGGCAGATTTCGAAAATCTCTACGTGGACCTTGGATTGTGGCCATATCAGTTTAGACAAGCTCGCAAACATTGGATACTTCGCTTTTCCAACGAAAGTGTTGTCATACTTGATGTGATACCATACTTACACGACAATGCAATACATCATTCCCGTGGCCGATGCTCACCGAAGCACTTTGCCCTCAATACGGATAATACCAAACAAGTCCCTGTATATAGTTATACCAATAGATGCCAGCGATGAACAGCTTCGCTTCTAACCTTGAATCCGGTTCAGAAAACTGACAATAGTCTGCTGAACCCCTTCCACATACCACTATACCCAGCCAAAGCCGCCGTAAGACCCGTAAACAAGATCAATCCCCCATAATTCGTCGAAAATCCTCCTATTTCACCTACCTGATTCTGCATCAACGCACTACTCACCGGCCCACTAATCACATTCCCAATTCCGCGCCCACCAGCCAACAACCCAAACACCAACCCGGTCTCCATCCCCGGATTCACTCTCTTCACCTCATTCAACACACCAGACCACGTAGAACTAAACCCACCCGCAAAGAAGCCATACGTAAGTGAGAAAAGAGTCAAGACTGCAACGCCGCCGTGATGACTACTAGGGCACAAGCCCCAGAATAAGAGCACAGAGGTCGCAGACGCGACACTCGAGAGGAGGATGATGTTGGTAACATCAAACTTGTCGCAGAGTATGCCCATGATTACGCCGCCAAATATGGATGTGCCGTTGAATAAGGCGAGGACTAGAGTGCCGTATGTATCGGAAAGACCAATGTCGCGCGCGAACGAAGATAAGTATGCGGATGGAAGGAAGTAGCCCAACCCTTGAATTATGTTACTCATTTCGAGTATCCAGAATGTGCTGAGTCGTAGGAAACTCATGTCGAGACGGCGTGGTGTGCGAGATGCGGGCAGGGGAAGACGTGGGCGGATGAATCTGAGTAGTGGGATTGTGATGATGCCCTAGATGTCCATTAGATTTTGGAGATGTACTCTGGGTATCGGGGGATATGACATACAGTCAGAACAGCCCACGCCCTCAACGTATTCCCCATCCCAAACCTGGACAGACTCGTCTGCGCAACAAACGGCAGCACAACACCCGCCACACTCTTGCCCGCCCACATGATCCCCATCGACAACCCCTTACGACGAATAAACCATTCATCCAGATACAGCGTCGTAGGCGTGAACAATAACCCATTGCCGACGGCAGATAGTACGCCAAGCGTGATGACCAATTGCCACATTTCGGTTGCGAAAGATGCAAGTAAGAATCCGGCAATAGAAATCATGACACCAATCCAGCCGCATGATTTGCGGAGATGAGGGTATTTTGTAAGTACCGAGAATGTTATGGGGGATAGCATGTATAGGATGCCCTATTTGCCCGGTTAGTCACAGCGCTGTTGATGATATGACGGAGGAAGTGGATTTACACTTGAAGTGGTTCCGATGACAGCGATACTACCAGAGTTTTCTCCGAATTCTGTATGCGACAGATATTCTTGAAAGACTCCCCAAGCAAGAGAGAAGCCTGATGAACAATCAGACCGCGACTACCTAGGCATGAATTCACGCGGATTGTCTCAATTGCTTACCCCAGATTGGTACCTGAGCTAATACGCAGCCCAGGAGAGCCAACCAGGCACCTTTACCATGATCGGCGGGGGGCAGTTCTGTCTGCTCGATTTCGCGAGAGAGTCTCCATGCTTCGGAGACCGGTTCAGACGAACTGTGTGGTCGGCTTGACTCCTGAAGTTCCATCTTGATTAGCGTTTCGGTGCGATTGAATTTATGATAAAGTCGTGGGAATTAGCAGATTATTCATAATAGTGGAAAGCTCATCGTCAACAAACGATGAAATTCATTTGATATAAGATGCTGGTACACGTGACAATGACTCATTTTTAGCGACTTGATATTAAATTGCCTCACCTCCGGCACGGGGGCGGATTACGGGGAGATTAGATATGTGCCCGTGCTATCATTCCACGCGAGCATTGAGCATAGCGATCTGTTCATCCATTTCATCCATCACACAATGAATCTGCTGTGGTCGTGGAATACTCACTTTATATTTTAAAATAATCGAAAACTGGGGCAAGGGGCGTTTGGTATAGGGGTATTACGCCTCATTCGCATTGAGGAGGTCGTGGGTTCGATTCCCACAACGTCCAGAAGATTTCCTTTTTTGCGTCTTTTAGAACTGTAATGCGGATGATTTTTTTGTGGAAAACATTATGAGTCTTCTCTCTATTCCACCACGCTTGAACTGTTCTGGTACATCATTCTCCTCATTTACAGTAGACAACTAATATGTACAAGAGATTTTGTACACTAGAAGTAGGCTTGCTAAACAAATGGACCGATATTTGTTTAACATAGATACGAAAGAAGAAGGGTCGCCCTTATGGGCGAAGACATAATAAGCACCTTTGCTCAATAGCACTAGCATAAGAGCTTTGAAAATGATCCAAGATACAACGTACTCGAATCCATCAAGCAATCAAACAATGACTCTTCAGAGTCTAAGGCACGGACGCTGGCTTAGGCATAGAAAATGGAGCTACCTGATATGGCGATATGGATTTTCTAGTGCAAATCTGGGGCACATTGCGTGCTCCATAGTTGATGGCAAGTTGAAAAAATCAACAAAATCAGATGACTCCGTGACAATAGAAAATAAAAAAACGAAAGGAAGAGACCAAAGATTGATAGAAACGGGTATGAGGCTATCCCCAGTCTGAAACTGTAAAAGGCTGCGTAAACCGTTTCAATTTGTGCTTCAATTACCACTGGCGTCGTCCTTTTCCACCTTCAGCTCGTAATGAAAATCATTTCGTGGAGCAAAATTTGATGTGCTTCTGTCCAAATAACGCTGGGACAGAAGCGAAAACGGAGTTTGATCGATAACCACAAAAGAAATCATTCTTAGAGAATGCCATTAGCCATAATGATGGCATCAATAGTGTGATAAGCAATATAAGGCAGACCATTGCTCAAGCGGCCATATGCAATCGCAAATTTGTACATGTCGTCCACATTCCCATTCTTTTCTAGAAGCGTAGCAGCCTCACCAAAGAGCCTGTCAGACTCGGCATCAAAACGACGGCCCCAACCTGGCTCTTTCCTGTCACTTAGCAGCTCACCATGCCATAATGAATGGATCTTACGAGTGATTGTTGCGAGATCCTCACTCACGCCGAGGGGGCTGTTCTTTTGCATCTGCGCTGACCCATCTTCAATCATTTCGTAGTAAACGTCAAAGAATCTTGAGATGGGCGATTGTGGTAGATCATCTCGCTTCACGGATCGGATAAGCGCACAAATTAGAGACTCTTTCAGCCCTTCTTCGGTAACCTGGGCCTTAGCCATATTGAAAATCTTCCATGTCCATTCCCAAAATTGATCACCGTACTTGTCGATATAAACTTCCATTACCTCAAAAATGTGACGGTGGCGGGCACGACAAAAGCTATATGGGGCAGACGACGCGGCTATCCTCCCATCTTCGCGACAATCAAACCGTGCTCGTTTATGGCCGCGGAAGAGTTCACACAACTGGCCCGAGAGATAGGTGGACATGACTTTCATTGCCTGATCCATATCGAGTCCGTCCGGGTAGATTAGACGTAGCGTGTTCCTGGTTTCTCCTGTACTAATGTCGGTATGCAAATCCATCACATCGTTTGGCAGGGCTGATCCTATGAGTGCATCCATACCGGCGTCGTCTAGCCAAGCAGCCCCATCGCAGCGCATATACGCTGAACCAATCGTGTCGAGAGCACGCATTGCAATGACAAGCTCGGGCTTAATATTGTGGTCAATATGCGCTTTCCGAGGTGCTTTGAATGGGCGAGAATTTTCAAATCTATTAATAGCGATAAGATATTGATGCGCAATCCGCCAGAAAGAGCGATCCTGTCCACTCTTGACATCGTCCAGGTTGGGCACAGTGGCGTGCGCTGACTTCTTGAAACTCTCGACTCGTTTCCTATACTCATCATTCCCCTTTATCCAATCAACAGCAGTCAATGCGGCATACACGTAGTCTGCCTGTGCTGGACCAGGCTCAAAGGTGAATGACTGGCAGAACATGAGATATACAGCCAAGATGGTGATGATTGGTGGATCGCACTCTAGACCAGTGAGTAGTCGGCCCCAGGAAGAAAGATGGTCGTCAGAGCCGGCACGCGATGAATGAAGTTCTGGTTGTATTTGGATGGGAGCGTCGGTGCTGTCGGCTGCTATGATGATCTCAGCACCGATTTCTAGCGCGATTTGATGTGTCCTCGATCAAGTCGATGTCGTGTAGACCGGAGCTCGACTCTCGCTCTTTATTGACAGCGGCATGGAAGTCGCTTGAAAATGTCGTAACAGCCTCAAGTACGTTTTCGTCAGGTCGATAGTCTTGCATAGAAAGGCGGATCCGAGGAGATAACACTGATGTTAGAGCATATCGGCCGCCAGTATGCCGGTAAGAAATCACGTCTACAGGTGGCTTATTTGCTCGTTCTTTCACAATCCAAGCTCTCTTGCCCTCCATGTTGTTCCAGATATTGAGGAAGCAAGAGTCGTTAATTTCGCAGTGGGGACAGCTGTGGACTTTTTTCTCAGTTCCTTTAGCAATCTTGAAGGCTGCCATGGCATCTCCGGTGTATCGGAGTTTGCGAGTCTCTACTCGTACGTATGTTGTCGTACCTATTTTGCTTTGGGCAGTAACTTCTGTCTGTCTCATGATTATAATCTGGTAGAGAGGTATTGATCAAAATATCAAGGATGGAGATAGCATTGCATGCTTTTGAGTCGGGAAGGAGACTGAGATATAGATTTAAACCTTAAAAGGCTGGACGAATACAGAGTATTAGCCGGAGAATTATGTTCTTATTGTAAAGAGAAAGAATAAAGAAAATTAAAGATAGACTAAATTCAAGAGACCGCCCTTGTTTGTCGTGACCGGCCCAACGACGGCGTGGAAGCCGAAAGCCGAAGGAAGCAATTAGGGACTCTCAATAGAGCTAAAAAATTATCATTGCATCATTGTTGATCAAATAAAAGCTTTTTCTCGACCCTCAAGTTCGTGCACAGGAAAAGAGCCAGAGAAGAAGCCAGCAAGTGCATGCCGGCACGATCGACGATGCATTCGCTGCAAAACAAAACCAGGGGCATTTAAAGTTCTTTGTTTGTGAGCACCAAAACGATGCCCACCAAATCAATAGCTAGAAAATGATTGCATGTGATTGTATGAAAGCTTTTTGTGGCTTCAAGCTCATTTTTTTACTCATCCTGTCATTTGAAAGAATATCGTCAGCAGCTTGACCATAATCAACCAGAAATCTTTATGTGGGTCTAGCTATTGCCTGAAAATTGTGATGAGAGAATATCTGGGCATTCAAAAGGAATCAAATTAGTCAAGTGGTATACACATGCTTGATGACCTGATATTAGTATCTTTGGCCGCAAGACGAGATATATGAGAAGAAGGAGGGGAGGATATGACTTGTTTGGGTACATAAGTAGGCATATGAAAGATGATTTAGATTTCACTAGTTTTAGACGTATGTGCCTGTGACCCGTATTATTCTATGATGGTATTCACTCCACATGAAAAGGTCCGGTCATCTCAGAGATGAAGCTCAGCTGGAATAGCAGGTATATTCAGTTTGATTAGAACCCAATATCAGATATATCTTGAATGAGAGAGGATAAAATATATATAGAAACGAAGGTTGGGAGCCCCTCAAGCTACTCCTATGTTGAGTAGGCAGTCAGCAAGCCCCTTACGAACTACGTATTTCGCCCATATCCATTTAAAAGGACCTCTGGAGACTATCCACCAGAACTCGTCGCTGAATGATTACAAACACCCAGAAGGAATTCGTGGAAAAGAAATACATACATGCAGAAAATTCGAGAATTGAGTATCTGTAGCGAACCAAATATCGAAAGAAAAATAACCCAATTGTCGCTGTACTCTCAGACATCGAGGTTCGGAGACTTATATACGTAGCCCTAATTTTCCATACTAGGAAATCGGCATAAATTTCGCCCGCTTACGTGATGTAAGTCTCCGGGGATGCGCTACATCAACATTGTGAGATTATTGGCCACTTCTTACAGATATTACACTACTTATGCGAGGAAACTGACTACTTGTCGCGTCACCTCACCCCACCCACCTAGCGGTTGGGAGTCGGCCCGGGCTCAAGGGCCACCCGGGCTCAAGGGCCAAAATGTTCAAAATCTCAACCCATCATTTGTAAACGTCAAAAACACAGCCATTATAACCCCAAGGCTATATAAAGCTGAGGAGAAATTGATTGCAGAGATCCTCAATGCTTTACCACGCGAAAAGAAGCCAAATTTTAGCGATTTATCGCGCAGATATGGGGTGTCTCGCAAAAAGCTCTCCCGTCGGTGGAATTCTTTACCCTCTCGCTCAACACGCCCACCAACCAACCGCGCATTATCTTTAGATCAAGAAAAGGCGATATTTCTATGGCTTGAGTATCTAGATAATATTGGCGCCTCACCTACAAGCGAGCAAATCGAGGAAAGTGCGAATTATTTACTCGGAAAAGATTTTACCGGCCCCGGAGAGCCCCCCCGCGTTGGAAAGATGTGGGCATATGATTTTCAGAAGCGCCTACCACCAGAGTACGTACGAATCGTACAAAAGCCTCAAGAAAAGGAACGTACGGCTGCAGAGCACTACGGCGAGGTTGAGCGCTGGTTTATCGACTTACAAATCGCTATAAAAGACTATAAAATCCGCCCCTGCAACCTATGGAACTTTGATGAGACCGGATTCGTTGTTGGACATGGAAAAGACGAAGCAGTGATAACAGCGCACCCAAAAATATCAAAAAGAGTCTCTAGCCTGTCTTCTCGAGAATCCGTTACTCTTGTTGAATGTATAAACGCCGAGGGGAAGATTATACCGCCGTTATTGATTCCAAAAGGCAAGGTGCACATGGAGGAATGGTATAATCATATCAAAGATGGCGATTGGCTAATCGCACCCTCAGAAGGTGGATTTATAACGGATGAGATAGCTTTTGAATGGCTTCAACATTTTCATCATTTTACAAAGCCAGAATGGCATGAGCACTGGCGGTTACTACTCATGGATAATCATACGACCCATCTTACGATGCAGTTTGTTGAATACTGTGAAATCTGGCATATCCGACCTTTCCGATTTCCAGCGCATTCTACGCACTTTTTACAGCCTCTTGATGGAGTGCCTTTTCAGCAATATAAGCACGTTCATGGGAGAGTTGTAAATAAGATTGCGCGCTTAGGGGGCTTTGATTTTGATAAAAATGACTTTTTTCAAGAGCTACATGATATTCGGGTCAAAACCTTTACTACACGGACGATTCGGAATGGCTGGAGAGAACGGGGTATTTGGCCAGTTAATCCTGAGCTTATACTCAGTCAAATGCCTTCACCAGATGAGGCTTTTGAAGCATTAGCTACAGAGGGGGATACGTTGAAAATTTACGGCGAGGCGGATGATACTATTCCCAGCTCACCAACTACAAAATCAATATCTCCACCGTCAACCACTGCAAAACTACGTCGCTACGTCAATAAGATTGAGAAATCAATTGACTGTATAAAAGATATATTAGACGAAGCAAGCCCGGGGCTCTCACGGCGTATAAAAACGATTAACCAAGGCAGCCTCACCATGGCCGAATTAGGCGATCTTCACCGTGAGAGCTTTTCAAGGATACGAGACACCGCAGCGCGCAAGAATAAAAAATCTACAAGACGTCAGGTTAAGGCATCTGGTGCGCTTTATGTTAAAGATGCGAATCGCCTCATAAAACGCCGCCATGAGGGTGATTTGTTAAGGATTCATAAGAGGCATGCTCTTGGCCTAGAGGAGCCAGCGGAAGCGGAGGCCCCAACAGAGCCTCAAAATCTCGGTTTTTTTATCGATACTCAGGGAAATAGGTAAACAAGGATTGTAATTACTATCTGTCTAATTTTTATATTAGATTTATATGGTGTTGGTGGACTAAAATCTATTTAACACAACGTAGTCAATATTTTGGCCCTTGAGCCCGGGTGGCCCTTGAGCCCGGGTGGCCCTTGAGCCCGGGCCGACTCCCAACCGCTAGGTGGGTGGGGTGAGGTGACGCGACAAGTAATCGAGATTTATGAATATCGGAAACTTATGTTTTAACTAGTTCGAGGAATCTGGAGGGTTCTTGGGGGTTTGCATATCCCATTTCCTAGGCACAGCATCGTTCAGCTCATAGATGGCAATTAGTAATTTTCTTGCAATTAGAAACTGAAACTATGTATGCAAAATATGGTGTTGTTAACGTAATGATCGATATGTTGTCCAGATAAGAACGATACTGTTGCCTGATCCGGCATAGTATAGAGTTTTCGAAAGCATAGGGCTATTTCTAGGGGTCATGCATAAGTGTTATTCGGACACTTTTCGTTGTAATATTACTCCGTTTCGCTGAGAATATCTGATCGACCGTTTGTTTTGAGATTACAAATGTGTAAGTTTGGAATCTAAGGTCGTATGAAATCTATGATTATGTCGTGGGTATAAGAGGCAGATAATGTCTCGCATACATAGGTATAGACAATAGATTAGACTCAACATTCAACGATATTTGTATTCGAAGTACCTCGCTCACCCCCCGCTCCATCTCACGATTGGTATTTCATCCCTGACAGGAGAAAATGTCTGAAGCCGAGAAAGAAAAGGGTATTCCTAATAACCTGCCTCCTGACAAAACCGAAATGTATCCAGATGCAACTACTCTCAAAAAAACAAACTCGGGTTCGCACCATGAGGGCCTTGACGTTGAAAACCAGAACTCATCAATCGAGAAACCACGCAGAAACATGAGCACGGCACGCTGGTCTCTAGTCGTCGCTGCCATCCTCTCATCCAATTTCCTCTTCGCCCTCGACAACACCGTCGTCGCCGACGTGCAGCCCGTCATCATAAAAGACCTCGGTAACGTCAACAAACTCACCTGGCTCAGCGTCAGTTTCCTGCTCGGCGCAACCGCCACAAATCTAGTATGGGGCAAAATATACAGCCAATTCAACTCTAAATGGTTCTACATCGGTACCGTGGCGATATTCGAGATTGGATCCGCGATCTGCGGAGCTGCGCCTTCGATGAATGTGATGATACTGGGAAGAGCGCTTTGTGGTGTTAGCGGCTCTGGGATTTATGTTGGTATTATGACGCTGCTTGCGCAGACGACTACGTTACAGGAACGGCCTATATATATTGGCGGAACGGGTTTTACGTGGGGACTTGGAATAGTGCTTGGTCCGATTATCGGGGGCGCATTTAGTGATTCGCCTGCTACCTGGCGTTGGGCTTTCTATATCAATCTGTGCGTTGGAGCGGTGTTTGCGCCGGTTTATCTATTTATGATTCCGAGCGTCGATCCTCGTCCGGGTGTTCCGATCAAGGATCGCATTAGGACAGTGGATTATATCGGGATTATTTTTACATTTGGTGCCTTCACGTCTGGAATACTAGCCATTTCATGGGGTGGTCTTACATACCCCTGGAACTCGGAAACAATCATCGGTCTTTTCGTCTGTTCTGGCATCTTATTCATCATCCTAGGTCTTCAACAAGTCTTCAGCATTGGCACTAGCAAGGCAGATCGTCTCATCCCCATTGAGTTCTTTTCAGATCGCATGGTCATGATCCTATTCGCCGTGACGGCCGCCAGCGGCGCCGCAGCGTTCATACCCATCTACATGGTGCCCATATTCTTCCAATTTGCGCGTGGCGATGCCGCTCTCGATGCTGGAGTTCGCCTTTTACCATTCATCATCGTCATGATTGTCTTCATCTTCTCCAATGGCGCTCTCATGTCTAGGTTCGGCTGGTATCAGCCCTGGTACATAATCGGCGGCGTCCTGACCGTCATTGGTGGCGCATTGATGTATACCGTCGACGAGACTACTTCTGTGAGTCGAATTTATGGTTATACAGTTCTTATAGGCGTCGGAGTGGGTATGTTCATCCAAGCCTCCTTTTCCGTGACGCAAGCATTCGTTTCTACCGAGAAAATCGCTTCTGCAATTGGGTTTATCACATGTGCCCAATTTGCCGGTATCACCATCGCATTAGCGATTGCCAATACAGTATACCTGAATCAGAGTGAGACGGGTATAGCGAAGATATTGCCAAATTTGACGCAAGCCGAGATTGAGATTGCGATGGAAGGGTCTGGAAATACGTTTATGGCGACGCTTTCGGCGGTTGATCAGCAGGCGGTTTTGGCGGTTATTGACCGGGCTATTGCGAAGACGTATATTTTGGAGATTACTGCTGGGGCGTTGGTTGTTGTGTTGGGTCTGCTGATGAAGAGGCGGAAGATTTTTGTTGGTGCGCCGGTGGCTGGTATGTAAAGAGTTCAATGTTGTTCACAGAGCGAGTCATTCGTGTAGTTGACATCCTTGTTGTTGACATCTTCGTTGAGATCCTGCTAGGTTCGACCTATGCACAGGTATTATGTATTGTAAAGTGATCTATTTTGCATCTATATACTAGTCGTTTCTATGTCATATATACACCGAAAATGCATTCCGAAATGGTCCTTCATTGCATCGGCAACAGTCCTTTTTCATGACTATTCATGTCGTTCATTCAGTGCACTAGATCTTCGCCTCCATTCTTTCACCGTTAATTTCCTCGCTGATGTCCATTTGATCATTCTTTCTCTGACTTTGCACTTCAGAAATCCGACCTTGCCCACTCTCATTATCAACAACAGTCTTCTCCGAATCGCTCTGCGCAATTTGCTCTTTTCTCGGCTGCTGCTTCTCCTCATCATTCCCATTCGTCCCCGCCACGATATCCTTCCTGTTCGGCCCCAACCCGCCTCTCCATCCAAACCATCTCGTTTCCTTCGGCCCCCTTAACAACAAAACCACAATCGCAGCACCCATAAACCCAACACTCGCACTGCCCGACCTGATCCACCCTCCTTGCGCATACAACTTATTCCCTGCCGCCGTCCCCGTCAACTGGCCACAAAACGAAAACACCATAAATGCCGTATTCACACGACTAGCAGCCTTGGGAGCAACGCCATAGATGGCAGTCCGATTGGCGATTTGCATGATTTGGGAACCAAAGTCGAATAGGATAGCCTGAATGATGGGGCCTGCTACGGTGCGTTTGCCGGTATAAGTGCCCACAACAATCCCTGCAAGCGCTGTACAGATTCCGACAAGCACCGAAACATGAATTGGGAACCTATCGATGAAGCGGTTCGCGAATAAGGGGCCGAAAAACAAAGGTCCCATGCCGCAGAGCGCAAAAAGACCAATAATCACAGTCGAGTAATTATAAGGATCCCCCGACAACAAGAACGTAAGCGTCGTCCAGAAGGAAGTGAAACACGACGAATTCAGGAACGCAATGATGGACGCTTGCACGAGCACGGGATGTTTGACGAGCAGCTCCAAAATACTCCACAAGATCCGGAAATAGCTGATATTCTTGTTTGATTGTGGGTAGTCTGGCATCCAGATCCAGAGTAAGATCAGGATGCCGTATTGAAGTGCCAGGGACATCCAGTATACGTTTCGCCAGGAGGAATAGTTGGCGATGATACCGGAGAGCAACCGCGCCATTAGCAGGCCTAGCATCAGTGCGGAGACGACGATAGACAAAGCTGTAGCACGTCTGTTCGGAGGTGCAAGTGTGCCGACTAGTGGTAACATAATTTGCTACATCAACATCAGCCTTTTTCCCTCCCTGAATTTGTCTTTCTCGGTGTGAGGGGGGTGCATACCGGCGTAACAGTGGTAACACTCATGATAAAATAAATCACCACAAATGCATCAAAACTCTTCGTTAAACATAGCCCTAGCGTCATCGTCGCCGTGAAAAACATGAGCCACAACACCATCCCTCGACGTTTAATCAGATCTCCCAATGGACATATGAACAATAGACCGGCTGCATACCCGCCCTGGGCACATGTCGGGATAATACTGGCCCGTTCCTGCGTGACATTGAAATCTTTTGCGAGCACGTCGAGGATCGGGTGTGAGTAGTACAGATTCGCTACCTAAGCCCATCATTAGCTTCATACACTTCTCATTCCTTGGGCAAGGAATATGTAGGACTTCGGGGAATATGTAGGTACAGTAAAAGTCCCCGCAAACCCAAACAACAAATTCAACGCCAGCGTAAACTCTCGCGGATTCTCAGGATCGTATCGACATGACGGCGGTACCCAATTGAGTACATCCAAAAAGCGGCGGAGAATTATACCCAGTGACGACGATGATTTTGTTGTGTCGCTGTAATTCTCCGAGCTGATATTTGCTTCTTCCGAACCCCGGATTCTTATCTCACTGTCACGGTTATCCGCATTTTCGGATATTGGGTTTAAGTGACCTGTTGGCGACGTTTGCACTGTTGGGGGTTGTGCGGACATGGTCTCATATATAGTATAGCATCGTTTGGAGATGCTCTTCCTGATTATTACTTATTTGAAATTAAAAAGAAGAATGAAAGTCAGAACGAGGAGAATTACTAATTAGTGCAGAGGATCTATTTCCAATGCCGGATATCGTGCTAAGCGCATCCATCGATAATACCGGGAAAAAAGAATTACGAGATGATTACTGCTCCACATATACAACTTCTTAGCTTAGCATACAATATCGACTTTTTTTGCAATCTACGATCCTACTCAACGACTGTGATAAGGTGCCCAAAATACTACTTGCCGCACTAGTAATTTTCATAAGATTCCCTAGGTAACGAAGATACAGACCGATCTCATAAAACTCCGATAGATTCATTACTTATCTTTGCCTAGCACTTGAGGGAAGTTCGGGAATGCTTCGATTCGCTGTAAAACTTGATTCCCGATGGTACATAACCTATACATCTCACATTCTGTATGCATTGTGCAGGATCGATTGCGTCATTGAGCCATTCAGACATCAGCATCGGAAGGTATAGAGCAATCGGTAATGATGTTTCAAGGCTCACCGGGTAATCATATGCAATGCAAGAGACGACAGAAAGAACAGAAATCAGTGCATCATGCTTAATTCTCGCATTCACTAAAACAAAGCAAGTATCATACAGTGACGCCGTTCCGAGTCTAAGTGAACCATCGGCACGATCACCGAGCTGCATGCAATTGTTTCAATGTTCCGAAAACGGCAAAAAATACAACCGACCTACCAATAAATCCATACAGGACTATCTTACTTTACAGGCTGCAGTCATAGGCGAGAATCGAATGATAAAAGTGATAGGTAAAAATACTCATTAAGTCGCTGTCTTGAACCAATATCATCCCATAAGTAAATACAATAGACGCCAAAAGACAAAATAAAAAGACTAATGCACATCATATGGACAAAAAAGTGTCGATTATGAACTGTTGAAAGCGCTCTTTTGGAAACTCTCGGCAGTAATATCTCCCATCTTCCCCGACACAACAGGCTTCGAGTCTTGCGGCACAGAAGTCATGCTTTGCGATCGCAGCGCAAGCCCGCTGTCGGTTTTAGTCATTGTGCTGGTGCGACTACCGGGAGCGCTAGTAGATGTAGGACCTGCTGTAATGGCGGCTTGTGCGGGTCGTCGTTGGATGGTCTCCAGGTATGGGCTTGGTAGGTAACCGACGCCGCCGTCGCGGGCACGGCATCGCCACCATTCAGAGGGGTTGCCCATAGGGTCTGATTTACCGAGTACAGCGACGATATCGCCTTTCTTCACGGCGAGATCGATTCCAGCCGTGTTCTGAGCGTCGGGGGTATAATCATATAACACGCGGCAAAAGTCTAATTTCGAAGGGTCGAGGGGAGCGTTTTGTATTTCTCCATTAGGGCCCATGATCGCTTGTTGGCGACGGGCTTCCTCTTCCTGAGAACGAGCAAGGGAACGAATAAGTTTGCCCATCAAGTAAGGCAGACCAAACACGGCGAGAATGAACATAAAAAATGGCTTGCGGGAAGGTCGCGCAGGAGCAGGGCTGCCATCTGGCAGTGTGGCTGGCGCAGATCGACCGCTCAAAAATGCAGAAAAGGCAGACGGAGTCAATGCTGTGGCGTCGGCTGGGAGTGGACGGCCGGTCAATTTTGCCATGAGAGTTTTGAACCATCGTATCAATGTGAATATGCCTAGCACGGAGCCTAATGTGTTGCGGAGGTTGCCAAACTGTTCGGCCACGGATACCATTGCTGACTGGTCAGCACGTCGCATCAAACGCAAAGAAGTAAAGAAAAAGACTTACCAAAAAATGAACTATGTGTGGCCATATAAGTACTCTCCAGCATCTGCGCAAACCCGCCGAAAGCGCCCACAATACTCTCAATCATCTGAAACGTCGCAGCCGTGCTCTGACTGAACGAATTCGTCAAACTATTCGGATCATTAGGGTCGCCCGGCATGCCACCACCGTACATGCCGCCCATACCACCCATGCCACCGTACATGCCGCCGTAGCCTCCCATGCCGCCGTACATTGAGCCGAAGCGCGAATATGGCGATGAGTAGGCGCCGTAACCGCCGTATGTGTTGTAGGGACTTGCGCCAAATCTGTTTGCGCCGTAGGGGGAGTATGTGGATGCTGTGCGGTTGACGACCGCGTTGAGAGTGTCGGGTCGAGAGGGGAGGCCAGGTGTGGTGGAGTTTGTTGATGTTGAGGGTGAGGATCCGGTGATTGTTGCGGCGGCGGGTGCCGCTGTTGGTGCTGCGGTCATAGTTGATGTGCTGGGAGCAGAAGTAGGTGATGCTATGAAATATTGTCAGTAAATTTCTGACTGAAATTGATTGTTTACACGTTCTTACCGGTGCTTAACGCAGCGGCAGCCCTCTCCCACGGTTTAGGTGGCGATACAGACGCCATGAGAGTGCGTTGCCGGCTTTCTTATAACTCAACTCGCATCGGTTGTTTGAGGATCTGTGAAGCGACAAGAGCCTCTGGCCGGCAAAGCAGTCCGCGATGGCGTGGGCGATGAACTTAAGACGAAATATGGTGAATGCGTATAATGATACCGGTTCCTCCAGAATTGAGAGTTGAGAGATTCTGGAGAAAGACGGGCGGTCTTGGCGGGAGACGAGCGGAGAGCGTGATTGGCGGGCGATAAACCCCAGAAGCAGATGCGCCGAGGTTGCCGAGGATGATTGTTGCCGAGACCAGGATAATTTAATACTTCTCATTTATGCTTTTTATGTACTCATCCTGTGCAATCACATGCAATGATGATAAATCGTCAATTTGATAATATATAATATACAACGCTATGCAAATCTATCTTAACGCCAAATCTATGCACCATGTCTAGACAGTTACAGCTCGTCGCGCGACGGCGGCCGGGGAATCTGGACCTTCCACTGTCGCGGTGGGACTGGCAATCCCAGCCAGTAATTCCATAGTCGATTGGATTCAAAGACGACAAGTTGCCATCTGCAGAATGTTAGATATAATTCAACGAGACGGCAAAACGGGTCACTTACGCCATACGGGGAATCGTCAACCAACTCCTGAGAACCCACACAAACGTATCCCTGAACATCGTCCACTCTTGGATCAAAGCCTCCGAGACCGATTCGGCTTCTCGGGGACGCTCCCAGGGAAGAATCTCCTCTTGTTCATACCCATAATCGTCATCGTCTTCTGCGACATACAAATTCGAAATACCGTCCTTGTAGTATCGCACCACTTTATCGGAATCACGAACTTTGGCGGGAGATGGCGATGACGAGACTTCCGGGTAAATCACAAGACGGTCCTCGTGGCCGGATTCGACGGCTTGTCGGAAACTGTGCACAGCAGCGATACTGTTGGAAATACGAGCATATGTGTTGATGAGCGCGACCAATTCGGTGCGACGCAATGGTGGATTGTCATTTTCTTTAGTCTCGTCGTAGTCGAAGAGTACCTTGAGCGCTGTTCCATATCCGTTGACCTGGAGTTTGCCCCATAAGCGGCACTTGTCGCATCCCACGCAGTCCATCAGACGACTGACATTACGGAAACGGTTGCGGAAGTCTTCTTTCAGATCCATGGCATGTTCATCTTGAAACATGACAGCTTCGTCAAAAATCTGTGCGCGGCTGTGCAGTTTCTCCGTAAGTGTCAACACCTGCTGCTTGGTGGCCAAGTCTTGCTCAGGGTCGAAGGAACAAAACTTGTATTTCTGCAAGTAATTGTGCAACTTCGCAACAGCGCGTGATACTAGAGCGTAGTTGAAGTATAGATTGGATATACGTTCGGGATGGTTGTGCAATCGATCCTTGTAGCATTGCACGTTCGGGCCCCATTCATCTGTAGTCTGGTTGAGGTATTCCCAACAGAGATGAGTCGAGATCGAAGCGTGCATTCCGCTAATGACGCGATAGAAGACTCGCTTCTCCAGACACTCGTCATCCGGCTGTGGCTGTGGCTGTTCCTTTTGAAGAACATTGCGGAAGTCATTGGCAGCCTGCACTTGCATGCCATGCAGGGGAGCTAGTTGCGAAGAGGCGGAAGAAGAGGGTTTAACAAAACAATTCTCACGATAGATTGCATCCCATACTTGGTGTGCACCCTCACCCGCGTAACCGGTGAATCGCTCCGGATTGTCTACCAAACTGACATAGTCACCTTTCGCCAACGCCCCCTCGTCTTCGGGCACACAGTAATCCCGCTCGTCACATTCGTCATCGTATTCAAGCACGCAACTCTCTCCAACGTCATCGCCAAGTCCCCCTTGTAACGGTCTCGCGCTGGGGCGTTCTTTCTGTTGTTGTTTCCCGGGGTGTTGTGCATGCGGTCCTTCGAGTTTACCGAGTTCCTCAATCCGCCATACCGGTGGCAAGTCCTCCTCCGAATCAATCGTGTTTACCGCACATGCAATATTTCCGCATAAGCTGCTTTCGTCCTCCCAGAAAGGACACACTTTATTGTACAAGTTGAGTCGATAGTATGAGAAAAAGTCGTTGTCGCGCGTCACGGATTTGAGCAGAGGGTGGATATCATCGTTGAGTGAGTCGATTGTAGCGTAGGATGCGCAGGTGTCGGACACGGTGGATTTCGAGTCAATCTATGCATCACAATTAGTATGTCAAGCACGCTGGGGACGAGAATTGCCACAGTTGCTTACGGCGCATATGTTTGACGCAAATGGCGATGATCCCTTTGGCTTTTCCGCAGCTGCATGCAATGGTACACTGAGCAAAAATATTGCGAGAAAGAAATCTTTTGCAGAAGACTTCATCTTTGCCATCTCCACCATTTAGCACGTATGGCCGCCTGCAGGAACTAAAGAGCGAGGATGACGCCACAGGCCGAGGTATTTTTTAATTGACAAAGAAACGTAAGACTTCCAGCGCGCAATAGAACAACGCGCAGAATGAATTCTAGCAGCAAGAAAATAACACAGATGAGTTGGAAGGAACGACGAGCAGACAATTATCTTGTAGGAACTGTCAGCAATGTTGCCTCGAGCTGCTTACAAAATCTGGCCATCTGTCCTTGTTGCGCTGTGGCGGTCCGATAAACAGCTACTGGCCAATCAGAGAGCGTAGTGATAAGAATGTGGGACCTGCGAATCCGATAAAGAATTCGTCCTTTTCTCGCTCTCTTCTTTGTACAGCCAGAGCTAACCAGACTGCATAGTCAATTGACGGATATCATGTACAGCTATACTACAGAAGAGATTTGCTCTTGCTCTTGCGATGAATGAAGTCGAAGAATTGAGCTTTGCGAGACACTGTCCCCGGACGACTTCGCCCGGATGATCCGGACTACCAACAACGATCCGTGCTCAATTAAATTCAGGTACGGAGAGGCCAGGCTACGTGGTAAGCAGACTGTCTGCTGACGCAGTTGTTGGCTTAGTCTACTGTTGTATTTAGATTACAGCTTTTCTCCGAGCGTTGCCTGACACAACATGATCTCGAACACGTGGTATGAACAGTGACTAGTGGGCTTGGTCTATTGTAACCTACTTACTTGACACTCTCAAGCGAAATCATATGAATAACACACTACCGCACACTCCATTTGAAATGAGGCTGGCATGTATTGTTCTATGTACATTGATAAACAGCCACTCTATCTAGGTATTGAAAACCACCATCTATATCTATATTTGAGATATCGCAGATTGTATGCATACTTCTCAATGGATGAAAAGACTTCACCGTTTGACCATGAATCATTGTAGCTCGGTCCGTCTAAAGGCGAGATCAACCGCTTGAACATGTAAAAGGCTTGCTCACTGCTCCGGACTTGAATTTATCAACCTACCCGCGTGGAATTAGCACGTAAGATCAGATCGGGTAAAGGGAGAGACTTGCCAGTTCAGCAATACTAGAGTAAGTCCCACAGCCGAAAATAACGATACCAACAAGAAATACCACACCATTGACTATTGCAGTCTTTATGTTGCGTCTTTCATACCATTTGCCCTCCCGCAATAGAACATACCACATAACCGGTGGAAAGTAGAACGACAAACCAGAAACGAACAGAGCCGACATTATTGACAACAACTCCGGGAAGATGGGGATCGCTTCCGCAATAACCCAGCCCAGGCTTGTGATGACAGCAACAAGACCAAGCCAAGTGGCCCACCCTTTGGCGGTGTCGATGAGACGTACGGAAGAGTTCTGGTACAGCTTTCCATGGATATATCGGCAGACGACAGTGGTATTTATAGACCCTGATATGAAAATAACAGGAAGAGCAATTCCGAACACTATCCTCGAAAGAAGGGGCCCCGCGGACAACAAAGCAGGAGATTGGACTCCTTGGCCCACGAAAGAATAAATAAGTGACCCGGTCAACGTGTAAATGATAATCTGAATTGCCCCTAACCACCAAAGTGATTTGACGTAATCCTCGGGAGTATGCATATCTTCCATGAAGGAGGGAAGACATCCGGCAAATGAATACGCAAACACGATAGTATTCACTGCAACAATCGCAGCTGAGAAGGTCGTATCCGGCTTCGGCCACGCAGACCAAGGCACATAATCCGCCATCAAAGATGCAGATCGATGCGAGTTCTGAATCCCGGTGGCAATGATAGTAGTTCCTATGGCTAGAATTATAGATGCGAAATCAATATACCCCAGTATCCCAATCTCTGCAAATGACGGTGGGATAGCCAATAACATCAAAATCACAGCAGACATTGCGCTAAAAGCCACGGAACACAGGTCGCTGTTGCTTATTGTTCGGAACGCAATTGCTCCTGTCAAGCAATGCGACCCAATTACGAATACTAGCAAAGCAACGAAGCTTGCTATAAAGATATTCCCTCCAAAACGCCCTAACAGGACTGGCCCGACGTCTGCGTAGTGGGCAATGTGCGGGTACTTGAGTTTGACTTGTCCAACGTTATGGGCAGCGTACATTGCAAACAGACCAATGCCAATGGTCAAGAGTGTGCCGACAACCATTCCGAGAGTTGCGAACGCGTAGGGAAGCCCCAAGCTTCCGAGGGCGATTGCTTCGACTATTGCGACGACAGTCAGGCGTTTCCAACCTAGTCGCTTGAATCGAGCATCGCTTCGTATAACAACAAGGCTCTCGGTATCAGAGATGTCCTGATCTTTAGGTACGACATCACTGGCCATTGTGTCGCGATGACCTGCGGTTTTGGAGAGAAGAAATGAATAAATGCGTTGTAAGAGAAGAGAAGCGCCGTGTTTGAAGAACGAGGGGAACTAGAAGGCTGCGGGACAATTAGGAAGATCAGATAAGATAATCTAAAAGTTTAGTATCCTTACAGGACCCACTTCACCTACTGTCCTTGCTATAATAAAGTCGTAAAGTCCACTTTACTACTTTACTCTTAGTTGCCATTCGTCTTATTCGAGTAATTGTTTGTCGAGTTGCGTAAAGGATAACCCTGACATTTATACTAGCTCGCATAATCACGACTAGCGGCTATGGTATTGCTATTTACTCATAATACCTAACTATCACGTAATCGGTAAGCAGTCTAAGCATAAGCTGTCTAAAGAAGGGGAAAACAATGACTTGGATTGCCGAACACATATATTGCAGATTATCGCGAATCTACCTTGGTTACACTTAGTCGGAATTCCAAGGGTTAATTAATCAACTAGTTAACAGTATTCAGAATGTTCTAGTAGCATATTCTCATATCTAGTCTCTGGATCATTGCTGGTGACAACGAGGACAGAGCATGCGAACGAGAGCTAACATTGAAATCCTCCTAGCCCATGGACTAATCGACACTGTCTTAGTCAAAGTCATCGAGAGACACTTCCCGACCGAGAAATCTCCAGTGTTCTCTTGAAAAGCTTAGAAAGGGACGCAGTGTATGATCTGACAACAATCCTTCCGAGTGACTTGATGCCTCTCAGCTTATCGTCGATGCGGACCAAAACAGCATGAGCGTATTGTAGTTGCTCGTCACCCGTCCTCATCAATCCCACTGTACTTTGTTAAACATATGGAATTCCAACCTACGCAAACAAGTACACCGTTCAAGAACCATACGTAAAATCTCCTCCGCATCCTTTGTAAGTGTGATCAATTCGGGATGCGTTTCGACTCTCTCTGTATGCGGGAAACGTATGGTCAAATGTGAGAGGAAATCTGAACTTAAATCTCCAATTCGGTCCAAAAACGCTAGCACAAGCGTGCTGGGCTCGTTTTCGATATTCCCATTCGTGTATTCCGAAGCTGTTATAGCCATAAATCATGGACCGAGATTCAAAAGACAAACAGGTACAAGTCAACAGAATGGTTGGGCACGCGCGTGATTTCATGGATATTATTCTGTTCAGTGCTTCTCCGGGTTCCTGGTTGATTTATATGATGCTAGGGATGGTTACAACGAGCTTCAAAGCCTTCTGGCGAATTTCAACTGGGATAGTCAAAAGATTGAGACCGGTCACCATGCCCATGCTACTAGCACCAACGATGAGGATTTGTGGCTGGCTCATCAAGACTGCTGTTTATAATATGCTCAGTATCTGTAATTAGGGGGGGTTACGAAATCTCACATACTTTATATATGAAGCTAGAAACAGCTATACGGACATTTCCTCCGTCCATCGTAAGTATCAGTGAATCCAAGTAAGCAGATCAGTCACGGAATCTGGTTGGACATTCGACACCGATTTTCAGATACTCTTAAATGTATCATGCGACTGGCAAACACGGTTAACTGAGAGCAACTTGCTCTCGGCAAACTGTGTACTGAATAACCTACCTGTAAAAAGGACGCGGTCAGCCCTGGTGGACCCCTATGCTGCACGATCCGATCCTACAAGCTTGGAGGTGGCTTTTCGAATAGATAGATGTACGTACATCGCTCGGTTTTTATATCGATGCCTAATGAACTGAAAAGAACAACACTTAGTGTGATGGGAAAGTTCAATTGCATCACTACCATGAAAATGTTCCTGCTTTTCAACCCTAACCGTGGACGTCTCCGCAGCTCGCCTAAATCAAGGGTTAGGCCAGTATAGAACGTATCTGATTATTAGTATGTCTCTAAAAACCTGTACACGCGTTATCATTTTATAGAGTCGGAGCGACTGGGTATGGAGGTTGAGCGGGCCGCTATGCTATTCTGGATCGGCTATAAATATCATTTGAACTGATCAAACTCTCAATTACCTGAAAGACGAATTAGCGTATCAGAAGAGCAAGTCTTGCCGGCGTGAGTTCATCGTTGGTGCTGATTCTGAAATCAATGCTCTGTGCAATCTAGAACCGCCGAAAGAACAGCAACACTAGAGTTTGAAGGCAATGTGGAGATGCCCTGACCACTACTGTGACATCACTCACGCCGTAGTCAAGTACTTCTCGAAGCTCCACATATCAACCAATGGCCAGCAGAGGCGATCCGAAGATTTAGCTTTGCACGTACCTCTCGCTTGTCCAAGGTTAGATGTCTTGTCAAAAGCTTGATTGAATACTAAAAAGCTTAATCACAGTGCGTCATCGTGATGAATCACATCTTCAGCAGATTTATGGAGACATAGAAGCTTTAGTATATAATCAACCTAGACTACGGCATTAGTTAGCAGTATTTATTTACATTTTCTGTGTACATCTCACGTAAATAAGCATCTGTACAGCTCATGAAAATGACCACGAGAAACGAGGATCAAGTGCCGTCCGAGCACCATGTTCATAGGTATCAATCAAACTTGGAACTTCAGAGTGTTTAACAACTGACTCTTCAAAAAAAAAGGGTCGGCGAATGGTTGCCAGGTGACCACCGGGTACAACAGCAATGGCTCGGCCAGATTGCAGCACATGTCGATGCAAATCCTAAAGACTTACATCCCGTCCTCAAAGAATTCAAATCACTCATCGACAACAGCACACGCATCCGCATGCTGTTTGAACAGATGTTCGACCAAGTACCCCAGAAAAAACCATATCACGATACCCCAACAGGCCACCCTCAGATTCGTGACTACCATCATATGATACAGATCTTGAACCACATCCTGACCACGGCACCTTCCTGGCATGATAAGTCTTTCCGCGTTGGTTTTGTTGGCTTGCCCATCAATGCAATACTGGACTGGCCGATGGGTACGCCCAGTGGCTACGCAGTGTTTCTGGATCCGCAAGTCAATGCAGTGCTGAAAAAGGTGCTTAATGCATGGGGAGAATTCCTCCAGTCGCCTGCCTCAGCACACGTGTTGGACAGTTCAGACAGTAGTTGGTTCAGCGATCACGGCGTTAGTTCTTTAGCACACACAGCAAATGTCGGAAAATCTTCATGGTCCTTTGAAGAGCTCTTTAATTGTGACTCATCCGCTCCACACTATGGTTTCAAGTCTTGGGACGATTTCTTTACCAGGACCTTCAAAGAAGGAATTCGACCTGTTGCTGAACCGGAAAATCCTCTAGTTATTGCAAACGCTTGTGAATCCAGACCTTTCAAAGTCGCCTCAAATGTGAAATCTCAGGATAAATTTTGGCTCAAGGGCCAGCCGTACTCTGTCGGGGATATACTGGCAGATGCTTCTCTGGGCAAGGAATTTGAAGGCGGCACCATTTACCAAGCCTTCCTTAGTGCGCTTAGCTATCACCGATGGCATGCACCGGTTACTGGCAGAATTAAGAAAGCCTATGTCATAGATGGAACCTACTATTCTGAACCGCTTTTTGAAGGATTGGGCGACCCGGAAAAGAAAGATTCAATAGATATGGGAGGGGAGTCGACTAGTCAGGGTTATCTGACTCAAGTGGCCACTCGAGCGGTGATTCTGATTGAGGCCGACGAGCCAAGGATAGGACTCATGGCTTTCGTTGGAGTGGGTATGGCTGAAGTATCTACTTGCGACATCACTGTCAAAGAAGGATCCCGGGTTGAGAAAGGTGATGAAATTGGAATGTTCCACTTTGGTGGCTCAACACACTGTCTTTTGTTTAGGCCTGGAGTCAATGTCAGTGGATTTCCTCCTACAGGAAGCGAGCACAATGTCCCAGTGCGAAGTAAGCTAGCTGTCGTGTCTTAGTGTGGCTTGCTAAACTTCCCACGGCTATCAAATCTCTGTACACGAACATATTCCTGTCAAATACATTCAACTATGCTATAATCAATATTATATATTTCTTCAATCCGTAAGTACTTATGCCTGAAAGATATGTAATAGCTACTTTTTAACTTAGACCTTAACCAAGACCTGCTTTACATCACAATAATATGTGCGTTATATGCAACCATTCCTTACTAAAATCTCAATGTTCTCATTTGAACAAGTTGGTGCTAGTTTCAAAATCCTCCAATAGCCAGAGTTAGTGGTACAGGCACAGCCAGTATATGCGGAGTTTCTACACACTGCATTTAAAATAAATAAGATCTATCTTGCAGAATATTGACGATTACAACCTCTCACCCTCAAAATCGTGTCCCTCCCTCATCTCTCTAATCCTCTCCTGTCTACTCCCTGCCAGATCCTGACTAGCCTGTATGTCAATATACGGATCCCCCAACACCTCCTTGAACCCCAGAGTCCTCGCCGCAAACTGAAATATCAACTTCTCCACCTGCACGGCATTCCGGCTTAACCCATGATCATCACCATCAAAAAGCTTCAACTCCTTTTTCCCAGACTGCCCATATGCTTCAAATAGACTTTGTGAACACCGCGATGACAGACACGTATCCCCTGTACCATGCAACAGCAACAAGGGCCTAGGAGTCAACATCGTAACCCCTTCCGTCCGCGCGGTTTGTGATGCCACGGTCGCCACGCCCGCAACACGATTGGGATCTTTCGCAGCGACAGTGAAACACGGACTACCGCCAAAAGACCATCCAACAAGCACAAAGTGTTTGGAGGAGAATTCGCCGGCGAGATAATCCATTGCGGCGATTACGTCGGCAGAACAGTAGTTTGTCTGAGCGGGTTCGCGATAGTCGAGTCTGATGCAGGGGATGGAGAGGAGCATGGCGAGTTTGTCGGCGAGGGAGGGGTATATTCCTTTTCTCGAGATTAGTTATGCGTAGAGAGGGGAGGTATTTTAGGGATATGGATGTACCAGCAGGTCCACTGACACCCCCGCCCGCACCGCTGATCAATATAACAGCAGATGCCTTCGCATCATCAACAGTGTACTGTCGTGGTTCATGTAAAATAGCAGGAGCCTCGTGATCCCGTGGATCATAGACTGCGATCCGGACAGGCCGCGCTATAGAAGGCTTCACGCCGTGTTTCTCAACTTTCGCGGGATGTATCGGGCCTGGAAGTTCAAGGCGTGGGGCGGTTGTAGCCATAATTGTAGAAGTAGAGAGAATCTGTGCAGATCGAGTAGTTCGTATAGATTTTCAATGTAGGTCTAGTGCCTTCCTCAACGTCCAGTAATCGTGGGATGAGCTAGATGTACGTCATAAGTGCATATGAAAGTACCTTTGATAGCTCCAGTAAGTGTAGGATTGCTGCCGATACCAGACAGTCTTATCGTGTCATTTTCATTTCCTATGCTGCACGCTAAACATATTACATATTACGGGGAAAGCTTGTGCATCGCCCCTTGCACTGAACTTACACGTTGTGATATCACTGTGACGCGTCAGTATTGTTATTTCATTCAATTTACTGAGTTTACTGAGACATAAGACGAAAGTTTGAATATATGTACCATTTATCTTCAAAACTCTCCATTTTGATCAGGCGCCGACAGGATCATTTGTATAATCGTGAGATGAGAATAGGTGCAAACTAGCGTGGCGACGTGACACTTTAGGGCATGTAGCCCTATCTTCCGAAGCAGGAAATTTATCGATCATGATGTGATCTGCGGAATTAGCCATCCCGTTCATCCATGAAGGAGAATACCTACAGCATGTTTCTTAAGTTTTCTAAGGTACTGTTTTGGTTGAGTGCCTAGAAACATAGGCAGTTATACTTTGGGCGGCGGTAAGTGAGGCCTATTTGGGGTTCTGTTATGGATTCACCATCACTTGCTCGCCATTTACACTTCCTGAATATTACTAGACAAGCCTTTGACAGCGGTAATCAAATCAATGAACCTTTTAACTATAAGCTCGCAATATCAATGGGACATATTCTAGATTGACAATAAATTACCGAATTAGGAAAGGGCGTTTGGCATAGTGGTATTGCGCCTCATTTGCATTGAGGAGATCGCGTGTTCGATTCGCGCAACGTCCATTTTTTTGTATCCAATGCTCGGTGACATCTTCCAATAAAGCGCAACATGATGTATGACGAATTTTGGGTGTCATGGGTGATTGTAGTAACATTTATAGCAAGTGTTATTAACTCTTACCTGCGGACATACCCGTGAATGCCACACCAGAACGCGGAGATGCCGCTAGATTAACCGTCAAATGCTCATCTGCTCCCTCAACGAGGAGAACAGGTTTGCCTCCAATACCACCTCCGATGGAGGCCCAGAATGAATAAGCTTGCCCTGCTCCATGATAAGCACCCTATCGTAATCCAAGGCTGTTTCTAGTCTATGTAAGATGGAAAGCACTGTTTTCTTTTGCAGTTTCCCTCTTATCAAGCGCATAATTCTAGCTTCGGTTTCAATATCAAGACTAGTTGAAACATTGGTCAACCACAAAATCGAGCTTGTGTAAACTCAATCTTTTGTTTGAGTGCGCATTCATTGATGATGGACCAGATGATATCGTCGCTTGAAGTTCGCTCTGGATCCAAAGCGTCCCGAACCGTATCACCATGTATATAAGTATCTTGCGAAATCACATGGAGCCTTGATCGTAGGACAGACGGTTTCACGTGTGAGATGTCAATTCCATCAATTACTATTGTACCATTGCGCGTTTCCATCAGGGAAAGCAACGTAAGCATCAATGTAGATTTCCCGGAACCACTCCGGCCGCAGATGGCAACTTTCTCCCCCGTATTAATGGTCAGATTGAGTCCATTCACGCTCCAGATCGGCTTCTCGGTCACTGACGAGTAGCTAGAGCTAACATTTTCAAACTTGATCTCGCCGGATGAGGGCCAAGCTGGTGGTACATCAATCGAAGATGTGACGTTTGACTCTTCAGATGTGTCTCTCTGGAAAGTTTCAATTCGCGCAATAGCTCCGAGAAAAACTTCAAGTGAGATCCAGGACGTCAGTAGTTTTGTCATAGTCTCGCCTAATGTAGTCATGTTCAGAAATGCGACTCCGATGGCACCGACACTTGTCTTGTCTCTAATACCCAAGGCCACACCAGCCACGGTCACCGACAGACCAGTTACAACCAGATCTAAAGTGAGTTGTAACCAACGTTGCACTCCGTATAGTAAGTATATCGGCTCTTGTGACCTATCAAGTTGCTCATGAAATTCCCGCTTCGAAATTGTTTGCCATTGGTGAGCGCGGATTGTCACAAGGCCTGCACAAGTCTCCATAAGCTTTGTATGTAAGCTCGCCTTTGACTGCAATTCATGCTTTCGAAGCTGTTTTGATGTACGTAGGTCAAAATGCTGGATAAAATAGAGAGTAACTAGTAGAGCCTGCAGTACCGCAAGAACATAGACTGCTGCTACAGCCACTAGCACAACCTATATGATGCAAGTCAAAAGCTCTGAATTAGTGTTGAAAAGATTCAATGTTAAGGACATTTCTATAATCATGAGATCTTGATTGAATCGGTTGAGCATTTGCCCTCCATCTGTGTTACTGACAAATCAAAATGTTGCGTTCAAGACTGCCTCTAGCAATCTCCGATGAAGAAGTACTCCATTACGGGTGTCGGATACTGTGCTAAGGGCTTGTCGACCTCAGGGTTACCAAGCGAGCAACATTGAATTGGACGCACGAATACTACCATTTTCCTCTCATCAGCTTTCTGAGTAAGGGTTCAAATCGGGCATCACCCAGGTAGTACCCTTCGGCATTCGTCATGAAAGGCAAACTCCGAAATGGCATTGGCAAATAGAACGCGGGAAATTTTAATGTTGCGAACCTTGTTCTGGCCCCCACTATAAGGCTTTCTTAAGTAGTAATTGGATATAATCCCCGGCGAATAGCACAACCCGACTTATAACACCACAAATTCAAAAAATTTCGTCCATCGTACTACATCGTGCAAATGCGCTTAATACCTGGTTATGAGGTATAAGCATTTCAAAGCCAGGTTTCCATACGAAGGTGTTTATAAGCAGGTAAATAAGATGTTCTTAGTCAGTTAGTATTGTGTAAAAATACCCTACAATAGTGGGAGGGTTAAACAACTAATACATAGAAATATGTCCTATACCTAACAAATTTTACTAACGGACTTTTTTATTTGTATGATACTTGATATGTAGCACCACCCGTGTTATAGCACATTTTTTGGCTGTCTGAATTAAGTGCTTATATCCAAGGTTGACTGTACTGTCGTAGCGGGACAGCCATTTCAACGAGACTCTTCGAAATAAAGCGATATAACGCCTGTGGCGTCAGAGCTGAAAATTTAGCGCCAACACTACAAGCTTCATTCTGACATTTTCAGCATTCTACTCCGTACCTGAGTGCTGCTCAACAATCAAACCAAAGCTCTTCTTTCCCGTGGGGCTCAAATTCACCAAGTGCTTGAGGGGAAAGGCACAATATATTCACGACAGGGTTTATTAATCAGAGTCATGAATTAACTAAAACGAGTGCTTTTTCAAATTTTTAATGGGTGTTGGCAGGTGGCCCCAACCATTATGTCGTGTTCCTGTTTGGTTGGCTGGGCACCGAGAAGTCTCCGTACCCGTGATGCTACCATAGCGTCTTTCATCGACAAGTACATATTCTAGACTCTGGTTAGCCCGCACACTATCTTCATTTAGTTTTGCAGGGCTCAGGAATACTGTGAGTATTATAGTACTAATATCTGTAGTACGCCTCCATGCGTGGAGGCTCAAGGACATATCAGGTTAGAGTAGCGTATAGCGTATTAAACACCTAGAGTGACAGCCAGCTGATATAAACCCCTGTCATTGCTATGCAGGAACTGCCCGAGAGTGGAAAATTGATAAACTCTGCGTAATCCGGGATTTAGGGCTGAGAGCCTTAGCAGTCATCTGCTTTCCCCTGTTTGTTCTCCCTGACAGGAAATTTTCGTGTCCAGTTCTATTGACTTCTCTGGTACTATGACAGAAGTGCTACCTATAGATACGGGGATGGATAACACAACGGAAAGGAGGCAGAATTCCAGGGGCAACGACGAAGCCGAAAACCTCCGAACAAAAAGAAAGATGCGAAGAACAGCAAAGGCGCTTATCTTTCCATACTTTTAGCTGCCGGTGTTCCATTCATTATTGTTGCTACTATCTGTGGTATCTTGCTTGGTATAACATTTACCAATCGAGTTATCCTAGAGCCAGGGTGGCCGGAACTACAACCTCTTGTATCCCCAAACAATAGCTCTACTTCGTTGCTGACGCAAGCGGAGGGGCTCAAAGAAAATGGAGGCTCCGGAGCTTACTATATCCAATTCAATCCATCGTCTCTAACTACTATCGCTTCTTGGACTGGGAAAGTTATTCCGTACCTGTCGAGCGCCACCATGGCATTGGCGGCTTTTTTTGCGGCCAACCATATCCGTGAGCAATCTCAGACTGGTCGAGATGAGGAGCTCTTGACACCTCATCAGTTGAGTTTATTGCTTGGTCTCCTCTCTGGTGGAGCTGAGCAGCTATGGGACACTGTGCGATATCGATGCAGAAGAGGGAGACACCTACCTAAACCGATTCCGCTAGTTTTCACAACTCTGAGCATCACCATGCTTCTAGGGTAAGCAATCGACATTCCTCTGATTTTTTTACCTTTCTTGCCGGAAGTTGACTTCGGTAATCGCACCTTATTCCCCCGCCTCCTCAACCACCCTTACCTTTTTCAGGGTTTGAAAAAGCCACTATATATAAATCGAATAATCATATACTCATGCTATCTTGTAGGTTTCTGATACCTGCCGTCGATACTTGGTTTGGTATTGTCACTACACCAGTTCAGGTAACGCAGCTACAAACCATAACCCCGCCTACCAAAAATTTCAGCCGAGGCCTCATCAATATATGCACCAACAGCGACTCGACGGCCAACAGCCTCACGACGACATCCAATGGTGTGGACCTGAATGGTGACTATCTTCCCTGCACTCTTGCATCGGGAAAGGAAGGAAATGTGCTTCAGTCGGACAGCGAGGCTTATAAGATAATGAATGGAATATCGCAGACGAATACCGTGAGACAGTATTCCTCTGACCCCCTCAAAGTGTTTTATTACCTGAGCGATAGTGCCACTTCTGCCGATGTCGACTATAAGGCTACCACTTTTGCAGTGACCACGGAGTGCGAGATCATTACCAGCAACTGTAACGTAAACTTTGACACGTATACTTTTAACTGCACCCCATCATTTGCTGGCTCCCTGTCTTCACCCGGTCCAGCCATGATGGCATACGAAGTTTCAAAATCAAGTCCAGTGGGAGTTCAATATTTCGGAGATCCAGGCTTGACGAACAACTTTTCTGCGACCTCAGAGGTGTTTAGTCCTCAAAATCCTCTGTATTTTGGTACCTGGGCAACAGCTCAGCAGGCCGTTTCTTTTGCAGATACCTCAGGCACCGCAACTTTCGACGGTTCTGGTATAGGTTCCTCCTGGATCTTGAACTGCAGCTCTACTATCTACGAGGCAACATATACTTGGGTCAATGGCACGGTAACAAGTTTCAACACGAGTCTTGCGAATGGCACTGTGGGGGGCATCTTTTCAGCAGGATTTGCCTCAGGCTTCGGCACTGTTGCCCTGGAGAATATTGCAACTATAGCAGGATTCAGTAACAGCTCGGATGGGTTGGCGAACGTCACTGCTGCATACTTCTCCCAAAATTCCTTGGCACTATCTATTGGTGCAATGGACCTACGTCCCGGCATACTTGAACAGTCACGAAGTTTGATCAACCTCACACGTGTCCCCCTTGTTCCATTTTACATGTTGATTGTACTGAAGCTCTTTTATGCCTTTTCTACGGTTCTCTTTGCTTTCGCAGTCATAATATGGGCCCATCCATCGGAATCCCAAGATGTGAAAACTCGTCTGAGCATCAAGGGTCTGGTAGTGGCCTCTTTCGAACCAGATAAACTAAAAGAAAAAGCGGTCGGTACGGTAGAGGAGATGTTTTCTGAAAACAGCGGAGATGGGCAGGCGGAGAATAAAAAGGTTGGAATTGTCAAGACGGACCAAGGAGGATGGGCCTATATGACAACCGCAGTTGAAGCAGGGCGATCGGTGCTAGGAGTCATAAGCACGACAGCTAAAGCAGCCTAGAGGATATCTTTATCAGAATACCAGCCGACTTCTCTAATAGAATGGGTATTTTCAACTTAAGTGAGTAGGTGTTGGAAGTACGGTCATATGCAGGAGATTGAGTGGGGTCTCGCGATACTCCGATCGCGAGTCACGATACTTCTTTAGAGGCACCCTTTCCATAGCGAGGTTGTGAGACGGCTCCGTGCGTTGCCGGGGAGTCACTACCATTGGTGATGCGCGTCTCGAAGACGTCGAGGATCATTCTAATTGGGTTCCTGTTATACATTGAAAGCGTTTTACGAGGCTCGTTCGCTTCATTAAAGCTTCTGGAGGATAGATATTCGTAAGAGGTGGTCGTATTGAATAAAGAAGAGATTATAAAAGTCCAGTTTCTATGTTGTTTCTTCGGTTCTAAATTCTGAGAGAAACGAAGGATATCTAGTGACATCGCTCTCTATCTTTTCTCGCAAATTTATACTTCGCGATCATAATCCAAATTAATATCTGCGCCTTTGCACGTCCAGAAAAGAACCGTCGACTTTTCCTAAAATGATAAAACGTCATTCTCTTGTGATTTGACTAACGCTCTAATTGTGCCGATCTTGGAACCGGATCCAGATCCAACCTTAGAACTAAATTAGGGCGAAAAGGAAGAGTCCTACTGGTTGATCTGCTAAAAGATCTTCTAGCTTAGCCCTTCTTAAGCCATATCGGGTAATTCGGCTGACACGGACTGCGTCGCTCGGCGGGGCATTGTGATGTGTTTGTCAACTTTGTCGGAATGTCGAATTGTGGAGGGGTGACAAACGACTGTTCTTTTCGCATCTGCATAATTCAACTCTTATATACATAGTTGATTATAAGAACCCTTTTGTGAAATCTCTACGTTTTCATTTTGCAAGATCATACGTGGATCAATCAGGATGTCCAGTGAAAGTCCAGGTGAGTACTTATATATCCGTGCATATTACATTGGTTCTTCAGCGACTCAAATCATCCCACAACGCCAACCTTTTCTTATACATCAAATGATCCAAAATCGATATCTGCTTATACCTATAGAACCCCCCGTCCATTGGTCCATCGTCCTCTTCCCAGGCTTCCAAGCCCTCGATGCCTTCGGACCCCTCGACATCCTCAACTTAGTGGCCCGCTACAAGAAAATCGAACTATCCATTATCGCCGCCACTCTCGAACCCGTATCAACCGACGTTGCACCATTGTTTCCCGACAAACAAGACGTCTGGAACCCCGCTGGATCCAATATCGGACAAGCAGTTGTACCGACACATACATTCGATAATCCACCCAGTAAAATCGAAGTATTGCTTGTACCTGGTGGAGGCGGTACCCGCAGCGATGCCTCATCAAACCCCGTGATTGAATTTATTGGAAAAATATATCCATCCCTCAGATACTTGCTTACAGTATGTACTGGCTCTGGTCTTGCTGCTCGAGCCGGTGTGCTGGACGGCAAGCGAGCGACGAGTAACAAGCGTGCTTGGAATGAGGTGATTGCTCTCCGTGAAGAACCTACATGGATTCGACGAGCGCGCTGGGTGGCAGAGGGGAATATCTGGAGTTCGTCGGGGATTAGTGCAGGCATGGATATGATGTTTGCATATGTGGAGTATGTTTGGGGAAAGGAGTTTGCGAATGTTGTTTCGAAGAGGATGGAGTATGTTCGGAATGAGGATTGGGATAATGATCCTTTTGCTTAAGGGGAATTCATGGACAATAGTTATGAAAACGAACTTTAGGCAATAGATTTTGACGAGAGCATTCCCTCTGGTCAGAAGAAAAGAGCCAGTCAATAAATTTCCAGATTGTCTGTAGTAGGGTAATTAAATACAATACAATTTTCAAATTATGCTCCCGAACAGGCGCGAAGAGCTCTTCCAGCGGAATTTCGCGCCTATTTGCCTCATCGATCGATACGGTCGAAAGTCCCCTCTGATGTGCGGTGCGGTTGGTATGACATACATGATGTTTATGCTGACGGGGTCTCTCAGCGTCGGTTCAGGTAATTTCACTGCGGGCGTATTTGCTATATTATCCATCTTCTTGTTCGACATATTTTATGCTGTTGGTGGCTGGATGGCAACGCCTTTCTTGTACCCTTTGTAACCGTTAGAAATGCCTACCTTGCGTCTTTGCTCCAAAGGCTCCGCAATTTCTGTCTTATCTAAATGGATGCTCAATTTCTTGGTCATGATGATTTCGCCAGTTGCCATGAGCAACATCGGATACAAGACCTACATCATTTTCTCTATGTTGAACTTTATTTTTTTTTTTGTGATTTATTTCTCCTATCCTAAGACCAAGGGGAATTCCCTTGAATAAATTGATAGGGTTTTCATTGGAGGCGTTCGATCATTTGGGGAGCCATACGTCGTCGCCGGATTACGGGTAATGACTTCAAGTTCTGAGGAAAAGCCTGAGCCGAATGAGCATGTGGAGAACGTCAAACAGACGGCGGTTTGATGCATCGTCAGTGTTGGTGACAAATTAAGAACTCCCTAAGTTACTCCAGTACACCTTGCCGAGATCGAGAATCAACAGAAAATGGCGTCGAAAAGGCTACAGATTTTAATAAAGTTCATCGGTGTATATCTAGATGCTTTTGTAGAGAATTAATTCCTTTATTTCAATTTCAGTTCCGATTTTCGCCAAGGTTGCGACAAGTAAAGCTAAAGAGAATGTATGATATTATAAGTTCCACTAATTATTTGGTCAAAAGACTAGGGTCGACAAAGCTGCTACTCGCCACGACCGAAGCAGCGAGATCCGTGATCGATGCACTCTGCATGATTTTGAAAATGGATATCTCGGCGCCGGCCTTCAGTGAAAGCATGTTGCGAAGCTCAACCGCCGAGAGGGAGTCGACACCGTAAGTAGTAGGAGGCTTAGAAGGGTCCACATCTTCTTCCGCCATAAGGAAAATTTCGACCAACTTCTTGCTGATACTCTCCGCCACTGCAGTCACAGCTGCCTCCTTCGAGGATGCGTTGGCTAGAAGACTGCTGAGCTCACCAGCAGAGCCAGCGCCGGCACCACCACCGTTGCTTTGTGCAGAATCGCGAACCTTGAGAGCCGTGAAGCGAGAGTCACGAATCAGTCCCGAAGACTCCCAGTCTGCTCCGTCGAGTCCAATGAGCACTTGCGATTTTGGTGGGTCAGCGATTATACTTTCAATCGCCGTCAGAACGTGATCCTCAATCAGAGGTTTATAGCCCAATCTACGAAGACCCTCCGCCAAATCTTGATTTTCAGCCACAACTCCCACAGCTTGAACAACACCAATATCGACCACAGCGGCAGGGAGTCCTCTTGTGATACGGTATCTGGCAAGTGCATCCTCATAACTTCCACCCGCAGCATAGTTGCATTGACTCGGTAATCCAACAATTCCGGAAAGAGAGGATAGCATAACAAAGAAATCCAAGTCCTGACCGAGAAACTGCTCATGCAAATTCCAAGTACCTTGCACTTTAGGACGAATGGCTGCCATGTATTGGTCTACTGTCATTTGCTCCATGATTGAATCCTAGCAACCTTCAGTCAGCATTCATTCAATGGATTTGGAAGAGTGAACATGTGGCATTGCATACCTGAAGGACCATAGCTCCCTGGATAACACCACGTACAGGTGGCATGTTACTTCGACAATCTTCCAAAGCACGTGCCATAGAGACGGAGTCAGATATGTCACTAGCCACTGGATATATCTTGCAGCCCATGTGTTGCATTTCTTCTGCGAAGGGGCGAATTTTCTCTGCATTAGCGCTGCGCGAGAGCACAATTATGTTCTTCGCTCCTCGTTGAGCCAGCCACTGGCAAACGGATCGACCGATTCCGCCAAGTCCACCCACTACTAAGTAGGAGGATTGGGGGTCGATTTGTGCGGTGGGCTTCTTGGGAATAATCTGCTTACTGTCAGCACTACTGTTATGTTTCATATAAATATGGGGGTATTACCGGTACAGATACGTCAGGTTCAACAGTCACCACAATTCTACCCATGTGTCTTCCAGCCTGCATCAGGCGGAATGGCTTGCCAATTTCACTCAGGGGGTAGGTCGTAAATGGAATAGCAGTAGCGATCGCTCCTTGATCGAACAGACGGATCACCTCTTTCATAACCCGGTTGATGATGTGGCCCTTGTGGTCTTCCAGCTGAATCAAATCTAATGAATAAAAAGACACATTACGAGTGAATGTCTGCATCTGAAGACTGTTGTTCAGTTCCAAATCGCGCTTTCCAATTTCCACAAAGCGACCAAATTGCGCTAGGCAGTCGAAGCTCTCTTGTAGGAGGGACCCTGATAACGAGTTCAAGACTACATCAACACCCTTTCCGCCCGTGGCAGCATGAACTCCAGTAGCGAAGGACGTGGATCGGCTGGAGAAGATGTGATCATCGGGAATGCCGTAGTGCGAAATAAGAGCTTCACGCTTCTCCGCAGATCCAACCGTTGCGAAAATTTCGGCTCCGACATTCTTCGCTAGATTGATAGCTGCTTGACCGACACCACCCATTGCTGCATGGATCAGAACTTTTTCGCCTCTTTCGAGGCGAGCCATTTCTAACAGAGAGATATATGCAGTTGCGTATGCCATTGGAAGAGAAGCGGCAATGTCGTATCCGATCGTATCAGGAATGCGCACAGCACTAGTCCACGGCACTCGCACAGCGCTGGAATAGTGTCCTTTCATCAAGGTGGTAACCCTGTCTCCGACTTTCAACCCGCTCTCGGTCGCAGCCTGACTGATCTGTTTGACAACACCGGAACATTCAAAGCCCATAAAATCAGACTGCAATTGCCCCATTGCTGTCATAACATCACGGAAGTTGACACCGAAAACTTTGGGCTCTATCTCGATGAACCCATCCGGAAGATCTTTCAGAGCATCTAGATCATCACAAAACGAGAGAGTGTCCAAGAGACCGGGGGTTCCAACTTGAAGTCGCAAAGGACGACCTTCCTGGAAAAATTGACCCGGTTTTGGTGCTTGAGGCTGTGCGGGATCAGGGAAATAAAGGCTGTTCCGCTCAAGATCCTTATAGAATCTTGGAACGTTAATGGTGCCATTGCGCTCGGCATATTCAAAGTCCATGGGGTTTCCCTTCTGCGTGTAGTCGAAGCTTTTCCTGAAAATCGCTGCAAGTGTTTTGATAGAAATCTCAGAATATGCTTCCGTCTCAGGGTCCAAATCAAGAGTAATTGCTCTTTTTCCTGCATATTCTGTTCGAAGGGTGCGGAGGAAGCCTTGACTCAAGCTTGCATCCAGGTTCTGACAATCTACGGCGCCTCCACGAGTCACCCAGATAAGACCCTTGGATTTCACACAGAGATTTTTGACTGCTTCGAACTCTTCTCGAGATGGATTCTTGAGAATAGAATGTTCGATATCACCTAGATAGATGCAGATTCTGCCACTTGGGTCAAGAGATTCAAGTGGCTCTACTGTTATCTCTCCTTGAATGAATTCAGAGACGGCCACTTTCAAGTTAGCGACCCACGCAGGAGGCGTGGCTTTAGAGCCCAGAACCAAGGCAACATTCAAAGCATATGAGGGGATCGAGGTTTCCTCCGCCCTTGCGACTATCATTCTCACCGAGGAGAATGCCTTGTTCCTAGACTCTGGAATCGTAGCTTCAACGCTGCTGAACCCACTCGATTTGAGCACGGGAGCCCAATTTCCGGTGGAAGAGTTCAGGCCTGAACGTTCGTCATCATCACCTATAGAAATATTCATTAGCATCAATGTTAATTTTATGGTACCGGCCGAGTATTTACGCACCTGTTGTCCATGGATCTGGGAAGAGACCGAGAATGAAAGGAAGTTTGCCTTCTTCCAATATGAGAATCCTGCCATTCGGGCTGAGTAGCCTTCGTATATTCTTTAAGTTGGCCTCCGGGTTCCCGGCAATTTGCTGTGTGTCCGAAAGAATGATCAAGTTATACACACCGGTCTCGAACCCTTGCTTGGAAATGTCCTGCTCAGCAATGAACTGTTTACATTGAACTAAACCTGCGTATGACCCAAATTTCTCTTCTGCGTCGGACACGAGCTTTGCTTCACTTTCCGTAAAAGTGTACGAATCAGCCGAAAAGTCACTTTCCACGCCGATAGCATCGAGAATAGTTGTAGTGACAGTTCCAGCACCGCCGCCGATTTCGAAAATCTTGGACCGCGGATTCTGGTGTGTATAAAGCCGGACGTACTCGGCGACCTGCGCATGGAAATTTGCACTCTGGGATGAGTTGAGGGTTGTCACGGGCTTCTTAACATCTTCTTGTATCAGATCAGATGGATCTAGCTCGCCTCTAAGAATGGACAATATATGTGGCCCATAACGACAGACATCTTCTCCAACCTTTCCGGAAGCAAGTAGTTGATCAATAAGTGCTGCTCTTTGCGCGGGACTATCATTGAGCCATTCGGAGCTATTGTCCGCTAGCTTGTTTTGAAGAGCAAGCTCTCGTTGAAGCTTAATCCACACATAGTATTTCTTGTGATGGGATTTCAATTGAGCAACATCAGCAATGGTCAATGCATCAATAGCATCCTGAATATAATGCAAGCAGACCCGTTTCAGGTTAGTCAAAGCTTCTGATTCAAAGCCTAAGCGCTTCTCAAGATATGCTTCATTGGGTAATGACAGATCAGGCCCCCAGTGCAATGTTGAAAGCTTGTTATAAGCATCTCCTGTCATTGACTTGACATTGCCTAGAGACTGTGTGATGTAATGGTCGATCTTAAGCAAGGGGGTCTTGCTTCCGTCTTCTTTTTCGCCAGTCACAAGTAGGTCAGTGTCGAAGCCCCGCTGGGTAAAGCTTACAACGTCACAGTAGGCAGTAAATTTATGGCCGGCAACTTTTGGAATGTTATGTGCGACGTAAAGCTTCTTGATCACTCGCGGAATAAAGGAAGCGGACATGTTAGCATCCGGTACAGCAATATATCCAGCATACGCTGCCTGGAAGAGAGAGTCAATCGTGGTAGGATGAACAATATAATCGCTTTCGTGTCGATAAGGCATGGTCGCTGCGGTATCAGCCACGGAAAACGATGCAATGGATTGCCTTCCATTAACCTTGATAGATTCTAGATTTTGGAAGATGGGACCGTGGCAGATTTGCACAAAATGCATTGCATCGTACACGTCCATTGGGTTGATGTTCTTTCGATATTCTTCCACAGGCTTGTGAAGGGATAGCTGGGACAGTCTGGATTTCAGTGCAATTAGGGTTTGTTGATCGTCACTGGAGGTTGTCTCGACATGAATCAAACCCTTGCAATGTTCTGTCCAGTTCTCTTGAGAGTCGACGGAGTAAACATGGAACTCTTGACACCCTGAGGCATAGATGGCTTTATCGTTGCATGGTTCAAGCGTGAGTTGGACCTCAATTCCCTCTGAGGTATCGGGAATCTGAAGGCCTTTTAAAACTTCAATGTCGCGTAACTCATATCCACTGACCTGGTCACCTCTGTCTTGTGCAAGTTGTGAAGCTCCTTCTATGGCCATACATATAAAGCCTGCACCGGGATAAAGCATAGTAGACTGCACGACATGATCGCGTAGCCAAGGTAGGTCGTTCAGACGAATTACATGTCGCCACGACGGCCTTGTCATATTTGTACCAAGAACGAGTGATCCTAGAAGATCATTTGCGGCATGAGCGCGATGTCGGTGTGTCTTGTTGACACGAGGTTCACTCCAGTGACGAGTCTTGTGAGTCCAGGGATAACTTGGTAGATCATATAGGACTTCAGTATTGCGTTGACCTGTCGGAAAATTGACCGCTTCCATATTGACAGGATAGCCAGCTTTGACCAAAGACGCTGCAAGAGCTTGCATCGTGTCAACTGCGTCGTTTTTACGGACGAGAGTAGGTAAATAGCCTACTTTGCAGCCATGGAAATTTGGCTGTGCAATAATCTCCTGGATCGGGCCTCCGAGGGCGGCATGTGGCCCAACCTCAATGACAATATCTACATCAGAGGTTGTAGCAGTGGAATCCGAGAAGCACATATTGTGGAATGACTCAACAAAACGAACTGGATTCGCAAAACTGTTGACCCAATGTTGTGGATCGCTAATCATTCTACCAGACGTCTCGCGCTTTCCAGTGGTTGGGGATGAGTAGATGACATCCTGGTTCATGTGCTCTTGAGGGCCAAAAAGTTTCTGCAGCCATTCCAGATATGGAGCAGCTAGCACCTGCATGTGATGTGAGTGGTAAGCAGCATTAATCTTCAAACGCCTAGCAAAAATATCGTCTTGCTTGAGAAGGCTTTCCAGCTCTTCAACAGCGGCGGCATCGCCCGATGCAGTGGTACTGCTTGGGCTGTTCAAGCAGGCGACCATAACTTGACCAGATGTCACACGCGCAATATACTTTTCTAGAGCTTCAGGGCCCAGACCAGTTGCAACCATTCCGCCGCTTGTCTCAATAACGCCAGGAATCTTTCTTCCAGCAACCTGGCCACGAGCAAATACAATGGCCATAGCGGACCGAAGTGTGAGGGCACCAGCGGCGTATGCAGCAGCAACCTCGCCGCTCGAGTGACTTGTGATGGCCTGTGGTTTGATACCCCAGGAAGCCAACAACCGTACCAAGGATATCTGGAGTACAGCACACAATGGAGTACTAAACGCCAGCTCATTGACATTCGTGGTTTCGGGACTCCTGGTCAGTTCATCTTATCAAGTCTAGTTAGTCACAACTCTGGGAGACGTGATAATTGAATCATACCTATTAACGACCACTGACATCCAAACTCTCTCAGATAACCTTCGGCTTCCAAAACAGACTGCTTATACACTGGATAGGCTTCGATCAACTCCCGGCCCATAGCCCACCACTGCGCTCCCTGGCCAGTGAAAACGAAGCCGATCTTAGGGGGCTCGATCGCTTTCGCAGGTTTCATCTTAACAGAGTCAAGAGCTTGAACTAATCCCATAATACTGCGAGCCGAATGAGACGACACCCATGGGAATCGAGTACGTCGTTGTCCCAGGGTGTAAGCAAGATTGTCTAAGTATCTTCTTTCATCTTCAGGTTGGATTTCCAGAAGATGCTGTTTTAGGTCCGATGCCATCTTCAGTGCCGCTTGTTCATCCTTGGCGCTGAGAACAAAGACCTTGGAAGACGGGGCTTGATCAATAGTCTCCGACAAGTTCCTAGTGATTGAACCATTGGTAATTTGTTTCGTCGAGGAAAGAAATGACTGATAATCCTCGACTACAACATGCGCATTTGCACCGCCGTATCCAAAATTGTTAATCGAGGCTCGTCGAATTCCATTCACTGGAGACCAAGAGTCTAATCTGGTGGCAACCTGGATTAAAGGAAATAGAAGCATTAGTTCTGAGTAGCTTACAGGAGAAACAATGTGTACTTTGCACTCACCTGAAGGTTGTACTCTTCAAAAGGAATATTAGGATTGGGCTTTTCGAAATTAATGCTGGGTGGAATCTGCTCCTTTTCTAATGCCATCACCACCTTGATAATACTTGCGAGACCACTGACGGTCTCGGTGTGGCCAATATTAGTCTTCACAGAACCAATCTTGAGGGGACCAGATCCAAAGGCCTTTCTCGTGTTGCTGAAATTTGAAGCTACAGCACGGGCTTCTATAGGGTCGCCAGTTGGTGTGCCCGTTCCGTGGGCCTCGAAATATGTTGTAAGAGCAGGGTCAAGTCCAGCTTGAGCATAACATTGACGGATGAGAGCAGTCTGTGCTTCCGGGCTAGGTGTGGTAATTGTCTCCGTCTTTCCGTCCTGATTCACGGCAGTTGAGCGAACAATTGCGCGAATTGGATCCCCATTTTTCAGGGCATCGTCCAATCTTTTCACAATGACTGTTGCCGTGCCCTCTCCTCGACCGTATCCACTAGCACGACTATCGAAGGCAAAGCAACGGCCGGCTTCCGAAAGGAAACTAAATTCCACAAGTCAGAAAATCAACCATGCTTTTGAAAGACCTTATTGACTGACGATGATGACATGACCATGAAGTTATCAGGATTTAGTATTACGTTAGAGGCGCCGACAATTGACATGTCAGATTCTCCATTCGCAAGACTTTGGCACGCTTGGTGAAAAGCTGTTAATGTCGTAGAACATCCCGTATCTACAGTCATACTAGGACCACGCAGATCGTAGAAATGTGAGATGCGATTTGATGCCATCGCCGAGCCAACTCCTACAAGTAAGGCTCGCGGCAAAGTTTCGGGGTCTCTGATGTTCATATCGCTATAGTCGCCAAAGAATGTACCAGCAAAGACCGAGGTATTGGAGCCTTTAACGTCGTTCATTGTCAAACCCGCTAAATTTGATATGGTTAACCTCTTCAATACATATTTGAATATAGTGTAGAAGTCCACGTACCACTCTCCATAGCTTCATATGTGCTTTCCAACTGGAGCCTGAATTGAGGATCTATAGCCTGTAGCATTGTCAGAGTCTGTAACAACGAGAAGGACGACGCTTTCTTCTGAGACAAACCGCAGCCAGATCTGATGTGTAATTGAAGAAATGAGCATCAAATAAAGCCACGTCCTCCTTGAGGAAATGGCCACCCTTAATGTTCAACTATCGAAGAACGTTAGCTAGATCGCCAAGCCATTCTCACTCCAAGAGAGCATGTATTACCGTGTCTAGCTTCTGGCCGTTAGGATGGTAGAAGGCATCTAAATTGAATCTATCCTCGGGGATTTTGCTCCAGCCGCTCTTGCTCTCGGCGCATAGCTTCCAGAGCTTTTCCGGAGAGGTAGCATCACCAGAGAATCGGCAGCTCATGCCAATAATGGCGATAGGAACTTGTGAAGCCATGTCTAAAGTGGTATAGCTAAAGAACGATGTTTGGATAGTGGGTAGTATTCTCCCTGGACAGCAATTCACATGAAGAAAACCGGGTCCAGGTAAGTTATAATTGATTACCAGAAAGCTGGATCTTGATAAGAAGATATACATGCAAGATCAAGCAAGCCCAAATAACAAACATCCAGGGTTTAATATGAAGCTATAAATCTAGCTATTGCTGATAGGAGTTCGTAGCGTTCGAAGCTTTGCTGGCCTAACGTTCCTGCGTGGTGGGAAAAAGACCGAAAAATACTCCGAGTGCAGCTAGCACAGAGTCATTGACCTCTAGTAGGGCACCGGAGTAATCCCCATATTAATGAAGAGTCTTGTAAGGAGTTCGAGCCTATTTTTGGAGAATTTCTGATCCACTTATGGTCAAAGTCCGACCCTACTGTGCTCGCTAGTGTTCGCCTTGGGAATACTGATTCCTAACCAACATACCATCGACCGTAGCTGACTGACAATAATAATTATCAAACTTAATACTCTTTCAGACTATTAGTATATAAATTTTAGACACTATGCGCTCGAGACTATTCCTCTGTTGATTGGGGGGGGCTTGATCTACCTACTGCCTCGCGACGTTAGGGCAAAGAAGGTACAGTGAGATGAAAAATGTGTTGACACCCTCCCTGTATCCTAATCATCACACCACCCTCATTCAGTTGAAAATGAAGTGTATATATTACATCACATAAGAATTTCCGTATAAGCTATATTAGAGCCCTTTTGAAAATTTCTCTGCTGTTATTATTCATTATTACAGGCGGGCAGTGGGCATTTGGAGGCTATAAACATGGGAGGTGCCAATAGGTAATTAGTGGTACTGTATGCCGTGGGAACACTTAAATGGTTTTCTGTGGTTCAAGACTTATTGTGAAGACCACATCAGATGGAACTGTGATTCTAAATTTACCTAGAGCGAAGTAGCACCAGTTTCCGAGTGTTCATCGAGATAACCGAAAGTTCATTGTTTTTATCCGTGTATAGTAGCTAGATCAACCAATAAATTCGGTATATGGCCCCCATAGTGGATTGTTCATCAGAGATTTCATCTCGTAATCATTCAAGCACACCAATAAATTGAGGTCCCCTGAGACTTCTGGTGGGTAGAAGTAAAGCGTGCCCGGAATTGGTGCCAGATTAGGTCGACGAATGTACTTGGGAACACCAAGAGACCCAAAGGGAAGTACAAGAGCAGCCTGAGCCATAGAAGAGGACGAAATGTCGGTTGCGCGATTGAATGGACCAGTATAAAAGAGAGTTCCTTTGTCGGGAACGCCAGCGACATAAGTCGCGTAGCTACGAATCGAGTGCTCGGTGTTTGCCTCGCTTAGATTCTGGCGAAGACGAGTTGCGATGCTCGAAAGAGGGAGATCGACCAGCTCTTGATGCGTGAACCATGTAGGAGAAAAGTAGACCATCTGGTGCATGTACGCAGTCGAGACGCCCATTGCGCTACGAGCGTCGATGGTTCGCGAAAACTTAGAAACGGCGCTGGGGTCCTGTCCATTGGCCACCCGCGCTTGAGCTAGACACTTCCAATACAAAGCACTAACAGCATCACCCGTAGAAACAAATGGGACAGCTTCGCTTTTTGCTAGAGCCTTGACTTCGGGGATTTTCTCTTTGAGAAATCTGATTTGTGCCCATTTGGCCCCGATGACGTTAGGGGAGGATTGTTGAGGCAGTGGTTTTAATTTCAAAAAATCGTGGTTTTTGATCGGCTCTCCAGGCTTGTAAAGAGGAATGACTGTGCCTTGATCTCTGTTTCCTTCTTCAATGGCCTGCCGGGGGACATCTTTTCCACTCAACACGCGAGAAAAAAGCATGATCACTTGAAAGATCCCAGTACCATCCATTACATTGTGTTGATTGGAAAACGTCAGAATGGCACCGCCGCGAATGAAGTTGATCTGGATAATACAGGCCGCAGCAGGTCCGTATTTGCTTTCGTCATATGTTTCAGGAAATCCGGGGACCGAACAGATCACATCTCCTGGCAACATCTGAACAGGTGCTTTGGCTTCAAAGAGTTCTTGGTAGCTCGGCAAAATATGATCGCAGTACTTCACTCTGACGAGACCCTCCGAAGGTCTGTCTTCTGGCCAGGGCGCAAGTCTGAAAACTCCAGAATGACCTGGTCGAACTCCTTCATGAACCACTCGTTGTGCAAGCCATGGAATCTTCTCCACGATCTTAGCAGCGGCGTCCTTGAATTCCTTGACTACAGTTTCGCGAGAGATGCCATCGGGAAGTTCGAAGAGTGCTGCGCCATGGTTGTAGGTTTTCAATTGAAGAAATTGACCCATGACATCTGGAGAGAGCTCCGGGTCATCATTTTGTAGTACTTGATGAATACTGCTTATTTGAGTGGTGGTCGTCATTTGCGGAAATTTGGAGATTGTAAGATTGGTAGTGTATAATCAAGAGACCTGTTGTGACCTGTACAACGACTCGACGACCATGAGATTCCAAAAACACTGGCGTTTTACATTACTTTTGGAAAAGATGTTCTTGTGAAACCTATGCTGAGGTGATGGGAGAACTACGAGTGTGGCTTTAGAGCGGAAGTCCGAGAACGCCATTCAACACTAACTCATAAAACTCCAGAAAGTCCGAATTTCTTTAGCAAGGCGAACAGTAATAAGATTTAGGGGACAAATCAATTCACAAGTATGTGACTGAAAAACAGTTCATAATCAGCTATTTCATTTATTAAGTTGGACATAGATAAAAGTACGTCGTTGTTCGCAACATAACAAATTCCCGGTTCCGCCTTGGTGGTATATGCGCGCAATGTCCACAGAGTTCCAAGGAAAAGTCATTGCCATAACTGGCGCAGCCTCAGGTATAGGTCTTGAGACAGCGAAACTCCTTGCAGCACGCGGTGCCAAAGTGTCGCTGGCTGATATAAGTGGTCCGGCGCTGGAGGAAGCCGTTGCCAGTATTCAGAATGCGGGAGGCGCAGCAACATCCAAAGTCGTTGATGTCGGAAATCGAGAGGAAGTTGAAGCTTGGATCACACATACTGTCAATCATTACAACCAGAAATTAGATGGCGCAGTCAATCTAGCCGGTGTTCTACCGAAGCAAGCCATGATCGCTGGCATCGAAGATATTGACCAGGAAGATTGGGACCGAGTGCTCGGAGTCAATATTAACGGAACTCTGAACTGCTTGAGAGCCGAACTCAAAGTTATGAGCTCGAAATCTAGCATTGTGAATGCAGCAAGTGTTGGAGGAATCAAGGGCATGGTAAAGAACGGAGCCTATGTTACTTCAAAGCACGCTGTTGTCGGGCTTACGAGAGCGGCAGCTGCTGAAGGGGCAGAGAAAGGGATCAGAGTCAATGCTATTGCGCCGTAAGTAAAGTTGGTCTGGATGAGTATGGCTGCTGTATACGATTGCTTATGATTTCTATCCTAGTGGTCCGATCGACACACCAATGTTGAAAAAGAAGGACGGAATCTGGCCCATGATTCCGATGAAACGAGCTGGTCAGGCTCGCGAGGTTGCAGAACTGATTGCTTGGCTGTTATGTGATGGCTCAACATACATCACAGGCACTATTCAAGTGATAGATGGTGGGTGGTCCGGTTGATACAGGCATGGATGAAGTTATAGTATTTGGGCACGATCATTATTAACATTATAAGTAAAGCCTTCAGATGGATAGTATACCGTATCCGAAAATATGCCTGAATCTTTGTGTTGTGATATCGTCGTTCAGATCAAGTTGTTCGTTTCCTATTTTCCCAAATTTCTTAATAGTGTGAGTTCACTCTATTCATGAGCCAAATGAAGTATTAAGATATGTTTCATTCTGTCATAAGCTGAATTAAGATAGATCTTGAGTTAAAAAACCCATGCATCCTGTCACTCGCTCTACCTGACGCCCGCAGACTAGTCACTCAACCGACTAAGAACGGCCATGCACCACTATCCGAAAAATCAAGAAATAGAGTCAAAAAAGGACACAAAAAAGAAACAACTAACGGGACACCACTGAAAAATCATGACCCATTTTACGTATTTTATATGAGGTTCATCCTTTACTAGATGACATAATAGAACTATGCCTTTTCGGCGTCAGACTCGGATAGTCTTTTGGTTGGCTGCTTGTATACGAAACCAGGATGACCGATGAACAGGGCAGCGACGGACACGACGATAAGCCTTTCACAAAGTGTTAGAATATGTATCGAACCTTTGGAGAATCGAGAAGAAAAAACTTACACTCCTTCGAGTCCAATGAAAGATCCTTGCTGTTCAATCAAAGGGCCAGAGTATCCATCGCTTAACTCAGCAATACGATAAACGCATCTAGTATAGATGCACAAAGTAGCCAGTGCTAAAAATACCAAAAAGACCTTGTATCTAGATTCGACGAGTCGGTTTTGCACTGCACCTGACCTTACATCGCGCATGTACGACCGTGCATAATCAATGGACAAGGCGATGAAGACGGTCAGGGAGAAAACCTGGAAGGAGAGACCGGCCAAAGAGATATCAACACCATCTTGAGACGAGCCCTTGCTATTTGAAGACATAGCACCGCCGACGGCTTGTAGAACGAGCGAGACAACATCGCAGATGATGAAGACGATGTAATATAACTTTGGGGAGAATCGTGACTTTGCGCCGAGCTGATGAATTCTTCGGATTTTACAATAAGCATGAGATCAGGCCGAAGGAATGGATACGAGACTCACGACGTGTATAGGGTCAAATAAATGGACGCAGTAAAGAAGACGGGCGCGATTGTGATACAGACTAAAATACATTACCGTTGTTAGAAATTGGTTCAACCATTCGCTTCTGAAGGACAAAAAACCAACCAATCTGCATTATGAAACCCTGAAAATTGAAAACATCCTCCCACATCTTGACACGACCACCATAACCAATCATCTCAACTGCGCAGCCGCACAGCATGCAAAATGTAAAAGACCATGTTCGCCATTTGGCGCCGAGAATAGCATGGATAACAAGCCCGACGCCGAACAGTGCGATGAAAACGCTATTCGCTGCTAACGAGGGCCGGTATTTGAATATACTTTGGTCAATACTGCAGGTTTCTGGAGTGCACAAGTCGAAGGAAGACATTTTGAAGCCAGCCGGTCGATTTTTTGCTGGATACTTTCTGTTCTATACGTTTTTTAATATCAACTTATCTAATAGTCTTCTGGCGCGAAGGGGCTGGTGCTCCATATTATAATCATCCATCGCTGAACATTTAAAGACAAGGTGCGTCAACATAATGTGCATTAAGGCCGATTGTTCGAGTAGACTACCTCTTTTGACTTCGTATAGGGCATCGATGACGCTGCTTTGAACACAACGGCGCAACCCTAGGCCGACTCGCACGTAAGATTTCAGGTAAGAATTTATGCTTATTTTCAGTCAGGAAGAAACTCCAGAAAGTCCGAAGCAATCAGAGATCACGAATAGCTTCGAAGCGGGCGCCCATTTTGCTTGGCGTCTCTACTGCTTCATCGGATCCAATTGCGATCCTATCATTGTCCTTGGCAGCCTACGGCCGAAGGAGGAATGTTCTAACACGACGGCCGTATAGCTCTCCGAGCTGCTTCCTGATTGGACCGATCCCAATTGGCCCTGCACCCAGTCACTCAGCCACGCGACCCTCCTAGCCTTGGCCCCTACTAGTCGTAGGAATTAGAGTCAGAAAGACAAATTAACTGGTCGACGATAAAGCAGTGGGCAATGAAATCAAGGCGGAATTGGGACGTGGCAGTTTGCGAGAACAGCAGGTCGCTGTTCTTTTGGCTAGAAACTCTTTCTTCGATTCGCCAGTGGACGTTCTGGCTGCATAGGACGGCAAATACTGCACGATATAAAGTATCAACTATGAAGTCCAGTACATACAGTGTCATGAAATGTGTTTCCGCATCCCCCTTTATCCGAACGTGATCCGAGAACTCACCGCCTTACTTATATAGCAATAAAGTAAGCACTCAAACCCTCCAAGAAACCCTAATAGGTATAATGTATACGTGTTTTCATCGGCAGAATAAATGGCGGGGGGTGCTTCAACATAGTTCGTCCCATTGTAGTTTTGACACTGATGTTATACGTAGTAAATGCGTTGCCTGCAACAATCCCGAAGAGTGTTAGCGTTAAAGGATATTACCTATAACTAGTGTTTCCGTTCATCCAAACTGGAGTTTTTTGTCTGATATGATAGGGACCGGAGTTATTCAGTTTTGTAGCAGCTCAAGTGCTTCTAAGGATTAGTGTTGGCAGATTCAGTTTAGTATCAGGAGGCTAAAGTGATGCAAACATTCCTTAAAGGTTTTTATAAATAATGCTCCGAGCGGTACCCATCCACACCTTTTGCAGGAAACGCTAGCAACAATTGGTTAGTTTTGATCAATATTAACAAGAATTCATCATGCCTGGCAAAATTAATGGCGAGATTCTAGACGTCGCTATTATCGGTCAGGGGATTATTGGATTGACACTTGCTCTTGGACTCATTAAACGAGGAATCAACGTGAAAGTTTACGAGCAAGCGTCTAGCCTTAGAGTGACAGGCGCTGGAGTAGCATTTACAGCCAATGCAATTCAATGCATGAATCTTCTCGACCCTCAGATTGTCGATGCACTGAGATCAGTGGCAACATCAAACGGTGATCCAGCAAACCCTAACGACTACTTGCGATGGGTTGACGGATATAGTTCCCCGGCGGGTCAGGATCCTCTAGAGGAAAAACTTCTCTTCAAGCTTTACGCCGGTACAAAGGGATTTGAAGGCTGCCACCGAGCGCACTTTGTGGAAGCCTTGGCGGCTTTGATGCCCGAAGGAGTTGTACACTACAGCAAACGACTTGACAAGATCTACGAAACGGGTGACAGCGAGAAAGTTGTTCTAAGCTTCCATGATGGAACAACCGCGTCGGCGGATGCTGGTAAGTTCTTCACCCTTCTAAGAAAGAATTGTCAAAGTCAAGTTCTTACGGCAACGGCAGTCATCGGCTGTGATGGGATCAATTCCCGAGTTCGAGAACATCTCTTCGGCTCAGACAACCCTATCTCTCACCCAAACTATAGTCACAAAGCCGCATATCGAGGTCTCATACCTATGGACAAGGCAGTTGAGGCTCTCGGTGAATACAAGGCCAAGAATCAGCACATGCATCTAGGTCCCAAGGCCCATATTGTTCATTTTCCAGTTGTGAACCAGACGATGGTAAATGTCGTGGCATTTGTCAGCGATTCTGAAAAATGGCCCGACGACAATAAACTTGATGTTCTAGCAGAACGGGCAGATCTCGAGGCAGCTTTCAGTGATTGGGGTCTTCCAGTGAGATCAATAGTTCAATTGCTACCCGAACAGCTCAGCAAGTGGGCTGTTTTTGATACTTACGATCACCCAGTCCCGTACTATTCGGCTGGCCAGGTTTGTTTAGCCGGAGATGCTGCACATGCCGCTGCTCCTCATCATGGTGCCGGTGCCGGTGTCGGTATTGAGGACGCTCTTTGCCTGGCAAGCGTGTTTGAGGAAGCACTGAAAGCTCCTCATTATACTGACACACTCAATTCGGATATCATTAGTGCAGCATTTGAGTCTTACAACGCCGTTCGGCATGAACGAACTCAATGGCTGGTACAAAGCAGCCGCGAGGTTTGCGATATTTACGAGTGGGCTAATCCGCTCACTGGCGACGATCCAGAAAAGTGCCTTGAAGAGATTATGTGGAGATCTCATAAAATTTGGTATTTTGATTTTATAGGAATGGTTCAAGACGTGAAAAAAGACTTTAATCAGCGAATCCAAGGAAATGCCTCCAAGCCCATGCCCATCGAGGCTCCTGTAGCGGTTCGGCTATGAAATTTTGCGAGGATACACTCTGAGTTCATTGTTCTCGCAAATTCCGGTTGCTTCAGCCCAGCTTCTTTCTTGTGTGCTGACTGCTTATCTTGTACCTATGTAGTATGACAATTGAATGAAAGCGATGCGCGAAAAACATTCAGAAGTCTTCAAATATTTATCTCCTTCTTTTATGTGCCCTAGACTTTTAATTATCAGTGCTGTAGTCTAAGCAGAAACTCCGTCATGAAGTCCGACTTCCTTGAACTAGGCGTTCCTGCTAAAGATAAATTGACCTGTTCGACAGGAACGCTTTTAAGATTTGACCCAAAAATAATGACCATTAATCAAAATTTATCAGAGTACCTAAACCATATTTATCGCCTAGTCCGACCACTTCTTGCAGAAAGAATATTCAAGACCTCCTTCCATGGATCGGACAGATACAAACCCATTGCACTTGCCTCGGATTTTATGTTTACATGGCGGTGGTAGCAATGCTCGAATATTCAAGGCGCAATGTCGAGTACTTGAAAGATTCCTTCAAACCAGATTCCGCTTATGCTACGCAGAAGGTCCATTTTCTTCTCATCCGGGTCCTGACGTTACTCTTGTCTACAAGGACTTTGGAGACTTTCGGACTTGGATACGATGGCAATCGGACAACAACCTGAAAGCGGATAATGGAAGCGTTGTTGCTCCCATCGTGGCCTCCATAAGTGCTGCGATGGCTAATGATACGGCTCAGGGTGCGACCGGCGAATGGGTTGGTCTAATGGGATTCAGTCAGGGCGCAAAGATCTGTGCTAGTATTCTACTTGCTCAACAAGTTGGTACCTTGCGATTCTACGATAATGGAGAGATCGACTTCCGGTTCGGGGTTCTATTGGCAGGTCGAGGCCCGCTACTATCAATCAAACTGAAGCACAGAGCTCTGCCGCAAGATTTTGAGACGTACTCTATTCAGCCACTCATACAGATTCCAACACTACATGTGCATGGACTGCGAGACCCAGGATTAGACTACCATCAAGGCTTGCTGAAAGAGTGTTTTGACCCGTCTTACACTAGATTGGTGGAATGGGATGGAGAACATCGAGTACCAATTAAAACAAAGGATGTCACCGCCGTCACAGGTGCAATCTTTGCTATGGCATTAGACTTGGGCATTTGTTTAGATTAAGAATCAGGACTCGTATCAGGTATGATCGAACGATAGATAGTAGTCAATAAGGGAGTGCCTGGCTGAACAGTCAAAACTATAAGCCGCTAATTAGCAATCCTATCATAGCACTTTTCTTTTCATTTTTAAGTATTACTCCGAAAGTTTTAAAATCATTTTCGTTATCAGAGTAGTCGTCGACTGGTTGGAGGGGAGCCGTTGTTGCACCGCACGTGGACTTTCCAGCCCTAAGGCCAGCCCAAATACTCCGATCAGGAAAAACTCCGACATTGGACAAACGCACAACCTGGTGATAGCAACCAAGAAATAGATACGGATAGAATCGTTTAAGCTAAGACACTATACTAGAGGTCCAGTCTAATTTAGCCACAATAGGCCGAACGCCGTCTCCATAAGTTGGGTAGTTCGCAGGTAGTACATACCATTTATTAACTTCTGCTGCAATCAGAAGTACAGGAGAGAAAGTCAAATGTTGTTTGCCTAAAGAGAACTTATCCAGTTCCTGATACATATTCTAAGTCAAAAATGGAGCGCATTTTCCAACCCGTTATAGGCAACACGGTCTTACTATTTGGTCCACAAGCGTTGTCGTTCGATCAGGAAGAATTTCGGCGAATTCGGTCCGCGCTTCTCATCAATCCACAGGAGTATGAATGGATCTTGCATACCATAGACGAGTTTCCAGAATGGTTGAATGTCATCTCACAAAATATTCCGCAGCTCCGAGTCGGAAAAGCCTACGCACTTCAACAAAGCTTGACAAATTGGCTTCACACCGGCCAGTTTCCTCCGAAGGAATTCGTTATTCCCAATGTTTTTCTGAATCCACTTGTTGTCATCTCGCAATTAATGCAATATACGAAATACCTTCAATGCGCCTATCCAGAAGATGCAGATCGTCATAAATCTGTTGCTACAAATCCAAACAGCGAGACTGTAGGTCTTTGCGTGGGCCTTCTGAGTGCTGCGGTCGTATCGAGTAGTAGTTGCAGGAAGGATTTTGAGACTTACGGTGCCGTTGCACTACGTATAGCGCTGCTCAGCGGACTACTAGTGGACACTGTTGAAATTCAAGGTCCATCGACATCCCTAGCTGCAGTCTGGAACTCCACCAATGTCGGCGAGGAGGTTACTAGGGTTGTGAAAGATTGCTCAGATGTAAGGTCCCATGAATTTCAGATTGTGTATGCGTAATTAACTTCGCATAGGCATACATATCTGTCGAATATGATGACAAGAGGGCCACCATCACTACTTCATCTACAACAGCATCAGCTCTGTCAACCGAGTTAAAGCAAGCAGGCGCCATCGTCAGCGAGCTTCCTCTTCATGGAAGATTTCACTGGAGAGGGCATGAAGCTCATATTGATGACCTGATTTCTTTCTGCGAATCCCACTCCCAGTTCCAATTTCCTAGTGCCACGAAATTTCACATACCGGCCAGAGCGAATTCGGAAGGAAAATTTATCACAGATGACCGTCCGCATGCCGAAATATTACGATCAATCCTGGTGAATGTGTCCCAATGGCACAAAACATTCACCACAGTACAGCGCTCTAGTCTTCAGAAGAATGATTCTCTGGTTGTGTCATTCGGTCTCGATCGATGTGTGCCACCATCCATAATGCGCGAAATTAGTCAAAACGTGGTACATTTTGCAGAACTGGAGATTCACGACTCTAGACCATATTCAGAAGATGATATTGCAGTCATAGGGGTATCCTGTAAAGTGGCAGGGGCAAACGATATGGAAGAATTTTGGGACCTGCTCTGCAAAGGAGAGTCACAGCATAAAGAGGTACCAGAGGATCGGTTTGACTTTGTTACGCCGTTTCGAGAAAAGAAATCAGATCGAAAATGGTTCGGGAATTTCGTCGACGATCATGATAAGTTTGACCACAGATTTTTCAAGAAAAGTCCCCGAGAAGCCGCTGCCATGGATCCTCAGCAGCGCCAGCTACTACAGATTGCCTACCAGACTGTAGAACAATCTGGATACTTCCGAACATCACCCAAGCCTCGTGACCTGCGTATTGGCTGTTATATCGGCGTCTGCGCAGTAGACTATGAGAATAACATCGCTTGTCATGCTCCAAATGCCTTCTCCGCTACAGGCAATCTGAAAGGTTTCATCGCAGGCAAAGTCAGCCACTACTTTGGATGGAGTGGACCGGGTCTAACAATTGACACTGCGTGCTCATCCTCCCTTGTGGCCGTCCATCAGGCATGTCAGGCTATCTTGAACGGTGATTGTACTTCGGCCCTCGCGGGCGGAACACATATTATGACCAATGCACTTTGGTTTCAGAATTTGGATGCCGGTTCATTTCTAAGTCACACTGGAACTTGCAAACCTTTCGATTCGCACGCTGATGGATATTGTAGAGGGGAGGCCGTTGGTGCCGTTTTCTTAAAGAAAATGTCTGCCGCCATTGCTGATGGAGATTTGATCTACGGAGTTATTGCAGCAACCGCAGTTCAACAAAATCTCAATCATACCCCAGTGTTTGTGCCTAACAGTGCCTCGCTTACGGATCTTTTTCAAAAAGTCGTTGCAAAGGCGCACTTCAAACCAGATCAAATATCTGTTGTGGAAGCTCACGGCACTGGAACACCCGTTGGTGATCCCGTCGAATACGAGAGCATCCGTCGAGTGCTTGGAGTTAACCGTACGAATAACCTGATGCTAGGGTCCGTGAAAGGACTGATTGGTCACGCTGAATGCACGTCCGGCATGGTGTCATTAGTGAAGACACTTCTTATGATCAATAAGGCCGGTATTCCACCACAGGCTAGTTTCCAAAAAATTAATCCTGCAATCAAAGCGACCCCAGAGGACCATATTTCTATTGCAAAAAAGATTCAACCATGGAGCGCCAGGACCCGAACTGCGCTTATCAACAATTACGGCGCATCAGGTTCAAATGCCTCAATGATTGTCACCGAAGGACCATCGCACAACACCAAGAACTTTAGTAAAGACATCGGCTACCAGTACCCCATTTGGCTAAGTGCCCTCGATCCAAAGAGCCTGCGCGCGTACTCGGCGCGTCTACGCCAATATATCAGAAATCACACAGAAGTTTCCTTGGCCAACCTAGCTTTCAACATATCACGGCAATCGAACCGGTCACTCGGTCATGGCCTGGTATTCACAAGTTCCTCCGTCCAGGATTTCGTGGAAAAACTCGATACTTTCGAAAAGAACAGCAGCGCTTCCATTCAAAGTTATCAAATTCCAAGCTCACGCCCTCTCATTATGTGTTTTGGCGGCCAGGTGTCGAACTTCATTGGATTGGACCCAGAAATCTACTACAACACCGAAGTGTTTAGGAAATATTTTGATGAAGTCAACTCAGCTTGCATTGCGATGGGGGAAGAAGGAATGATTCCGGACGTTTTCCAACGCGAACCAATAAAAGACGTTGTGCATCTTCAGGCCATGTTGTTTGCTGTTCAATATGCAAGTGCAAAGAGCTGGATTGAATGTGGCGCCAAGCCAGTCGCAATTATTGGACATAGCTTTGGAGAGTTGACAGCACTCTGCATTTCTGGTCGCTTGAATTTGAATGATACGTTGAAAATAATCGTCGGCCGAGCCAAGGTCATCCGTGACCAATGGGCTAATGAGAAGGGGGCTATGATGGCCGTTGAGGGTGCTTTGAGCCACGTCCAGCAGTTGATTGAGGAATCGAACAGAGTCAACCAATCCGAACATCCAATAAGCATTGCCTGCTTCAACGGTCCTAGATCATTCACACTTGCTGGAACTGTTGAAGATATTGATAATCTTGCAACAACGATACCTCGAGATGGCCGATTTAAAGCAAAGAAATTGAACGTCACCAACGCTTTTCATTCCAGCCTTGTAACTCCTATGATGGATAATTTGAAAGAGGTCTGTCAAGGAGTCCAGTTCAAAGAAGCTGCGATTCCGCTATGGCATGCAACTGAAAATCAAGCTACCGAAGATATTACAACATCTTTTGTCGCAGATCATTTACAAAGTCCCGTGTACTTCGATCATGTGCTGCAACGACTCATTAAGCAATATCCATCAGCCACTTTCCTTGAGGCAGGTTCTCAATCGACAGTCACAAACATGGCTGAAAAGGCCCTCGAGTCGCCTCCAGAATGCCACTTCCAAGCCGTCAATATTGGGGGTGATCGTGGCATCAGCAATCTATCGCAAGCAACGTCAAATCTATGGGCAGCAGGTGTTGATGTCTCATTGTGGCTGCATCATTCCCTACAGATACCGTATTATGCTCCATTGTTTCTTCCTCCTTATCAATTCGACAAGTCACGCCATTGGACGGATTTGAAGAAGGTTCCACAAGTGAACCCTATACCAATATCCCCTGAAGTTGGCCAAGCGAAGCCAAAGGACGAGCTTTTCTGGTTTCACAATCATCGCGACAAGAAACATGCTTGTCCTACTTTTCAAGTGAACACAGCGAGTCCCAAGTATGAAAAGCTTCTCGCAGGTCATATCATTGCACAGACTGCCCCTATTTGCCCGGCCACCGTGCAGATCGCCATGGCAATCGAGGCAGCTCAGACTCTGCTGAGTGAAACTGCAGCTGGCAATCTCGAGCCTCGTGTTTTGAATGTTGAAAATCATGCTGCCATCTGTCGCGACCCTTCGCGATCTGTGTGGATGGACTTTGACCCCATTCAATCAGGTGAAGTCGGTTGGAATTTCACCGTCAGAAGCACTGGCCGTGACCAAAGTGCAGTCAATACAACACATACCAGCGGTACAATTATATTTCATTCCAAGAACGACATGAAGATTCGATTAGAGTTCAATCGATATGAACGATTTAGCGATTATAAGCAATGCTACGACTTGTTGCAAAACCCAGAAACGGACGATATTATTCAGGGTCGCAACATATACCGAACATTCTCCGAGATTGTTGACTACGGTTTGGACTATCACGGCCTGCAAAGACTCGTTGGGCATGGAAGTCAATCTGTTGGACGTGTCGAGAAACATGCCCTTGCACCTGGAGCATGGCTAGATGCTCATTTAGCCGACTCTTTCTGCCAAGTGGGTGGAATTTGGGTCAACTGCATGACTGAACGAGACCCGAGCGATATGTACATTGCTACGGCTGTTGAGCAGTGGATTCGATCCCCGACATATGATCCTAAAGTGGCAAGCAGTAGCAACTCATGGATTGTTTCTGCACGCCACCACCGGAACAGCTTGAATTCTAGCTTTACAACCGATATTTTCGTATTCGATACAGTGTCTCAAGCTTTGGTTGAGGTTGTTCTAGGCATCAAATACGTCAAAATTCCTAAAGCTTCAATGCGAAAAATATTAACACGGCTGACTCCAGACCTTGCATCATCGACAGTGCCAGTCTCAACAATGGCAAACAATCGACCTACACACAAGGAAACAAACCTTCCCGTTCCATCTATTACGACGAAGTCAAAACCTAGCAAATCAAGAACAATGTCTGCAGTCGAATCTTTGGCTATCGTGAAAGCAATCCTTGCAGAGTTATGTGGTCTTGAGGAAAATGAAATTAAAGATGACAGCAACCTTGCGGATGTCGGTATTGACTCTCTAATGGGCATGGAAATGGCCAAAGAGATCGAGGGCAAATTTAAGATCTCGTTACCGGAGAGTGAGCTGGCTGAAGTCTTTGACGTTCCTGGGCTCATGAAGATTGTCAACACTGCTCTGGGTATTGACGGAAATGTCTCAGATAGTTCAGCGGATACCGACGACGTGTCTGTTTTGAGCCATGTCGAGGACATAGCCTCGGACTCAGAAACGAGTGTCAGTCAGATGAGTACCGGTGGTACCGATGTAGTTCTATATCTTTCCGAATTCTTAGGCATCGACCAATCCGAGATCCAAATGGACACCATCTTGCGCGACATTGGTGTTGACTCTCTACTATCCACAGAGATAAGAGATGACATGGTATCCAAGTTGGGTCATGATATCTCCAAAGATATCGTCATCGAAGAACTAACTGTTGGTGAACTCGATACACGAATTAATGGGTCACAAGAGGTCTCCAAAAAAGTGTCTATTCCGCCGAGAGTCTCACATTCTGAGACCACTACGAAGAATGTATCTCCCAACCCATCCAGTACTGATAAAGCCTTGTCACTTCCTCCATCATTGATCATGGAGGCTTTCAATGAAACAAAGGCATTGACAGATAAATTCATCAGTGACTTTGAGTGTGATGACTACATTAAGACAGTACTTCCCGGGAAAAATGAGCTTTGCGTTGCACTTACCATCGAAGCTTTCGAAGCTTTGGGCTGCTCTATTCGCGACACACAGCCCGGGACAAGTCTTCCACGAATCAGTCATCAACCACAAGACGGTCAACTGGTCGAATACTTGTATTCCATGTTGGAAAAAGAAGCCGGACTTGTGACCAAACAAGGTGACCGATTCATACGAAGTGCTGCCAGTATCCCGCCTTATAATAGCGAACACATCGCTTCAGACCTCGCCAAGAAGTTTCCTCAACATAAGGATGCAATCGTGCTTACGCATTACGCTGGCCGTCATCTAGCACAAATTTTTAAAGGAGAAACAGACGGAATTCGCCTTATATTTGGATCGGAAGAGGGCAGGAAGCTCGTGTCTCGCCTGTACGGCGACTGGCCTTTGAACCGCCTATACTATGCACAGATCAAAGATTTTCTCACGAGAGTAGATTCTAAGTTACCCAAAACCGTCTCAAGCCCATTGAAAATTCTCGAAATGGGCGCAGGAACAGGCGGCACCACCAATTGGCTTGTTCCTCTTCTCGCCACACTGAACATTCCAGTCGAGTACACGTTTACAGACCTTGCACCTTCATTTGTCGCCGCTGCTCGAAAAAAATTCAAGCAGTACCCTTTTATGAAATATCGTACTCACGATATTGAAGCGCCAATTCCTGACGACCTGGTTAATTCGCAGCACATCATTATTGCAAGTAATGCTGTCCATGCAACACACAGCTTAGTCAAATCCACTGGACAGATGCGTCGTGGTCTCCGCTCTGACGGACTCTTGATGATGGTTGAAATGACTGGCACTTTATACTGGGTGGATATGATATTTGGGCTCTTCGAGGGCTGGTGGCTGTTCGACGATGGAAGAAAACACGCTGTGGCAGACGAAATGAGATGGAAAAGCGATCTGACTAGGGCGGGCTATGGATATGTCGACTGGACCGATGGCCGAAAACCCGAGAACAAAGTGGAACGACTTCTCATGGCTATGGTCAGTGATTTCAGGTACGAGCGCGGTCCATCACTACTTCCTGTACCAGCAATAACACTATCGGCTGACTGCGCTGCTCGAAAGGTAGCCATTGACGAGTACGTCCGTAAAATGACTCAAGGATTCAAGATTGATAGCAATACTTCGGATATCACAAGCACTACCGACGTCAGTAGTCATAGGGATTGTATCCTGTTGACAGGGGGTACTGGTAGCCTCGGGTCACACCTCGTCGCACATCTCGCCAGCCTTTCGAGCGTGATGAGGATCATTTGTCTGAACCGACAAAGCAACGAGGATGCCCATGTAAGACAGCACAAGTCATTCCATAGCAGAGGAATACCGATATCTTCTGAGCTGCTTTCCAAGTTGACGGTTTACGAAACAGACCTATCCAAGCCAGGATTGGGTTTGTCGGAAGCGGCTCGCCAGGACGTTATTGCTAGTGTCACGCATATAGTTCACAACGCGTGGCTGATGAGTGCAAAGCGATCGCTCAAGGGGTTTGAGTCACAATTCCATATCATGAGAAACATGCTAGACCTTGCAAGCAACATCTCCTCCCAAAGGCCATCCGGTCACAAGCTTACGTTTCAATTCATCTCTTCCATTGCGGTAGTAGGGCACTATCCCATATCCAAGCGGACTGTGCATGTGCCTGAACAGCACATGTCTGTGGAGGATATCTTACCGAACGGCTACGGAGATGCAAAATATACATGCGAATTGATGCTTGCAGAAACACTGCACAAGTTTCCCAGTAGATTCAATGCGATGGCAGTCCGCATTGGGCAAATCGCAGGGTCTAAGTTTAGCGGGTACTGGAACTCGGCTGAACATCTTCCCTTTCTACTGAAATCGTCTCAGACGCTTAATTCACTGCCTGCATTTACTGGTGAACTTTCCTGGACCTGTGTTGACGACGTCGCTGGCACTCTCGCTGATCTCCTCAAAGCTGATCAGCCATACCAATTCTATCATATTGACAATCCGGTACGGCAGCAATGGAGCGATATGTTGCCTGTTCTAGCTAATACGCTGGACATTCCTTTGATAAATATCATTCCGTTTGAAGACTGGGTGGGCAAAGTCAGGAATCGTATGACTTCAGGAAAGCATGATGTGGCCAATCCAGCTGCCAAATTGATTGATTTCTTGGATGAAAACTTCACTCGCATGTCGTGCGGAGGACTTCTCTTAGAGACAAAACATACCGAAGAACATTCGAAAACATTGCGAGGCGTAGGACCTATCAACAGTGAGACAGTCCAGAAGTTTATTTGTGCATGGAAAGAAACCGGGTTTCTGGCGGACTGATTTCACCAGACGTGGGGGGCTCCTACTTCGTATCTCAAGTCGTCTACAGGATTGATAAATGTGAAATTTGAATTTGTATCCGATATATCGGCTATAATCCTATCTAGAATTTACAAGAAAGCGTAAAGCATTTACAACTGCAACGCCCTTAATTGATAGAACATTCATTTTCGCCTTATAACTCATCAAATGATCTGCTGAGAAGAATGCGTCATACTCTTGTCGAATGTGCTAGTCTGAAAGGGCTCCTTCTCACAGACTTCGAAAGCAGCACATCAGCGTGAGGACCTGAAACTTTAATTTTCGATTATCATTTCCTAAAAGAGGTTGAAATAAGTCGTAAATTGGTTCTTCATTCATTAATGGTATATATGACAGTCAACTGTCTTCTTATATACACGGTAGGTAGCGCTCTATTTAGAAAATATAAACTCCCATTGACACCACGACTAGTTTAGGGACGACGCGAAAGCCTCAAAAGCTTGTATATCTTCCGTGGAAAACTGACAGTCATCCATCTCCAACAATGGAACAGTGTCCATGATATCAATAGCGTCAGTCTTTTCGGTTTTCCACGGCCTAAATTCGCTCGCCGTGCTCTCAGACGTCAAGAGATCCGTACAGTACTCAGCTAGTTGGTTCATGCTTGCTAGGTCACATAGAACTTGTGTCATTTCGAGGTAATGTATCTCAAAAACAGGATCTATATTAATATTGCTGAGAAAGAAATCGGCGCAAAGATAGATGGTAAATGGAGTAAACGGGTGAACCTTTGCATCAGTGTTAGTCCTGAAATGACATGTTAGAACCAGCCGAGAAGAATTTTGTGACTCACTTTGAATAAATTGAATTGATCTAAATGTCCCGCGTAGCCGACAATCTTATCAGCAGCTGCTATTGCACGTTGCCGGTATTCCAATAGCATTTTTGAGTCTGGATCGTTCACGCTGCTAAAATTGCATTGAAGGACCTTGTATAGCTTCAGAATTGTGCATTGAGCCATCATATGTGAAAAGAAAAATAGAGGGTCTCTGGGCCGCGAAATCGGGGAAATAGCCTGCAGGCGCTGGCTGAGCAGGGTGTCAAGCCACTCGTGCCGGTCCATAAAGCTTTGTAGCGGATCGCCGTAGGTTTGTTCCACCGCGGATTGTTGACCATGAGCAATTGTTCGACCACAAGCTGTGGCAAGAAGGATGAACTGCGACATGTAGGACAGATTTGCAGCAGCGGCGCCAGTGAGTGTTAGTCCTTCAGAATGAAAGCACTCGATAACCAGCTGGCTGTTCTGGAATGCCTCTTCAGGCATGGGCAATCGGCAACAAATCTGGGTATATCTACCATCAGTATGGACAGGAGGAGACAAAACGAGGAGATGATTGACGGACCGTTTGTTCGTTAAAAGTCAATGGAAGGTTGTTGCACATAGATGGAAACCTATCGAGACAGTATGCCATCCAAAATGTCCTCCTCATTTCTTCTTTGGGGACCCAGTCTGGGGAGTATCCAATATTTGACATATCAGAAGATGCGGACGAATAGGATGCAGACGAGGTAAAAACAATGGAATTTGACGACGACATCTGGCAGCTGCCAATACCTAAAGGTCTATCAATTTCATGTAGTCGCATTAGTTGCACCAGTCTGAATGTATGGCCAGCACTCATCCAACCTTGCTGATAATCTCTTTGCATGAATTCATAAACGGTCAAGAGGACCCAGATCTGAGCCAATTCGATGGGGACATTTGATAGCTGACGATTTTTGTTTTCCAGTCTATAGGCTAAGCTCTTTGTAGCGTTATAAAGAGACTCACGAATTGAATCAAATTGCTTTGTCACTGTGGTTGCTAGTGTCCACATTGCATATTGAAGGCATTGTTGTTCTTCGGATTTAGTGTCAAGAGTCGCCCACGTACAGTAACGTTGTTGTTGAAGCATAGGGACGAGCGCATGGATGCGATCAAAATATAGATGATGCCTAAATTCCTGTTAGAAAATCGGATATCACAGGTCAGAAAAATATACTTAAGAAACGCACAACTCGGCTTGCATTATCCTTGAAATTTGTGGTAGCTGACAGCTTTCGAGACGATCTTGACTCTCTGAGCCCATGCTATTATCATCGCCATCTGTTTGAATAGAGCTCTCCGAACTGGAAGTATCTCGTGCCTGTCCAGAAGAATTACCAGAAGTCGCACCTATAAAAAGCAATTTTAGTTACACACTGCGCGCCAAGGGTCCTGATGGCTTGTGCTCACTCTTCTTTGCTTGGGGATTTCTTGTATAACCTTTCTTGGGGCCGCGAGGAGGTCGGGCTAGATTCAACTCGCATACAATGCCCAGCTCATTACATAGACGACATTGCGGGCGCTGTCGATCACACCGAAGCTTCCGCTTGCGGCACTCTTCACAAGCAAGGCCCGGCAGTTGTCGAGACTGCTGAGATATTCTACCGGTGGGCATGGCAGAGTATGAAGTATAGCTAAACGTCGTAGTGATATTGTATAGTCCGTTTGACTGTTGTAAGTAGGCCGGATCGCACTTCTATATATATGTATACATTGGTCGATTCCTGATCCTTCTAACGAATTGACGCGATCGTATTCTTCATGGACTACATGCAGTGGGCGTAGTTTGAGGTTTAGTAATAGCTCAAAATGACAATACAAGACGGGATCCGCGTTCACATTAACCAATCCAAGCTTCTGGAAACCTACCGTGTTGGGGAGAGCTGATGAACATTCTTCTAGCCTACAACAGATAGTGGAGTATTCTAGAGTGAGGGCTAGACAGGTCCCTTCGATCTTCCACGAGTGATGCGGAACTAAGTATCCGGAGTATGCATAGAGATTGTCACTATAACACGGGCATGCGTGCCAATATTTCTTTCGGTAACATTTACCGGCATGACTGGGCGTTGTACTGTATTGACTCAGGAACAATAACATACTAGTTATGGTTAGTCTTCTCGTCAGCTAGCCGTGGGGATCGAGCTCTGTAGATCGGCCCCCAGAACCAACGCACTTGCCTGTATGGGAAACATTCTACTATGCCAAAAGAAATGCGCCACGAACCGAATATATATTAAATGCAAGTAAATGATGTCATCTGCTGGTTTTGAGATCGAAAAACAGGTTTTGAAGCATGCAACTAACGTTACTTAGGTTAATGGTACGATTGTACGAAAAGTACCTACAGAGTACATGCTATCTTATCAACAGGTTCATGTCGTTCAGGCACAACACTTGTAGATTTTACACTATCAATGCAGCTAATGAGGATGCACGTGTGTAGTTGCACTTTACGCCCTCTCCATAGATCCAATCAACAATCAAACTCGTCAAAACTCGTCAAAACTCGTCAAAGGTTGCCTAAAGCAGACTATGGATCTTTCCTGGATTCTGCAAGTAGCAAGCATCTGGACTACCTGATTGGGATGACTAGCTGTCATAGGACATGTCGGTATAGGCCGCGATCTTCGTGATTGAGCTTCCATGAAGAACAAAGCAACAATATTTTCAGGGCTCTGGCTCGGAACTTAAACTAAGTAATACGATAAAGACCAGCTCCACAATGACTGCAGACGTCATATTTGTTTTTCTTTTATCTACGAACGCCGATATCCGCGCAGCGATTCTACATTGTCTAATTTGCTTGTAGCTAATTGTAATAGACTGCCGGTTGCACACGGGCTTTGACACCTGCTATCTCCATCACGCGCACCATTTCTTCCGGAAGTGGTCCCTTCTCGAGGTCAGCAAGAAGCTCCTCAAGCTGTTCGAGGTTGCTGGCGCTGATACAGATTGCATCGCCATAATCTCCTCGCAACCCGCTGTGATAACGCAACCAGCGCAAGGCGCACTCTAGCACGGTCAGGTTATGCACCGATGCCCCATTCTGTATCTCTTCCAAGGCATCGAAGTAGGCTGAGTGCCAATACTTGCCGCGAATATGACGACCTAGATAATGACTGGGGTCAAAGCGTCCGCCCGGAAGATGAGCATCGTCCGGCATATCTCGATAATACCGGGATGTTAACAGGCCGTTCGCAATGGGATGACCAGCCTCGAAGGACATGTTGTAGTGGCGTAGACACGGGAGAAGCTCAGGCTCGACCACTCGAAGGAGGGCATTATAAGGTCCCTGGTAGACGGCGGGCGGAATGTACCCGGTTTTCGCACATATTTCGTTGATCAGAGCTACTTCCCACGCTGGGAAATTGCATAGCCCCCAGCGTGTAAAGCGGCCATCTCGATGGAGACGGTCTATTTCCGCAAGAGTGTCGGAGTAGGGTACGGTTCTGTCGGGAGCATACAGGTAAAACGTGTCAATACTGTTGGTGCGCAACGCGGCAAGGCTGGCCTCAAGACCCGCCCTGAGGTCCTCCGGCGCGTGGCTATACGGCACATTCTGTGGGCCAAGAGGGCGTGACTTGGTCGGATAGAGCTTTGTTTCCACGCGCAAACCCCTTGATTGCCAATCTGCGTCAGCCAGGAGCTTTTCTGAGAATCCACCCCCGTAAATACGAGCGGTATCGACCTTGTTGTGACCGTGGGCTTGGAAAGCATCCAACATGGGGCGAACTTGGTCAACAGTCGTGAATGGGAGCGTGCGGCCCTTAATCTCTGGAAATTGACCGAACTGAATCGCCCCAAAGACGATTTCAACCGGTTTGGTGGACATCGTGACGACTACCTATAGTCTATTTGTTGGCGTTGAGGGAAGAATCAGCTATACCTCTAAGAGCAGTGCTCCCCAGCAGGATGGGCACTGTCATATACCAATTGTGTCGTTCAGAGTAATAGTTCAGTTCTATTCTCCTCAGGAAAAAAAAATAATGATCTTGAATACCCACGTACTTGATCAGCAAAACGCTGTCCATGAAGTAATTACGCATATGTTCTCCGGAGTTTTCTCTTGTTGCTCCATGGAGTTTCTTCATTTATTTGCTACAATAGACTCGCAAAGCTCCATTGTGAATTATTCTTGTCTTTGGGTTTCCAACGGCCTTTTGAGTCTTGTAAATAAACATATAGACGTAGAATTTTCATTGAACCGATAGTAATCGGTCTGGTAATGCCAGTGCTACCAAACACACCGCGTGCGCAATGACTAAACGAATTCCTCTGAAAACTCTGACCGAAGGGGTCGACATGCCTCTCCTGGGATTCGGCACCTTCAAGAAGGGCCGCACCTCAGGCGTTACATACCAGGCGGTTCTGGCAGCTCTAAATGCAGGGTATCGACATGTAGATGGCGCATGGTTGTAAGTGACTCCTTTTCTACTTCTTTTCTGTCGTGATCCTCACAAGAAGCGTACACGTACTAGTTACAACAACGAAGACGAGGTTGGCGGCGCAATCAGGGACTGGCTAGCGAGCAATCCAGGCACTTCTCGCTCCGAGCTCTTTATCACCACCAAAGTGTGGCCACATCTATGTGGATCGGACGCAGACATCGAATGGAGTTTAACGGATTCTTTGCGAAAATTGGGTTTGGACTACGTGGACTGCTTCCTAGTCCACTGGCCTGTGGCAGCCGAGCGTACCGCTGATTATCAGCCGCGCATTGGGACGGACGGCAAGGTATGTAGCCATGCGCCCTACTGTGGTAATACATAGAAGTTTAAACACCCCTTTTTGAGTGAATAGTACTGTATTGTGCGGGACCGAACTGAGCATCCCGAAAAAATTTGGCCTATCATGGAAAAACTTTACCGTCAAGGAAAGACCCGTTCCATTGGAGTTTCAAATTGGTCGATTGCGCAGCTCGAGTCTCTACTAGCTAGCGCCGAAATCATCCCCATGATCAACCAAGTTGAGATCCACCCATATTTTCCTAATACCGAACTGGTCGAGTACTGTCTGTCACGGAAGGTCTTACCGGTAAATTCTCGGTCTCGGTGTTGATCTTTATTCGTCAATGTTGGAGCTAACAAGAACATTCTTATCAGATGGCGTTCTCGCCCCTCGGCTCACAGCACAACATCCCTGGCACAGACGAAAGACTTCGAGACAATCTAGAGCTCCAATCACTAGCGGCCGCTAAGGGGGCCAACGTCGCGCAGGTGCTTATTGCGTGGGGCCTAAAACGTGGCTACGGGGTGCTTCCGGCCAGTACAAATCCAGAGCGTATCCAGGCAAATCTCTCGCTGATCGATCTAACCGACGCTGATCTCGAGACTATTTCTCGCGCAACCAATCGGCGCCATCGCTTCTGTGATCTCGAGTACATCTTCGGATATGATGTATGGAAAGAGTCCTCTTAGATCCTTGGGGTCTGGGGCAGCTTTACGCATATAATGTGACAGTCCCAGTTTAATGATTGACCTAGAGCTGGTAGAATGAATGAAAGATCGCGGATAATATTACGACTAAAGTTTGAGTTCCATGTAAGGATACAGTAAAACCTGGAAATTAAATCCCCGGGTAGTAACACAAGCCGACTTATAGCACCAAAAACCTGAAAATTGTTCGGTTCCAGATACAAATCTGCTTAATACCTGGCTATTAAGTATAAACACATTTGAAATTAGGCTCTCATACAAGAAGTGCTTTTAAGCAGGTAGATATGATAATGTTCTTACAATTCATTAGCCAATTAGCGTTGTATAAAATACCCTAAATTAGTCGGGGCCTTGGCATATCCTGATTTTTTACCGTTATTTGGCAAATTTAATAAATAAATAATAGTATTTTATGGTACTGGATATTAACACCTCCTGGGTTGTAGCACATTTTTGGGCTGTCTGAATTAGGTGCTCATATCCAGGTTTTACTTGCAGTACAACTCCCTAGTTTGTACGTACATGGGCCCCGTGGATTCTGCCGAATGTGTCTAGACTTGCCCTAGAGCTGAGATTGAGCGAACTAAAATATAGCTACCTACTATAAGTAGTTAAGCGCGAAGCTAAAATAAAGATATATTCATCGACGCACATAAAGGTCGTGAGGATCGGCACTAAATATGCGCAATCACATTTCTCTACACGAGCTCTCTGTACGCCTAAAATTCAAACAAGGAAACCAACATACATATCTCAAGCCCTCCCCACGCGCTAAGTTCATATTTCTGTCAACTGGACGCCTCGGTGCTTAAGCTAGGAGTTTTTACTGCTTTAACAAATTTAGACAAATACTCCGGTGTTCTACCACCTCGTGTTTGCGATGGAAGGCTTCGTGTCAGCATGTCTCAGACGCAAGGACGATAATTTACATGTTCCAGATAGTTAACCGAGCGGAAAGAAAGTCATCCAGCACTAGTTTCTCTTACGTTCAACTTTGCTCACTGTCACTTGCTGGCTACGCTCCCCATCTCGTCTAAATCGTCTGACTCACTATGCCTCACCAAGCTGCTTACATTCCTGCAAAGAAGGCCCAGTTGGAAATTTCCACTGCCGAGTACACTAAGCCGGGTGAGAACAAAATCACAGTCAAAAATGGCGCCGTTGCGATCAATCCCTTGGACTGGTTCAAGCAGGGTTCCGGCGACTTGTTTGCACCATGGATCAAATATCCCCATATTATGGGTAGCGATCTCGCTGGGGAGGTAGTTGAGGTTGGACCTGGGGTAACAAGATTCAAAGTAGGCGATCGAGTAGTTGCTCATGCCGTTGGTATGGACAAGCGAAGCAACAAGTCTTCTGAGGGCGCATTCCAGGAGTACACCGTTGTGCAAACCAATCTCTCCTCTCAAATCCCCGATCATATCTCGTATGAAGCTGCATGTGTGCTTCCTCTTGGTCTTTCCACTGCTTCATGTGGCTTATTCATGAAAGATTACCTGGCTCTGCGACACCCGACCAACGAGAAACCCGTCTCCGTTCCTGACAAAAGGGAAGCCATTCTTATCTGGGGTGGCTCGACGAGCGTCGGCTGCAATGCAATTCAGCTGGCTACCGCCGCTGGTTACGAAGTCATTACAACGGCGGGGCCACATAACCACGCTCTCGTGAAGAAACTTGGCGCCGTCGAGGCATTCGACTACAACAGTCCCACCGTTATTGAGGACATTGTAGCCGCCTTCAAAGACCGGGTCAGCGTTGGCGCCATGGCCATCGGTCCGAAGTCATTGGCATATTGCGTTGATATCATCGCTCGAATCCCGGGAAGGAAGTTCGTTGCCCAAGCCAGTGTTGATTTACCTGCGAGTGGATTTCCGCAAGGAATTCTAGATTGGCCAGCATTTGGTCTACAAATGGGCATCTCGATGATGTCTCTGAAGACCAAGGCATTGCTGAAAAGAGTTCAAGCGAAGTTTATTTGGGGTAGTGATAACATGGAGAACGAGGTTGGAAAGGCTATCTACGAAGATTATCTTCCTCGGGCGCTACAAGATGGTCGATTCGTTCCGGCTCCAGAGCCTTATGTCTTGGGTAAAGGTTTGGAGCACATTCAGGAGGGGATGGATTTAAACAGGAAAGGTGTTTCTGCAAAGAAGGTGGTGGTCACATTATGATACCTAGTCTGTATTGTTTGTCTTTTTCCGCTCTAGCAATTCAAGCCTGTTCAGTACAAGTCATCGATCACATGCTTATTACTTTCGTCTCAGGACATTCCAAGTTTGAAGTATATGAAAAACCGATTTTTGATCTAGTGAATATGTTTATCGATAACACCAACGCCAAAAACAGGAATAGAACAAGTTTCAAATCCTCTGAAAGCTTCCCGTAGAAAGCCTCCCGTACTAAATACACAGTTGATGATCTTCATGCAGACTCTTCACTCTCAGCCGTCGTGGTCTCCTCAGTCGGCTTCGCAAGGACCGATCTCCATTCCACACCCACAGCCCCTAAGATCGCCAGACAGCTCATGATCAACGCCAACTGGTACACTTTCACGATGCTATTATTGTATGCCACAAGAACCGCGTCAACGTATTCAGCGGGCACGATCTGGCGGATATCAGTCGCCCCAGCCTGGGCCAATATACCTCCGGTGACGCCGGGGATATGCATTGCCGAGATGGCCGCGCTTAAGTGCGAGGCAAAAAGATTCTGTGCTGCCGATAGAAAAATGGCACCACCCAGCAGCTGCGCAGAGAACGTCACAGATGTACCTATGGGGGTATCGGCTGCAGGCAGTACGGTCTGGCATGTCACAGCGCCTTGCTGAAAGCCAAATCCAAACCCGAATCCAAGAAGTATCTGGTATCCAAAAGACTTCGCCAGGGAGATGTTGACCGTGGTGGTTGTGATTAGTCCTGCGCCGAGAGGCATCAGGATAGCGGAGGCCCAAATAAAAGGCACGTAGTAACCGAACCTTGATGTCAATATGCCGGCGACAATATTCCCGCAGAGTTGGGAGAGGATCAAAGGTAGCGTATGTACAGCTGACAGAATGGGACTAAGGTTTTTGACGACCTGAAACCACACTGCGAGATAATACACAATTGGGAAGATTGTGCCGCCGAGGGAAAAGGCGAATAACAGTACGAATTGTATGCTACGCTGTTTAGCGACACGCGGAGGGACTGTGAGAGAGGGTTTGTTAATATATCAAGACTGTATATAATATAGTGCAATGTGATAGTAATGCACCAGGAGACTTACCTGTTGCATCCTCTGACCGCCGTACTTGAACGATAATGAAGCCGATCAGCAGCAGACCGAACAACACGAATAGAGCAATGATGCGCCCATTGGAGTAAGGGTAGGCATCTCCACCCCAGTGTAGCGCCAAGAGAAGACATATAATTGCGCTGATAAAGAAAGTGTTGCCGAGGGGGTCAAAGTAGGAGAATACCTGCCACGCATTTCCGCTTGCTTTGGTAAAGGTTTGTCGAATGTGAAGTAGAAAGCCTATGCCGATTGTAGTGAGGGCGCCGATGGGCACTGCAGAGGTGTCAATTAAAATGCGCCTGAATTCGCGTGAAACAGAATGGTAGACATACGGTTGATGTAAAAGCACCACCGCCAGGTTGCTTTAGACGTAAAAACACCGGCCAACTAGAATGAGAATTAGCATTTGCTTCATTTCTCCCTTGAAATGAAACGAACCAGTGGCCCAAGTATAGAACATATCCCAAACAATCCACCCAAAAGACCAGCGATGATCGGTCTCAGTCGCAAAGGTGCAACAATCGCAGTGATGGTAGTGGCACCGGTGAAAATCCCAGCAGCCCCAAGACCGGCAATTGCTCGACCAACGATGAAAGATGTCGAAGACGGCGCGGCACCGCAAATTGCTGATCCAACTTCGAAGATGAACAGTGCTAGGAGAAATACCCATTTCACGTTGAAGGCACGAAAGAATTTCACATAGAGCAATTGGAATGCTGGTCCGGATTAGTTTAATAATATACCAATAAACCCTAGTCGCGATATGTGAAAGAACTTACAGCAAGTAGTCAATAAGTATGCCGAGCCATACCAGCCAATATCATCCACAGTCTTGAAGGTATCAGTCATATGAGGAATAGCTGTCGCAATGATGGTATTGTCCAATGCGACGCAGAATACGGCCAGCATCATTGAAATCACGATACATAGGAGTCTCGCGCCCCCAAGGTATTCATCTTGCTTCGGAGGGTCAACATCGTCGGGAGCAGTGACTTCTCCATTGGATTTTGTCTCCGTGAGTACTTGGTCGGACAATTCTGTCGAACTCGAGTCTGCCATGTTTGTGTGTATGGTGTGCGGCCTGATAGTTATGGCTTGAAATGAGTTTGATGCGCTCAGAAAGTATATGAGCAGTCCCGAATAGATTCATACACACAGATAAGCATACCGATCCTACAAAATAATCGAATCTCGTCAGGAGCTGCGGAATAACAAATTATCCCGTAAAGTATGACATGCAGTGAAGAATGATCTGGCGTACGGCCGAAGAGACAACTCCATCGGACAATTTACCGGAGTTTTCTCCTGCATTGGCTTAACCTTCAACCACGCGCGTAAGAAAAGCCACGAGTTTTACATGGAACCGTCGGAAAATAAAACTTTTTATGCCGTATCTATGGTCTACTGTTCTATGCATTTGTCTTGCTATCCTTGGGTACAATTCGTGCTACTATTGCTATACATTTCATTGAACGACCACGGTATTGCAAATCAGAAGTCGGTATCAGGAAGCTAAAAAATCCTAATCAATGATTCCCACAATCAATATTAGTGCCTGGCTCTCTCCCACTTCGACTTCCCAGTCGCGAAATGCCGTTGTCGACGAAATTCGATCAGCCTGTCGGGTATATGGATTCTTTCAGCTTGAAGGTCACGGCATCCCGCTGGAAATGCAAAATGAAGTCCTGGGGTGTGCTGAGCGCTTTTTCTCTCTACCACTAGAGCAGAAACGGGAGGTATCTATTAAAAAGTCTGTTGGTTCGGCCAACAGAGGGTATGAAGATTTCCAAGGGCAACGTTTGGAGACCAAAGCGTTGCCTGATCTGAAAGAAGTACGCCTGTTACCTATACGAGAACATCCTACCATTGAATTAAACGCATAAACAAGATATACTGAAGCATTTAAAAAACTCACAAATCTTAACGTGTTTTTTATGTAGGGTTTTTTTATCGGCGAAGAAATTCCCGTCGACAGTCCACGGGCAGGAAAGTTTCTTCAGGGCCCTAATCAATGGCCAGTAACCCTGCCTCGTGAGAAATTTCGGGACCCTCTTCTCGAGTACCGTCGCCAAATGGTCGAACTTGCAGAGCTGGTATTGCGACTATTAGGCCTTGCATTGCCAGAAGAACACTCGTCAGCCAACTTCTTTGATGAGTTCATGATTCAACCGTCTGGCAATCTGAGGCTATTGCACTATCCGCCGCAAACATCGACGGACGAGATGCAGCTCGGAGGTATGACCCCTTTTCCCCTTTCTTTTGCCACGAGATCACTCCTATAACATACATCGACAGCCGGCGCACATACTGACTTCGGCGGCCTAACGCTACTACTACAAAAACCAGCCACAAGCGGGCTTCAGGTCTGGTATCCGCCGACAGCAGCCTGGATCCCAGTCCCAGTACGCGAAAACGCATTCGTGGTCAACATCGGCGATTTGCTCCAACTCTGGACGGGAGGTTACTATCGCAGTGCACTACACCGAGTAATCAACCGGGGAGAGAATCATCGGTACAGCGCTCCGTTCTTCTATAATGGCAATGGAGATTTGGAGTTTGAGCCGATTGGTAATGAGTCGGGGCGCAAAACTACGGTCAGTGAGCATATTAGGGGCAAGTTACTTACGTCGCTGGGGAAGAGTGATAAGGATTCTATGGCGGTGGTGTAGGATAGTCTGAAAATCATATTATATTCAAATCAGCACCATTTCCTCGTGTCTTTGCAATCAAAGAACTGAAAAATATAAAATTTCTAAGTTTTGTTTTAGAATTTGACAGTAAAAACTTATATATACGTGTCATGGGGGGTTTCTGCGACGTTGGAAGGACCAGACGCCTTCCCAAACTATAACACTAAAAGCAAAGTCAGTGTTCGCTCCATAGTTTCTCTGTGTACAACGCCGTGGGTTGCTGCATGTGATTACGAGCCAGTGATGACGTAAAATGCTTCGTTCAAATTGTGTTGTATGATTCGTTTTAAGCTAATATTAGAACGCCGTAAAGAAGGGTAGGTTGTTTTCGTTTTTTCTAGTGATGCGAATGCAGTCTAAAAGTTGACATAAATATTCCGTAGTAGCAGAGACTGCTGCAGTGGGTTGATACAATCTATTTATCTAGGTACGAAGTTAATATCCCGACACTACAGGGTTCGAGGAAGGTAATCAAACTATCATCTAGAGAGCGTGTTAACATTAGCAAGCTGAGAAGTCCTCTGTAGTATTAGGAGAATCAAACCCAGCCCGTATGTATACTCCGCCAACTCTAATAACCAAAGCTAAAGAAATGAGTAGCTCTACGACGACAAAGCCTCGATAATCGATGTCCGTTGGAATGGATGCTGATTCCTGATATCAGAATTTCGGTATGCTTGCATCTTCGATGTGGAGTGAGCAGAATTATAGAAGAGACTCAATCTTTCCTACTGCCGATAGACTCTACAGTCCTTTTTGAGGTATGATATTGCCGCCATTTTAGAGACTAAAGTCAAAGAGGATGTGTGTTTCCGAGTTTCACTGGTTATATTACTATAGATTTATATAGAATCAACTGGCATTGACTTGATGGACTTGATGTTGTATATGCAAACCAAGGCGGTTGAGATCGAATTGCAATATTCTCGCTAAGATGATCAAAGTTCGGGACTGTATGAACCATAGCACAGAGCATTACTTGTGGACAACAGCAACGATCAAGACGACTAGCTGGTTGATATTGACATCTGGAGGGCAACAGGTATCGAGGTCCTGGTGCCACATCTTCAAGCTATGAATGCCTACGATGATGGCGGCGCTGAACTTAATACACTCTCATCTCAAGACTTGAAATTATTTACCCACGTTTCAAGTGTCGGCCACTCGCAAGACCTCTGTGCGTTGTTAGGGCTACCCGGCGGAACATCGAGGGCACCTAGGATGGCAATGATCCGCGCCAAATGCCTAAAATCGGGAATCAAGCGCTAAATAGCATCATCGAGGATGTGCATTGAGTCGGGTTCCAAATTAGGTTGGCCTGTGCGGATGCGTGTGTAAAGGAGTAAATTGAGGGAAGTTCAGGGACTTGTCGGAGTATGATGATAAGTATCTCCAACGGGAGACGGGAGACGGGAGTGTGCGCTGCACATTATGGCTGCATTCATCAACGTTGAATTCGGGACAGAGAAGTATGGACATTTTAGTATCGCTAAGAGTCACGGTTGATATCGTATCAGGATAAGAGAATTTATCAAACACTTCAGAAAACTTTACACTGATCCTGTATGATACGGAAAAAACACTTATACTAACAGGATATCAGTATTCTCTTCTTAATTTTACTTTCTTAACTTATGAATCTACTAGAATAGAATACTAATTTAAATATAATTAAGAAAAATAAATATAATATACTAGTAGTATAGCTATTATATATTAAATATAGATATTATTTTATTAGAAAGATTTTTAAGATTTTTTATTCTTCTAAAAAAGATTTAATCTTTCTAATTTTAACTTTTTTTTAAGGCTAGATTGCTTCTGTATATTATATAATAATTTAATTCTTAAATTTTTAAATATATATTATAATTAAAATAATATTCTTATTATTAGTAATTATAGTATTGTTTAATAATTAATTTAGGATTCTAGTAGTTTATAGTATAGAAGTTATAGATGTTATGCTTCTTATTTAAGACTTCTCTTTTGAAATAAAGATCTTAAATTATTATAAATTAATAATTTATAATTATTTAGATCTAAAAGAACTCTTCACTTAATAGTAATTAGATAGTATTCTAATATCAAAAGGATAGAATATCTAAGTAATAAACAAGAGAGTCTAGTATAACTAAATCTATAAGTAATAGTATACTTAAGATTAAATAGTTAATTTAAGATAATAGAATAAAATTAAATATATACTGTAAAGAGTATTTTTTTATATTTTATTATTAATATAGCTAATATAGTAATTACTCTATCCGCTCTGTTCCTTTAAATATATCTAATATAGCTAGGGCTCTGTTAGCTCTGTTACCCTAACTCTAGTGGTTATGGATAATCTTTTGTTCTATCGTGCATTAGCTTCTGTGCATGGGGGCCTGATTCATTGGCTGTGCTTTCTTGGATTCTCTGACAAGTAGCTCATTTATAAATCCTTTCTGCAAGACCTCATATATAACTACCTATTTCTAATTCTAGGCCATTTTTAAAAGTAGACTATAGGTCTATACCACATCAAAGAAGCGCTTTCATTAAGCGCATTTAGGTAGGGATAAGATCATTATCCTTCACACGGTTATCTCAAACTCTATAAAACGCGGCATAAAATAAGAATAAAATTCCTAATTGCCTCAGATTAGCAAATCCCCATAAGAAGGAAAAGCTTCTAATAATTTATCTTACTAGAGCTCAATTACAGAGAAAATAGCTATTACAGAGACTTTAGCACTATATAATATTAACAACTTTATTAGCCTAGTATTAGTACTAGCTTTTAATAGATAAGATTCTCCATAGTTACTTACATAATTAGCATCTACACTACCTTCTAGAAGAAGATGTACTACTTCCTTATAAAAGACACCCTTAAATAGATTTTCCTCTACAGCAATATATTGTCGTAAACCGAAGATTCGTAATCGTCTAGATCAGAGTAAACTCGTCACTTAATGGCGGTTAGGTGGTATTCTGTTTAGGAAAGGGCAGTATGCCTAAGTGATAATAAGAGAGCTGAAGTTAACTAGATCTATAAGTAATAGTATATTTAAGATTAAATAGTTAATTTAAGACAATAGACTAAACTAAATATATAATAAATAAAGATTCTTATATATTATAGCATCTTGTAGTATTAATAGAGAAACTAGACTAGTTCTTTATTATCTCTATATATTTTAATAGAGAATATCTTTATATTCTCTATTACTCTAATCCTTAGTGGCCTATACCACAGTTCACGTGATCCTTAGGTCTATTTCTAGCTGTTTTTTTACTTTGAGCTGTTCTTTTAGCTTAAGCTATATTTGGTTTATACTAAACCTAGCTTATACTAATCCTTTATTAGATTTTATACTAATCTTACTCCAAGCTATACTTACTCTAAGCTAGATCCTAACTAGGTTTAGCTTGCCATAATCCTAGTCACTTATTTATTAGCTATAATATTCTTAATCTTCTAATAATTTCTTCCTCTAAAGGCTGGCGTCCTAATAATATAATAAATAGTCTATATCTCCCATCTATGCTGTAAGTTTATTCTAATTCTTAAAATACTTGTATTATAGTGATAAGCTAATTATATTATTATATAAGAATATTTTAAAATATAATCTTTATAAGTAGATTAAATAATCTAGTATTGCTTTACTAATATTTTATCTTTATTATAGTTAATAAGACAAGTTATATATTAAATTAGAAATTTTAAAGCGCTATAGTGAGTGTATTTATAATAAGCGGTGCAAGTATGTCCTAATAGCTTTATCTAATCTTATATAGAAGAAATTGATTATTATTTAGAAGAAGCTAGATAAAAATAAAAAGATTATAATAATAAAACTAATATAATTTTGTAAATAAAGGAAACTTTTTTAAAATTATATAGAGTAGTTTATTTAGATAGATATAAAGAATGTTAAAGAGCTAGAAAGATTAGAGAAGAAAGAAGAATAAAAGATAATAAAAGAATATATAAAATAAGAGATAAAGTATAAGAAATAAAAATTAATTATAATAATACTTAATTCTAATAGCTCTAATAGTCTAGCTATAGATAATTTCTTCTAGCTTGCTTTCTTTTCTATTTAAAACTAATTGTTACTTAATATTCTTAGATTTTATTATAGTAATTTAAATTTATAATAAGTTTCTATAAATTATCTTTTAGTAAGTATTCTTTCTATTTAATTAAGTAATAGATTTAATTATTTTCTTATTTTTAATCTAAGATTTTTTTTATTTTATATTCTTTATTATCAGCTTTATTACTTTTATTTTTTAGATTTTTTATAGGTTCTAATAGTAATATATAAAATATTAAATATATTTATATTCTTACTAGTAGCTAAAGTTAATAATTATTATTTTTAAATTTTTTTATAATTCTAAATAATCTA